TAAATAAGGCAACTTTGATCTTAGGACTTCTGTAACAAATCATTCATGAGAGTCTCCTCCCCTTCCATTGACAACTTCTACGTTTCTCGCGATGGATGCGAAACGAGCACGAGAAATCGATCGTTTGCTGGGTCATCGTTATCTGACAGCACTATGCAAATTGCAGCCAGTTATTTTTCCTCTTCGACAAACGATCACGGTGCCAGTGGCGATCGCAAGCTGTCGGATCACTGACTCTCCATGGACCCAGAGGATCATCCTACATCAGCACCCTGACCTATCTCTTGGAACATATTACGTACTTATTCTTCAAATGAAAAAGAAAAAAAAAATATACCTAAATTTGAGTGTCTATATATACAGAAAAAATTGTATGCTAATTGTCAAATAACATTTTCGAGGTAAGTCATTACATAGAAATAAGAAGATTCACTAATTACAAAATTAATTTTTCAATTTAAATTTTTCATTTTTCTTTTTCATCTCGCGTTACTATTACTGTAATAAGGTCATTAAAAGTTAGTTAAAATATTTTTTAAGTCAACGCGTTAACCGCGAATATGAGTTATGAAATTACATTTGAGTGTTTAAAAAACACGAACGAAGGTCGATGGATTTTTCGGAATTAAAACAGTGGTACCGTCGTCAGTTTTACGAGTCAAGCGGAATTTTAATTAAGCGAGAAACGATGGAATTAATTACGGTGAATGTACGATTTCAAGTTGCCAGTATTCGCGAAATTCGCCGATGAAAAAAACCGAACAAAATGTGTGCTCGCGCTTTTTAGAACATTTCAGCTCTTTTTATTGAACAATACTTTCAAATATTCAGCAAACTTATTGTATCACGAAGCTTTTATCACGAAACGATTGTAAATGGGTTATACCAGAAAGCTTTATATAAGGTTTAATAGGTAAACCTGATGGAAAAATACAAAGTTTATTTATATCGTAATAAAAAGAATTTTATAGCACTGAAACAGTGCCCTGAAGCAGGGGTGGGCAAATAGCGGCCCACGGGCCACATGCGGCCCGCTAAGAGCTTTTTGTGGCCCGCCAAGACAGTCAGAAAAATCCGCCTTCGTCTCATATTTTCCACTAGGAATGAAACTGCCACTATTTTATCTTATTTATATTTATTGATTTGTATAATACAATTTATACCTTTCTGAAATGCAAAGTTACCTAATGAATGCAAACATTTTAAAAGGTGCGACCCTCCGCTAACCTCCACTTCCACAAAGTGGCTCCCGAGCCAAAACAATTGCCCATCCCTGCCCTAAAGCATCTATAATTTTGGGAATTTTTTTTCACGGTTAATTAGTGTTTGAAAAGTTTCAACTTTTGCCAGGAAATATAGATGTAGCTTTTAATTTTATATAACAATTTTTAGAAACTATAAATGTTATAAAACAGTAAAGTTATTTATTAATTTCGAAAGCCCTTCCGGTAGAATATCAATTGGTACTCGCCACTTCTAGTAGGATCTTGGATGCCTAAAGTATTATACTTAAAAAATTGAAATTTGAATTATACTTGAGAGTTTGTTTCTTATTTAATGTAAAGAACGGTGTGATCTTAAAATTTGTTAAGCAAGGAAAAGAACGCGATAAGGACACACGAATTAGCGCGATAGCGTTGATAATGCGATAACCCGATTTCCGCCTGAAATACATACGTGTACTATATATACTTATATAAACAGGATGAAATCACACGTTAATCCGTTAGTTTCAGTAAAATCGGCGATGATGACCAAGTTTAGTGGACGTTTATTGCTACACGCGGTAGTTTTGGTGGCTGCAGTAAAGTGTGAGGAACTGGTGGACAAGGAATGGTGGGAAACCGCGTTGGTTTATCAAATCTGGCCAAGAGGATTCCGGGATAGCAACGGGGACGGAGAGGGTGACTTAAAGGGTACGTTATAACTCGAATTGAGAATCCACAGGTGTGTTAATGCTTCTACAATAAATCTTGAGGTCTAAAACAAACCACAAGGTGTTGATGACCTTTTGGAATTAAGGTGCGTGTCTCTCTAAAAGGATAGAAAAAAATGCACCTCTCAAAAATAATATAAAACGTAGAAAATATTAGCTTCCAAAGTTTGAAGTAAATCTGACTTCAAAAGCATACTTTAAACCCTTATAATTTAGTTAATTTATAAGGAGAGTATGTTAACAATCTGGTCAGAGTTTAAACAGATATATTCAATCGTGGAATTCCATTCTCTTCTTGATTCTATTTTTAAAATTAATCTGAATTCAAAAATTCATTGTTCCCTTTTATCGCTGGCTGGTCAAGATACCAACCGAAGCTATTTCAGATCTCCTCTATGGTCATTCAATGATAACACACAATCGATACATTATCGTATGATGGGAATTAATTTTTCCATTCAGAAAATACAAGACAAAATAAGATTTAATCTAAATAATCAGTCAATCGTAATAACAAACATTTGCGATTTTACAACCTCATGAACAAATATATTCCTTGAGATAAGATGTACCTCCAGAAATCATAAATTATTGTTTTACACACAGGTATCATCAATCGCCTTGATTACCTTCAGAATCTCGGCATCGACACAATATTGTTAAATCCAGTTTATTCGTCGCCTCTGATAGATTCTGGGTATGACATTTCTAATTACACCGACATAAATCCAGTTTTTGGTAATCTTGAGTACTTTGATGATTTCATAAAAGAAGCACACAATCGTGGTAAGTTTCAATGGTTTTTGTTTATTGTAAATACCAGTACCAGAATTCGAAACAGAATAATGTGTTTTAGACCTGAAAGTTATTTTGGATGTGGTGCCAAATCATTCCAGCAATGAACACAAATGGTTTTTGCAGTCAAGTAAAAATGTTTCACCATACAATGACTACTATATTTGGGAAAATGGAACTAAGGATGAAAAGGGCAAAAATATACCTCCTAATAATTGGGTAAGTTATGTGTAATTTTCTGAATGATTTTGGTAAATGTGACTTATTGTTGTGTTTGATTCAGATAAGCACCTACAGTGATGAAAAGGGATCTGCATGGACATGGCACGATACAAGGCAACAATGGTATTATCATAAATTTCATGAATCCCAGCCTGACCTCAATTTGAGAAATGAAAATGTGTTACAAGAATTATTGGTAAAGTATTTGCAGTTATGACAACATTTTACAGTTCAATGAAAAATTCATAAATATCTTCATTTTTCAGAATGTTTTTGACTTCTGGTTGAAAAGAGGTGTTGATGGTTTTCGAATCAATGCAGTATCATACTTTTTTGAAGATCAAGAATTAAGGAATGAACCTAACACAGGAAATGGAAGTTACACAACTGGATTACCAGAAAATACAGCTCTTCTATATAGATTTCGTTCATATATCAATGACTGGGTAGAAACAAATAATGCTAGTTCAAAGTAAATATGAAAATATTATCAATTCCATTCATCTTATTTGACAGTACTTGTATCAGATTGATATAATCTTTAATTCACAGATTATTGATTGCTGAATCTTATGATTCTGATGATGTACTGATATCATTTTATGGTAATGATACCCATGAGGGAATTCCACCCATTAATTTTCGTTTTATAACAAATATTCAAAACACAAGTACCGCAGGACAGATTAAAAATATTCTTCAGGATTGGATTCAGAAACTTCCAAACAATGCAAGCACAAATTGGGTGGTAAGGACATACATATATATATCATAATAATACTTCTCCAGTCTCTATTTTGAATCTAAACAAACTTCTCTACATAATTCTAGCTTTCAAATCATGATAATTCAAGAGCAGCTTCAAGAATTGGATTAAACCGTGTTGATGGTCTTCATATGCTTAATTTGTTATTACCTGGCCAGGCATATACTTATTATGGAGAAGAGATTGCAATGTTAGACAGAAAAATGTCATGGGATGAGACAATTGATCCCTTAGGTCGTTCAAGGACTAAAGCAACATACGAAAAATATTCCAGAGACCCTGCAAGAACACCAATGCAATGGAGCTCTGATACATCAGCAGGTTTCTCAACAAATAAGACTACATATCTTCCTGTTCACCCAGAATACACAGACAGAAATGTTGAAGCACAAGAAAATAAAACACAGAGCAATTTAAACACCTACAAAGCCCTTGCAGCTCTTAGAAAAGATCAAGTTTTTACTCATGGAGATTTCGAGTTTGCAGCCTTAAATAATGATCATATATTTGTTTTAAAAAGGTCTGTATAAAGTATTCAAGCGTCTAATCATATACTCAACAATTATCTAACATGATTTGTTATTAGATTTCTGAAGAATTCTCCTATATACATTGTTGTCATTAATCTGGGATTACGACAAGAACGAATTAATCTGACTTCATTGTATCCGAATTTAGAGGATTCTATGGAAATTGTTGTTGCTTCCAGTAATGCAGTTCACGTATCGTAAATATAAATCCATATTTTAAATATTACTTGAATATTCAACAAAGAATTCGAATCATGGAAAATGTTTAATTTTATTTTTTTTCAGGAAAATCATTTCAGCAAGGAACTTTGTGCTCACTGCCAATGCTGCATTGGTATTAAAAGGCAAGGAGAATGATCCTCCTGCCTTAGAAACGTCTACCTCACTTCCGCCCACGATTCCGGTACCAATTCCAACTAAACCTACAAATTCTGCCTCTACGTTCGAGTTGCTATCACAATTGTTATTAAGTACCATTATTGTGGTACTTACTGTTTAAATAAATATTTAATGATAACTTTAAACAATTAAAAAATGACAACTATAAAACAATCGACAAACGCGTGCATTCATTTCAGCCCACTTTAGCTTGTGGCGGGTTTTTTTTGTAAATATTGAGAAATTCAAAGATGATAAAGCTTTTGTTCTTTAACTTCGGCAATGACTTCAGGAATATCGTCATAAATTCTATATACGTGTGTGCTAATCTGCTTTATAGACGGCGAGTCTATTTCTGTAAAGACATTGACCCCAGGTGTCATTCTGTTTCTGAACTGTCACCATAATTTATATTAATGATAGCACACTCTCGCTATTCAAACATGTTCGTACAACAGCTTTGATTGCATTGAATGACACATAACGAGCTAAGCAATGTAACCTCCAGGTGCCGAGATGTGTCGTTTTAGAAACCAGTTGCATGGACACTAAAACATGGTTAGTTACGATGCTTTAGTCGGCATAAAGTCATACGAGTGATACGAGTTTATCTCTGGTTATTTGTATTACAAACAACAACGGGACACGAGTAAAGGAAAGCTTAAAATAGTTTGGTGGTCGGTAAACGGAGCAAATATGTGTGTCACAGAATGTTTGTAATCACGAATTGTGTTTCATCGTGGATCTTAGTCAAGTCACGTTTTCTACGTTTTACGGTAATGTGTTGATTCCCCTTTTTCTAATCAACGGCAACGGCAAATTTAAAATAAGACGTAAATATGCTTGATCGCCTCTAACGTATCTCCCGGGAGATAAGAGTGGAAGACAATAATAGGGGCGACAAAAGTTTTCGCCATTCAATTGGTATCTATTCGTGTCTATATTTGTCCGTGCACATGAATGCCGCGTTCGTCTCTTTATTGTACCGTTTAGTACCATCGATTGATCATTAACCAAAATCGCGTCTTACTTTTATAAACACGATCCGTATCCCTGCTGTATCTACAAGTAAAGAATCAAGAAACGATGATTCAAGAAATACGATGAGTTGACTATCCTGTGGTGCGGGAAGAAACAAGAAACAATGGAACATAAAGAACCTAAAGAAAACACCCGCCTTCTTTTGAGTAAATCGATCTACGAGGCAATAAGAATCAACGGATCTAGAGGAAGGCACAAAGATGCAGGTTTGATATTATCGTATATAAAACAAACGCAAAACTAGACGAACGATAGGACGAAATCTGAAATTCGAATTCGACCAATCGTATTTCGCTCAGGTGCCCGCGCAACGGTGTGTCATGTGCGTTCCTATAACGGAAATTTACAAATTGAAGGTTCAATTGAATGAAATGTAAGAGAATTTATAAAAGAACGAATATAAAAAAACGTACGTAGATGACATATACTTGAATGCACCGTTGTTACAATAACACTTAACCCATAATTGTGAATATAAAATAAAAACTTACCAATTTACAGGTTGACGTAAATATCACACGAGTTGAAAAAATATGTACAAATTTCATTTCAGAATCGATAAACGATGACTTTAAATACTACACCATCGAACCAATGTGGATGAATGTCCGACTGTGCATATTTTGGTTTCTGTGGTTACTGTTGATAGTAGTCCTTATTGCGTCCATATTTTTTTACTGTTGTCTGCACACACAAACATGTAGTAATCTTGGGAAAATAAATTCTTTAAATGACACAAGAACGGTAAGCAATTGAACGGATTTCGTAATCGACTTTAGATTAATTTTTTTATTATATAACTCACATTCCAGTAAATTTTCCACGTGTTGGAGAACGCGCAAAACACATATGTGCAACGTGTCCCCCTCTTTCTAATCAGATGTTACCGGCAAAATCCACGATGAAAGGTCAATGTGTCCAAAGAAGATAATACATTTTTCTGTGCTATCGGTTAGATATAAGATAAGCTTGTAATTCCTTGTTTGAAGGAGACTAGAGATTAGGACAAAAACAATTAGAGACAAATATTAAGCGTATTATATGTACATAAACATATGATTTTTTATTTGTATATTTAAAAAAATGTGTATCAATCATATTGCAAAAAATGTTTATAAACATGTCATGATAATTAAAATTGTTAATAAATGCAGCTGTGATGCAAAAGGTGCGCACAACTGACGAAGAAGTTTGTGCGCTGCTTCTTCCGTGCAAGTGTTCGTCGTTTAAATGATTGGATCGAAATCAGAGCATTTATAGCAGTTCTGGGCTATGGGATTATGGAACCCCAGGCAAAATAATTTTTATAAGGAATTTTTCACTGATTTTTCCTTTCCACTTATATCCTCATGAACATAATATACATCCAAGAAACTCCTTTTAAACTATTCTTAAGTTAATTCAGGTGTGACATGGATTATGTATCTGTTAAGATCTGTAAATACATTGGTATAAAAATAAACATATAAATCAGAATCCAAGTCTTAAAATAGTTACGTTTATGCATTGTTATCTCAAACAATTGATGTTACAAATATAAATTGAACAATTCTGTAAACTTTATTTTAATTTTATAATATAAAACGTATCTCAACGTTATTTTCCTCAAGTTCCAAAGCCGCGGTATTTTCCAGGGGCAAGGGTCGTCCCTGATTTTCCTTGTGCCACTGCGTTTGTGGTAGTAAAAGTAAAAGTAAATAGGCCCAAAAAGGGGAGCGAGAACCAACCAAACATCTCGATGGGGTAGAACGCATTTGTCCAGTCATTCTTGGAGCTGGAACGTTAAGGGAACGTTATAGAGGAATCGTTAAAACTTAGTCGGGAAAAAAAAGAATATCCGTGCGACAAATTCTGCTCATCCCTCATACGTATAATCGCTTGAGTACGTCCTTGAAATTGGTCGGTAATCGTAATGGAGAGTGGGAGGTTGAATTTAGATAACGTCGAGGCGAACGGGAATAGTAAGGAAACGGCAGTTGTTGCCACGTACAAGGCGCTACCAGACGACGACTCTAATAGACAAGACAAAGAAGAAAACGTCACCATGGGAAAGCCGAATAATGAGACTGATATCGACGATGAAGTTCATGAAAAAATTCTCAAAGATGAGAATAAAGTCTCTCCAACGAGAGATGCGACCGAGGTAGGTCAATAGGTATATTTCAGAAAGACGCACCTAACTCTCGTGCGATCAATAAGCTGCTCCATTATCACGAACAATCAAAACTATTTCCTTTGTTTCGTCATAACTTTCCCTATCTTTTTTTATTTCATAGAAACAGAATAAATATTTCTTTTATCTTATTTTTGTTAAAAAGAACTTATTGTTGCATCATCTTAAGGAAAAACCTCGAGGGAATAACCATGATTTATCAAATAGTCTAATGAAATATATGATAAATATTCATTGAATCTTTAATTTAATATGTTATTATTGTTATTATTTATAGGTAAAATTTATTTCTGAAAATGGAGATGCTAAGATTGATATTGAAACTGTTAAACAAGCTCTGTCTGGAATGGGCAAGGAGGAACTGATGAAATTTGCTAATGATCCATTCTGGATTCGATTAAGATGGTTTTTGTTCATTGCTTTTTGGTTACTTTGGGCTGCCATGTTAGGTGGTGCTGTAGCTATTGTAATAATGGCGCCGAAATGTTCAGCACCAAAACCAAAAGAATGGTGGGAGAGAAGTCCAATCGTACAATTAGATCCTGTCGAGACAAGTAGACATGATTGGAAAGACGTTGAATCCTTGTTAGACTATTTGAAAGAACAAAATATAGAAGCAATTTCTCTTGCATCTATAGTTAAGGAAAGCCCAACAGGTATTTGTTTATATATGTATAGTCCTTACAATAATGTAACAAGAACTAACATATTATATGTTGAAATGTAGGAGGAGTGGAAGATTTTAAGGATATCAAGCCAGAACTAGGAACTATAAGCAATTTAGAGACTCTTGTAAAGAGTGCTAAAGAGAGAGATCAACGCATCATTTTAGAATTAGATCCAACTCATACATCAACAGAACATCCATGGTTCAAGCGTTCTGTAGAAAAGGAAGATCCATTTACATCTTATTATGTTTGGGCTGATGGAAAAACAGCTTCTGATGGTAGACGTAATCCACCTAATAATTGGGTTAGTCATAATTTACTTCAAGTTATTACTTTATTGTTTCATATTGTACTTTGCAACATGTATATTCATTTAGTTAAGTATATTTGGAGGATCAGCATGGGAATGGAATGAACAAAGAGAACAATATTATCTTCATCAGTTTAATAAAACCCAACCTGAATTGAATTACAATAATCCAGCAGTGGTGGGAGAATTTTCAGTAAGCTGTTCTTTTTCTTTTTCGTAGCCATATATAAATCTAAACATATGCTAAACAATATTTCATCATCCATACAGGATATTTTGAGTCATTGGTTAAAATTGGGAATCAGTGGTTTCCGTTTAGCTAACACTCAATATTTAACCGAAGATCCGGATCTTCGTGATGAATTTAGAAGTACCGTTCCCATGGAAGCAGATAATTATGATTCACTAGTACATGCTTATACTAGAGATCGCCCCGAAAACGGTGTTGTATTATCGAAGTGGCAAGAAAGAGTATATAATGAAACAGAAAGCACAGGGTAAGTTGTACTTGAATCAGATGTTCCTTCATAAACTTATACATTAAATTATTTTTTAGGTTGTTCACCCTTCAAGACGATATCGGAACTGATATCTTGCAAGTTTACAATGAGAAAAAAAGACTTATCGATATTCCCCAAAATTCTCAGTTCCTTGCAAATGCAGATAGCAATACAAACGCCACAACCTTGCACAAAGGTATTTCACATTGGCTAAACTTCACATCTTGGCCAGCTTGGAATGTAAGTTACTGATAACATTATTCAAACTATCTTCACTCGTGACAAATGAAATATAATATAATTCTGTTGTTTAGATCAATTCTAAGAAACAAAGCTTGAGACAAAGAATGCCTGCAGATATTGCAGACAGTCTAACACTCATGACTTTGCTTTTACCGGGAACTCCCATACTAAAATTAAACGATACGTTGTCTGCAAAGGATGCCTTTGCAACCTTAACGAAAGCACGTCAAAGTTCAACATTCCTTCATGGAGAGACAATGCTTAGAATTGTTAATGGAAGCGTATTTGTATACACAAGGTAAAGAAGAATCTCTGTTTATATGATTACTAATACTCGTTTTTAATACGTACATTAACTCTTTTAATGTGCAAAATCAAACAGTCGAACTTATATGACCAAGAAAGTTATATCAATTTAAATCTCAATTGCTATAAATCATCTCAATCATCCTTTGACACTATACACAAACCCCAAATAATTCACAGAACTCACACAAATGTACTATGTAATTTACTAACCAAAGATTAATTTGGCTTGTTCCATGCTTCCTGCTATGCAACACAGGAGCTGGTGAGTCCTCTCACTAACATACTGCATGAAATCTATTATTTGTAATTCTAAGTAACAACAAATTTGACTAATATGTTCTCTAATTAATATTGCAAATATTAAATTTGTTTTTATTTCTTCATTTTTAAAAGAACTGAGTTACGTTAAAGTTAAATAATTGTCTAGGTTAAAGAGCGGCAATCCTGGCTACTTAGTAGCATACCAAACTGCAGAAGAGCCTACCGTGATGGATCTGTCTAATATACCACAAATCTCAGAGGAGATTAGTGTGGTTGCACATAGTCCCAACTATGTACAGGATGGCGATACAATAAGGTAAAGCATCATTTTACTAGCACTCTCTTTAATTTTCGTGAAATAATATTTCCCGTAACCATTGTCGATAACAAAATATATTTTCGTTACAGAACAAAATTGTACTCTAACAGGGTTCCTATATCGGCCAAGAGTACAGTTGTTTTAACTTTCGTTCCAAAAAGTTAATTGCCAAATTAAAAGGTATCAACAATAATAACAATAATCTCTACTTATAATCCTTAAATAATGGCATTTATTATATGTATATTGCTTTTGTGAACTGTAAGTTAATGTAATTAAATGTGATGCAGACAAAAAAAAAAGAGGATGTTTTAATGAACTCGCCACTTTTTATTTTACAATATTGTTTATTCGATGTGAAGTTTATGCGGATCTGTAAACCTTGCTGTAAGAATATAAAATAATGCTGGCAAAGGAACTAAAGTAAGCATAGCTGGATGAAAATTCAATCCACGAAGAGTCGCTATCGCGACTACACCATATCCATGTAATAGCCAGTGACCTAAAATAACTATTATATTCTTCATGTCTGATATGGAACTTAATAATAATGATTTCATCGTCTAAAAGAAGTAATAAAATTTAGTATTCAAACGCGTTTAGATATACATTTTCTTAAATTTAAGTATTACCTGGTTTAATTTGAATGCAAAATGTGCTGCATTAGACAAAACAGATAATGTTATTGTTATGTATGGAAATGAATAATCTGTAAAACAAATTAGTGAAAATTAGAAACACATCATCTCTATGAACACTAATTATTTTACTCACATATTAGACCACTACCAATTGCATGTAACAATGCAAGAATGGGATAGAAATAAAGGGCAGCATAAATCGAAAATTTCCCTTGTTTTGGTAAAAATTTTTTAGCTATCAAGGGCCTTATCAATAACATAATAGCAGTCCCCAAGGCATAGAAAACAAAGACCATAGTGTACCTAAAAGTTTAATAACTAATTAACTATTAAATCGATAAAGTAATAATTTGTGGTTTACAGGATTACTAACAGAGGATAAACTGCTTCTTGTGTACAATGTAGAGTCTCTTCATAATTTGGGCTAGGATTATGCAGTAATGTGTACCAGTCTGAAAGTTTTGTGGCTCTACATGATCTTACTGCAAATGTACCTATAGGATCTGTTAACTGTAATGTAATGACTGATGCAGCAACAACCTCAACTAAAGCAGATAAATGTAATGCAATCACTTCCTTGGGTATATTACGTCTCATAGATATCATGTCAATACAAAACCAATGTAATACTAATGCTAGCAATACCATAAACCCAAGATACAGCCAGTCATAAAATATTGGCTCATCATCACAGGGTACACATATTGATGATGCATTTGCCCTAAATCCTCGAGGACATGCACCACAGTCACTCCAATTGCCATCAGACAATAATTCCCTTCCACAGTACAAGCCAGGGCATCGAGTAAATAAATTTAGAGCACTTGCCTTTGATACCGAGCACATGAAGGATTAAATAAAAATAGAATTATTGTCAAAATATCTTTAGCAACAATGTGGCAAACATTTGAAGGTTAACCAACAAGAATACTACAAGACGTATCGTGTGATATCATGAGGTAATCTTATAGTTTGTGTTATAGGTTCCGAGTTTTATTATCGTAAATTGTAAATATACAAATTAGGAAAGTATTTTATTTCAACATTTAATAGATCGTTCTGACAATTGTTTATAAACTGTGATCAAGTATATAACGTCATCTGATGGTTACACATGGTACATTCTCGATCATGCTCGGCGTCCCTCTAGAGTAAATGGTAGTCTAAGCCAGTAGACGGGAAGATGCCCCTACCATTCAGTAAAATTTTCTGAAATAAATAGTTGCTAAAGCGATTTGATTCATTAATTAACCAATAAAATAAATAATGAGGTCGATTCGAAAGTCGGTTGTTAAAAGTATATAACATATATATATATATATATAATTGTATTTAGCTACTCGCCACTCGACTAAATTATTGGCTTGAGGTATCATACCCAATGGTGGGGACACCTCCCCTCCTGCTAGTTTAAACCGCCATTTTCCCTAGAGGGAGGTCGAAAAGATAGACTGTAATTTGAATCGTATCCGTCCTGCCACCTTCAAGTAATATGATCTAACTCTAATTAAATCTTCTAAACATTATAATTACTTTCAATTGTAGAATTAAATAAAAAATTTTGAAATCATCTATACATATTATGTATATTTTGGAAATAATTGTAATATTTTTTAAATACACTTTTTCCACCTCTCATTTTATATCATCTGTACTGTTTATTATCATTATTTAATTCTACTCTTATCTATTTGTAAATATTATTGAGAAAATATGTATACAAATTTAAAATATCCATATGTATATTTTTTAAATTACTTCATATTTTCAAAATTAGAGTAGTAATTTGAATTTAGAAGAATAGTCAACTTATGAACGCATCTTGTACTGTGACTAGATCTTTATCGTAACAAATATGTATGTTACCAATGTATGTACTTTAATTAATATCATTTAAACAAAAAAAAGAGGATATCATCCTTTAGAGGTTTCTCTGTTTGTCTGGTGGTTGCTCTTTCCCCCCTAAAGACCATGCGATTGGCGCGGAGCTTGTGACGTAAGTCAGCAACGGTTCCACCCGTGGACCGTATCGAGTCCCCTTTTATCTTTGAAGATCCCCGGTGAATACAAAATTTGCAGAGTGTCATATCAGCTGTAGTGGTCGTTTAAAGATCGAGTTTCTCGCGTCATTTTTATCTTGGCCTTTTGATGATAAGAATTGTATTTTATCAACGAGATATCGTAAGCGTCCATTCTCCACTTTTAGTCGGTGAGTATGTCTTCTGCTTAATTTCCGGTCAGCTGTCATTCCATTATTTTGTTCTAATTGTATTAGAAACAATTCATTGTTTGCCAACAATTCTATTCTTATCGAAAGTCATCTGACGTCTGTAATTTTTACTTCAAGTAATGTCAAATAGTAATTAAGTAACTTTATGTGATAAACTTTTATGTCTAAATTAATGACTTCTCTAATGATTTCTGTAATTGAGAAGATATATTCTATGGGTCATCATTGGTTAAAAGTACTTGTAAGTTTAAAATTTTCCATAAGTTCAAACCTAACCTTTCTAGCATGCCGCATTATATGGATGATATAATTTGCCTAACCTACTTTATTAGATACTTGATATTCGCGTATTTAATACTTTCCATGTATCTATTATTATTTATTTTCAATTATTTTTTTAGTTACTTGTTTTTATATATATTTAATTATTCAAATTATCGACTTGTATAATCGAAGTATTTATTTATAAATTATTTTAAATTTTCAGTTATGAATTTATCATTATTTCAATGTTAATTTTTATCTTTATTTGTGATATTATGTCAAAGTATTGTGTTAACATTAATGAAATTGTATAAATTGTTTTATGATATAGTATTTTATATGTATATTTATTTAAATATTTCTCATAAATTTTCCATAAACTTATAATAAATTGCACAGATTAGTGCATCATACAATCTTGTTATAAGCTCTAAGTACTTATATAATATTTTTGCAATTTCTTTGCATTTCAAGGCTTAAAAATCACGACAGTTTAAGATGTTATCAAAACTGAATATTACTGGAATTTGTTTTGGAAAGTCAGAATAGAATTAAAAACTCTTTCAATGGAATTTTCCAAGTCGGAAGCGTTTAGTAAATATCGATCGACGCTTAAGTATGTATATACATATGTCGAAAGTCTTCGGATCGAAACATATCGAAAGTCGTATTAGGAACAATTTAAAATGACAACTGCTTCAGGATTTGCCACCATTAATTGTTCTCAATTAAAATCATATTAGGCAAATTTACTATGTCTTCAAATTTGTATTACAATTCATTTATTATTCTTTTTTAATTAGAGCGCTAATTGAATATCAAATAGCCATATGTCCTTACATACATTATGATAATAATCGATAGTGTTATTGAATTTACATTTAAATTGTCGTCTCGTCGATTAATATATAAATTATATATTTTTTTTTTATCGTCAGTATATTGAGTAGCCAAGTATGTACTTTGAATGTGGAACATTCATTGTCAGCCAAAATAATGCTCTCAAGGTTTACTGGAAGCTCAAGAAATCAATGATGTGTCCAGGTCGTTTCTCAATAGAAAGTGTTAAGGTGGCTGGAATAAAAAATATTATATACTTCTGTGCATATATATAATATATTTACATAATTATAAACACATTGTTATCATTAATTTTTCATAACAATATATACATTCCGACGATAAATATTTTTTATATGCATGTCTGTATTTTTAATTGGCGATAAATTCAGATCAGCGAATGATAATTTTTAATCTTAATTTTTAATAATTATTCTATTGCTTAAAATAGAAAACAACGTCAGTCTTGAAATGATCAAAACACGTGTCTGAGAATAGAATTGGTGGCATTGAGTCCCTTAGAATCTCCAATGAAATCTTTCTAAGAATAACAATATAATATCTATCATTTTTATATTAACAATTGTAATATTGAAATACAGGTAATTATATAGAATAGGGCACTATAAGAGCACTATAGTCTTAAAATTTGTGAATCTACGTTATTGTTACTTAGTTTGCAAAATTTTAATAAAATGCAAAAATTTCCGAGCGTGAAGCTTAGAGTAAATAGCGCCGTCCCTGACGTATGTTATTAAGGTCAATGTCCTATTAATTTTATGCACATAAATGTTTAACATCAAAAGCGTTAATTAAGTGTATACATTTACTAAGCAATGAATGACTCTACCCATTTGTTAAGTAAATGAATTCACAAGCAATGAAATTGAAACTGTTAGTAATAGAGTTATACCTTGTTATATCTGATGTAGTAAATGTATGTACAACAGAAATGCATCAATTCAAACGAATGTTGCACGTTTCATCTTGGTTTAACAACATAAAATGATTAATAAGTTTGTATTAAGGAAATATATTAGTACAAACGTAATTTTTCTAACAGGGAGGAAATTCTAAATTCGAGTTTCAATGGAAAAAGATAACGAGAAAAAAGTTGAACAATTTAAGTAAGTTATTTTAAATGGAATAAGCTTTAATAAAGACTTGCTAATGTTTTTATTATTTATTCATTTTAGACTTCTACCAAAAATCATCAATGGCGGTATCGCGGGTATTATTGGGGTCTCCGTGGTATTCCCATTGGACCTGGTTAAAACACGATTACAAAATCAGATTGTTGGTCCAAATGGCGAAAGGATGTACAAATCAATGTAAGTAATTCTATCCGAAATTCATATTATAAAAATATTTAAAAAAAGAATTAATTGAATTTGAATTTTTCATATTTCAGGTTCGACTGTTTTAGAAAGACTTACAAAGCCGAGGGTTACTTCGGCATGTACAAAGGGTCCGGTGTAAATATTCTGTTAATCACACCAGAGAAAGCAATTAAACTCACTGCCAACGACACTTTCCGTCATTATTTATCTCCTGGACCGGGGTACATTAGTTTTTTATTACACTTATTTAAGAAAGGTAATGGTAGTGATAACGATAACAATGTTGATTCTGATACCACTACCGTTATCTGTACTGATATTAATACTAACATCAATATAAATAGTAGTCAGTTGCGGCTCGTAACTGAAACGCAGCCTCGCGATTACAAATTCTTATAAACCACCACTGATACTAGCTCAATGTGAAGGTCGTCGATATCGAACGTTGGGAACTTGACTTATTTATGTTATTTGTGATGATAGCAAAAGTTTTCATTTTCTCTACAGACAGAAACTGCCGTTAGAACGCGAAATGCTTGCCGGTGGCCTAGCAGGTGCTTGTCAAATTATAGTCACAACCCCTATGGAGCTACTTAAAATCCAAATGCAGGATGCTGGACGAATAGCAATGGCAGCGAAAGAAGGTACCTAAATTTCATGAAATTTGTATAGAAAAATAAGGAGAGCAATTAAAAATAAAATAAACAATAAATTGTACTATTACAGGAGGGCAAAGTGTGCCAAAGGTGTCAGCCATTTCCCTAACAAGGGATCTCCTTCGAAAGAAGGGTGTTGTGGGACTTTATCAAGGCACTAGCGCAACAGCCCTTAGAGACGTTACATTTTCTGTTATTTACTTTCCATTATTCGCTAGATTGAATGATATTGGACCAAAAAGAAAAGATGGCTCTTGTAAGTTTTCCTGTATTACTTGAAAACAATTTGGCTCAGATTTTTATTAACTTGATTTTTTTTAAATTATTTATAGCTGTGTTTTGGTGGTCATTTTTGTCTGGTTGTGCTGCTGGTTCTACAGCTGCGTTATCGGTCAATCCATTTGATGTAGTGAAAACTAGATTGCAAGTAATCAAAAAGGCACCTGGTGACCCCACGTACAATGGTGTATTGGATTGCATAGGGTAAGTTTAATCGTATCGCAAGAATACACTACTACACTTGAATTATCACAATTAATTATTTGAAAAAAAAAATAATTATGATTTTGCAGTCAAACGTTGAAAAACGAGGGTGTGACGGCGTTTTTCAAAGGTGGCGCATGTAGGATGATTGTGATAGCGCCCTTATTTGGGATTGCACAAACCGTATACTACCTCGGCGTCGCAGAGTGGCTTTTGAGACTTAAATGAATGCTCCCCCTCTACTCTTCTCTGCCGTCTGAATACTCTGGGATTACAGTGACAATAACTGGCGTATTATAGATGTATTTTCGCTTAATATTGTTCGTTAGTTTCAGAATGAGTGACTCCTCTTCTGAATTGTTTTGGAATCTTGATTATTGGATGCACGAAGATACACTGCTTCGTTAGACAGATGAGTTCCTACTTTTATCAGGTATTTATTACAAAAAGTATATCTTTTCCTTGCTCATTTTTTCTTTTATAGGGTAATATAATTACTTATAACAAAGTATTTAAATTTTACTAAACAATAGGAATTGTGGAGGATTTGAGTTGAATTATTTTAAATTTTAAGTTAGTTAAATTATTTTACTTTTATAAGTATTTAAATTGTGTCTCTTCTAATAATCAAGGTTCTATTATGCCATGCCGGGATTAATTCAACGTTAATAATAGTGACGTTGATTCCGACCTAGTATTATAGTTGAATGAGAATGAAATCCATTATTTACGACGAAGGTCGCTTATTTTCATTATTAACGAACTAGTCATCGTAGATTTTGTTGTTTCAATTTAATTATCTTCTAAAACCAGTGTTTCCAAAATCTTATTTAATTCTTGTTGTTATTTTAATTTTACTAATTTAGGAATTTAGAAATTTAAAGGAATTTTAACTTATTGAAATTCCAAATTTCTTATGTATTAGTTGAAAGAATCATTGATGTATATTTATTTTAATGAAAGATGTAAATGTATATGAATGCTAAAAAATGCAAGGCATGTTACATATCTAAATATACTATTTGTAAATAACCATTTACAAATAAGAAAAGGTGGATTAAAAATTGTTAATGTTATTTTAAATTTAAATTTTTATAAATATATTTAAAAGTGTTATGGAAACACTGGTAATATATCATGATAAAAGGAGCCTATATTTACGGACTTTTAGTTTCATATTCTAGCTAATTTAGTCATCAAGAATTGTTACAATTATAAGAATGAAATGATACGACAGAATAACTCTTAATTGATGTGATCAATAATAAATTCATTCCATATTAATTTTAAATTTTGTATCTTTATTAGTTTTATTAATTACAGAAATATTATAAAGATATCGAAATTAGTACAAAAATTCTTTTTGATACTTTTATATATTGTTTTTTAATTATTAAGATGTTTTAAAGATATCAGAGCAATTAAGAGTTAAACTGTTTCCCTTTCTTTATTCTTCCTGGGCAATTTTGCGGGGAAATTCTAGATAACTTTCTTCGAAGGAAGTTCATGTCAATTCTGGGAACGGTTGATTAAAAATATAATAAAAATCTTAATGTACATTGACATTGTACAAAAGTGAAGTTAATCAATTTTTTTGGACAACGAATTATTAAATTTTATTCGTTCAAAAAAGAAAGAAATAATTCTTTTAAAGTTTTATGAATTTGCAATATTAGTAATTGTATAGATTTAGCGTTGAATTTATTTTAACTAATATATCCTGCAATTATATTAAAGAAAGGAGAAAAATGATTTGCTTTGTTAAAGTATTCATTTATTTAACAGGTATTTCTGCAAAACTTTTTTTATTAAAATCGTATATACAAAATCAGAGTGGAAAAACGAAACAAATTTAATATTATGGTTCTTAATTAGCTCTTTTTGAAATTTCACATTCTTTAACACTAATCCTTGCATTTAGATTTCTACAGTGTCAACTGTCCATTTGAAGTTAATAAAAATCAAAATCTTCCATTGATTTTTTTTCCCCCATTATTAAATTACAGATCCTTGCGCACGTTAACTGTACAGGAGGACATTTTCCATTAATAGTCAATATTTAATTAATGTAACAATTATAGTTACCTTGCGCTGTAATGATGTACAGGTTTTCGATAAAGTTCAAAGGCACTTCCTCTTTGTTCCCTGCTTCCAGCAAGATCTAGCCCGCTCGGTTCTCTGTTATGCCCTGGACTAGTTGGGAAACTTTGCGTTGGTCCGTTGTGTCCATTGTTTACAACATATCCATTGTGATTCACGTTATTTCTATTATGAGAGAGACCCAGGCTCAATTGGCTGGCACTATTACTGTGACTGTGAGTTGACATTGGCGGGCTACAATGCGCATGTGTGTGGCTCAGGCTATGATTGTGAGCTGGTGTTGAGAGATGGCTTAAATTGTGATGAGAATTTCCAAGATTTGAATCATGTCTATTCGGTGGTGGAATATTGTAATAATACTGTCCGCTGTTGCGTTGCACGTTGTTAGTGCCTTCTGCCTAAAAGAAAATTGACAAAACTCTTGTTTTCATATATCACACCTTTTACCCTGCAGTTTCTCCTTTCAGTTTCTTTCAAATAATTTTTAGTTACTTACATGAGAAGTAGCAATAGAATAACTCTTCGAATGCTGGTGAGTATTATTCCCCTCGTTTCCATTATTCTCTGACTGTGCCAGGTTTGCTTGAGGTGGCCTGTAGTTTTTTGGTTTTGGAGGTGGTATGGGTTTGTATGAACCTCCAGGTTTATTTTGTGGTAGTGTGATGGATTTGTAATCGGTCGTGCGGCTACAATATATAAAGCAAAATATTCTAGCTTACAGGAAACATGAGGGATAGTATAAATCATATTAAAAAAGAGATATAAGCTGCCTGCAAAATAATATTTAATGATACAAGTAAATAACAGAAATTGTTAGTATAGTACACAGAGAATACTACAAAATAAATATTCTTATAGCAAATATTACTACATGCAAGAAAAATTAAAGAGACTATGAAAAGGCCACGTGTGCACTTATGCTATTGACTTAGAGTAAAATAAAAATTAAAAAAAAAAAAAAATACAATGCAACAAAAAAATTCAAACTAATGTATCACGACTGGAAATATAAATTCTACAAGTTCTCCTCAGTGGTCGAGGTTTTCGTGTCATCAGTCTAAAATAAAAAGGACAAAGAGAAAGAATGGAAGATAGATAAAAAAGTGTATACATTTCTGTAATATATTAGTTGTTTTGAAAATCCATGAAAATATTTTTTTCCAAGTATAAAAATAAACTGTTATAAAAGTTTTACAATAGATCTTTTTAACCAAATGCACTATATTTGTGTTACTGAAAGCTAGTTTCCCATCACCTCAAAAATACTATAGCAAATACATACCTGTATTTGGCATAATCGGTACGTGGTTGGGTCTCGTGGCTAGGAATCGGTTGTGCTGTTGATCTGGTGAATCTGTAAGGATCATGCGACCTCGGTGGTGCACCACTGCTTTTTAAATCGTCCGGTACATTAGGACCTAATCTTCCAGTAGATGTACTTAAACTTGGTGCTCCATAACTAGCATTTCCATTTGTATTATTATAGGAATCATATGAAGACATGCTATCATAGCTTCCCTATACAAATACATATAAAAAAATCAATAACATTTGTGTAATAATTAATATAAAATGATTTTAAGTAATTCATACCGCTTTTGGCTGAGCTCTTTCAAGCGATGACGTGGCATTAGCTTTATGAGGTGTTGCATTTATGTAATTTGCTACATCCAAAACGGAATCGGTTTTATTGAGCAATCTTTCTTGAGCAGATCTTCCAATAGTATTTCTCTGTTGTTGTTGTTGTTGCTGTTGTTGATTGCTTGGCTTTGCATTACGGTCCACTCTTGGAGGTAAATCGGGAGGACTATGATGAGAGGATCTGGGTTCAAAGGAGCCACCTAGATATTCTGGTGATCCTGACTGATTGCTAACTTGTCCTGACAAGGAGAATCCGTATTTTCCATCTCCCATTCCTCCTTGTGATCTTCTTTTTGGTTGCTCAAATGATTGCTGGAGAAATAAATATTTGTGTTATGTTGTAAATCATAGTTACATCAACGAGTATTTGATTAATTGAATTAAATTAGGTTTACCTGATAAGTTGTTGAATACGGTGGTGGTGCAGCAATGTCATCTTGCGTTGCAATACTTGGGTCAGAGCTGCTTTTCAATCTAGAGGGTGCACCCAGAGCACCCGGTAAAGCTGGTGCCGGACTGAGTTCCAAGTCACTCTCCGGAGAGGAAGCATAGGAGAGGCGAGATGTCATCGGGAATAGGAAGTCATCCGAGAGTGCTTCTTCCGGCTATCATCGCAGGACACAGAGGACGACACATTACAGTGGTTTATGCTCTATTTAACCCTTTCAGAATTTCCCTCTTAATACCACAGTGTAAAAATGTTTTATAAAGAATTTAAATTTTGTAGAACATTTGCAAATACTTTATACATAAATAATGTTCATCTGAAAGGGTTAAAATTCAAACAAAGAACAAATACTTGCCATTTGGTTAAGCTTAATTCTTAAAATCAGTTAAGGTATTTTCAAGATTACAGGATCTGATTTATGAAATGTTTCTAATCTTCCCAATTGAAAATATTTGATTTATCGTTGAATTTATTGGGAAAATTAAAAAATTCTTGACGATTACTCAGCTTAGGAGAACCCAGGTGTAACAGCAAAGACATACAATACCACCAAACATTCCGTTAGTTTTGCAAATAAAAATGAAGGATGAATGATGAACAGCATTTCTATGAAATTAATTTGATTGAAAGATCTCGTCAAATTTAGTGTATTATTTATTCAATAACATACAGATTCTCCACTCTGTTTTTGTAAAAATTTCTTATTAAAAGAAATTTGTTGTGAAATTTTTAGAAGGATAATACATTAAGTTCTGTCAACAGATGAAGTGAGAAATTAGAATCTTATTAATCATATTGCAATCGTTTATTCCTCGTGATTTCCCCATTGAATCTATCACTAAAAAAAAAGAAGTTTATTTTAAAGTCGTCTCTTTTATACATGTAAAAAATTATAAAATTTTCTTCTTGGCCATACTGACTAGTATTTAAATACTTATAGGGTATTAAACATATTATGAGATTATTTGCCTTACAATGTACAATAATATATAACAAAGCTATGGAATAATGTAGCCATGCAAATTAAATTAAACAATAATATATAAGGTGTCTCGAATATCTCAAGCATTTTCTTTCAACTTAAAATGTTAAAAACAGTAAATTAAAATTGATTGATTGATATTTACGTTAACTAGAATTATCAGAAAACTTGTATAATAAGAACTGAAAAAAAAAAGAATCTTTCATATTATAAATTGTTACAAAAATGCTTTGGAAAACTAGCGATAAATCTACTAACTTGAAACATGATAATCAAGACACCTAATTAGGAAAAGCAGGATTTATATGTAGCCGAAAAATTGCTCACGGACAACGTCAGAAGTTAAAGACGGATAAGAAGGTAATGAAAACAATTTGTCCGTGTGATATGTATCATTTTCGTTCACGTCATGGTACACGATTTCTTTTGAAATCGGCGGGGGTAGAGGAAGGGGAGGTAAATCACGAGGTTCACCGGACGAATGACATGGCTCCCACATCATTTGTCGACCATATGGCTATAATAAATTATTATAAAATAATTCTATCAACTTTCCAGAAGCAGAACTTCCATTATTTTTCTGATATTTCATCCCCAATGTTTAATTTGAAGAAAAGAAGAATGAATTTATTGAAAATCGTACTGTGCAGAGTTAGCATTAAAAATATTATTACAGGGTTAAAAAATATTACCTTAGTTTGACTCATCCAAAGTAATCCCTGTTGTTGTCTATCGATCAATTCTCTCAATTTCCTATACCAAGCTTCCGGTGTGGTTAAGGTAATCACTGCGCTGAAGATATGGCCCCAAATTTTATCTAACTTCTGACATTGTTCCAGGAGCTTTTTACTGCTTTTATGCGCCGATCTGGACAAAAATTCAGATTCTTTTTATTCACAGAATTGAAAATATATATTAAAATTACTTACTTAGGAATTCCGGCACGCATCTCCTTAATAATTTGTTTAGTTTCAGCTTTCAGAAAAATAACTATAGGGTAGAATTGCGCGTAGTTCAATCTATCCACAGCATTTGGAGTAATATCTAATAAGGCATGCTTCCCTCTATCCATCACTTCTCTAATAGCACTCAGTCGAATGATCCCTGATGACTTCGTGTTCTTCCCAACGTTATCATCCAACTGGTTTTCCATTTCTGCAAGAAGATAAATATTTTTTTAAGTTTAACAATTTAATATCTGCTAAAGGTTTATGTACTCACGCGGCGATGTGAATTTATCAGGAAAGTCTTTTAAGAGTTTTTCTCTAGCCAGGTCTGCAACAGGACCAAATAATACAACGGGTCTGACAAAACCAGGATGTCTTAGAATGACTCTTTCATAGGCTGGAAATTTGCTAACGCTGTCAGAAAACACTACGTCATCCCAGTGGTCCTGGAAGACAATATAAAATAATTTTAATGGTTATCGAAATCAAGAATCAGAGCTGTCCCTAGAGATAGTGAAGCCAAGGGGCAAATATTTAATTAGAAATGACTGTCAATACCTAATTCGATTAACTTTTATCAAACGCTTTATCAAGTGTCCCGTTTGCCTAGTGCTAGCTAGGGACGAACCTGTTAAGAATCATTGTTTTATATGATAATTGGTGAAACCTACTCTTCCAAGAGATTTCGAACGCCTATGACTGCTTCTTCTTCTCCTAAAGAAGCTACCCCTGCTTTCACTGGCACTCATTTCCTTCTTTGTAGCATTGAATTGTGCAGTTGCTAGTTCTTCGGCTCGGGCTTTATTCGGTATTATTCCTTTCTGTACTTCCTGATTGTTCCTACCAATACGGAACACTTGCCACGAACCGACCACACCATTGTGTAAAGTATCCACTACATGAAATACATCTCCGCTGCGAAAACTCATTTCACCTTTTTGTGGTTGTTCATAATGAAAGTGAGTTCTGTAACATCGAATGAACATAAGAGGATGCCTTTTAAGTAATTACATACACTTTATGTTATTTAGAAGATGCTTACTTTACATGAAAAGAATCACCCTTTCCAGATGCTACTACTTGATCATATTCTTGTCGTCGATGTTGAACTATTAAGTCAATTTGTTCTTGAAGACTGAGTAAGAAAAGAACGGCTTCTTCTCTTGTTACTCCTTTCATATCCATATCATTTATCTGAAATTGTTAATAGATGCGTTTAATTTTAAGTTCTCATTTATTGTTCTTGAAAGAGGATTACCTTTAAAATTTTATCTCCAGGTTGTAAGCCTTGTAGAGAAGCTGGACTTCCTGCTTGAACCGCTGTCACAAAAACACCAGTCTCATTTCCACCACTTAGGCGAACGCCTACTGATCCTTCTTTTTGGAAGGTAATGAACCGAGGATCTGGCCTGAGAATATTAAGAATTATCATCAATTCTTAAAACAGAAGTTATTAATTAACATTTTTATATTAAAAAATATAACTTACATTGGAAGTTTATTCCTAGATAAATCATCATCATAGAGCTGTCTCCTTGTGCTATAATAATCTGAAACAGGTGTATAAATTTTTCCTTCAATACTATATTAATTTCCAAACGATAGTTTGTTTATAAAATCATACCCTCTGGTCTAGGTGGTGGTGGTCTAGGAGGATCCACAGTTGGAGTAGCAGGAAGATCCAATTGACTAAGAGAAACGTCCATTAATGGTCCCCTGGCTCGACCCCTAGGAACAAGATTACTCTTGTCCTCTATGGGCTGTCTCGTTGGAGGTGGAACATACAAGTTTTGACTACTGTAACTAGTTGTCCCAGAAAGATATTCCCCAGTTTCGCTCTTCGCTTGCTGTTGAACATGACAGCAGGAATTGTCCCTGGTTACCACTATCGACAGTCTATCTTTACACTGATCCATTAATTTCTTTGCTTCTTTCAGGCTCATGTTGTCAGTGGCTACGCTGCCTATTCGAGTTAAAACATCTCCTGGTTTCACTCCTGTATTCTCTCGAGTTACCTCTTTCACGTAGAGACGGCAACCAAGGACAATTCCAAAGTCTAGAATAAGAAAAGAGAGATTAATGAAATGCTTATCGAAATTGAATCTGGTTAAAGTATGCTGCTTACCATCTTTCTTATTGTTTCTTGTAAGCGTCAGTCTATGACTCTGGAGTGTAGAGTTCCCCAGAGTATTGGAAGAATTCGAAGATGCTCTGCGTTTAACTACTAGTAGCACCGTTGATCCTGAATCTCTCAGGACTCGAATCGCTGCTCCATAATCAGCACCCTCAAGTGATATCCCATTTGCAGATATTATACGATCATTCACCCTGTAATTAAAATAAAGGTAAAACCACCTTTAATAAATATCTAATTTTGGATCATCTTCCGATTCAGAAAATCATTTAGTCAGTTTTCTGCAGATAATTATCCATATAAATCTTCTTACTGTAATTTTCCTTCAGCTGGACCAGCCTTTAGGACATCAGAAATTGCAATGGCAGGATCACCGTTTGTAAAATGAGGATTATCCCGGCCACCGGAAACAGCTATTCCAAATCCATAACCAGGAACACGGGTGACAGTTACATGATGGACTTCCCATCCTCTATCTCCGTTCTGAAAAATTTTTAAATAGATTATTAATGGAAAAAATTGTATCGAACATTAGAATACTTTGTTACTTGTCAAGTTTCAATGAACCCATTCCTTTTCCAATAGATAAGAATGCAAGAAAACACGTGAAACAGTAATTGGATGAAAATTCTAAGGGTTCTTTAACAGGATTCTTCTTCTACTTAACACATACTTAGCTCTACCCTAATTGTGGACCACATTTTATTGCAAGTTGAATGTTTAATGATAATTATTATTTTAAACAATTATTTTCCAAATCAAATTTACAAAATACCAAAATTTTTAAGAATCCTGATCCATCTCAAAAAAAAAATCTTAATTACGCTCTTGTACATAATATGTCGGTATTTATCATTTTAAGATAACAGTAATCAGTGAGTTCATTTATTTCTGCTAAATTGTACTTAATTCGCACCTGTATATCAATTCCGGCGGAAGTATTGTGAATAATACCGTGAGTCGTCGAAGAAGAATTCGGGGAATTTCCCGAATTCCCGACACTCACATTATTATCGTTTCTCTCCATTTTGGAAAACTTCGTTTCGAAAATCCGACGTTTTCCTTTCTAACACTTCTCAGGAAGCATTTTTATTACATCTACATTCTTTTCCTTTTTTTGTATATTTTCTGCATTATATTTGCATTTTTTTGTTGAACCTATTTTCAGTTACATAGCTAATTAATTTATCAAAATTAATTTTGATTTTTTTTTTTAAATTGTTAATATTTACAAAATGCTCCTTTTTGTAAAATTTTGTTACAATAATTTCTCATCTTTTTCGTAAGCGTTTTTGCTATACGATTATTGTCTACTATTTTTAATTAGAATTCTTTATCGCAATCTCTGTTAGAAAAATAAAAATGGTAAACGTTCTAGCGGAGTTTTCCGGCGCATAGGCGTCATAAGCATCGATGTAGGAGCTAGCAATCCCACGTGCATCCCAGATACATCCAACGTTTATATTTTTTTTTCAATCCTACGATAGTTTGTACTCTAATGGTAAGCTACACCATGATATTTTATTCCAGAAGATCGCACGACCTCATTTTTACACGAAAGAGTTTTCCCAATCACATTGCGTTCCACACTGATGAGCTGCGTTCAACATGCGGACAATTCAATGCAACGCGCAGTTATGGAATTCCATTTTCCTTTCGAGTGCTTTAGACCTTCACTTTCTTCATCGTTCTAATTCCATATTTTACGCACCGAGTTTCTTCATTGATCTTGAAACGTTTCGTCTAATTAATTTTGATTTCCTGGTAATAATCTCCTTTCTCTTTCCTTCGTTCATAAACTTCAATTCTTTTTATTACTATGTTTATAGTTATTGCTTGTGCGTATTTGAAGAAAATATTATCTCTTTATATTTCCACCTAAGTCATTCATTTTTCAAGGAAAAGAGCTTTTTATCGTACGTTTTGTTATGAACAAGAAATTTGTTTAAAAATTTCCTGGTTGTCCTTCAGAATTACTCCGAACTATTCATTTAGCTTTTTTGCACTTTGCTGACTGCATCAATTCTGTCTTTCATCGGTGTCCCATTATCTTCTACCAAATAAAACTGTAAATTTATAAAATGACACGTAAAATAAAAGAATTCACGCGTCCATAAATTATTTCGAATTTACGCGCGTTTACAAAGGACAAAAGAATTTGAAAAAGACAAGTTCGAGGAAGTATTTTAATTTTTTATTTATATCAACTCTCGTGTTTCAGAAATATCAATTTGGCTAAATAACAGAGAAAAATATTTATTAACTTCTTATCCTTCTTTCCAGTTTAAATTTTAAAAGTTACTTCAACAATTCAAGGCTACAATTTTAAGGTTACTTCGAATGCCACTTGTTGCTCGGAAAAGCAAACAATTAGGTCGGAAGTTTCCATGCCTGAAGAGTTTCACCGCTTTTATCATTGGAACTTCCATTTTCCGAGGGGGAAAATCATTGTGTACACTTGTGCATTCTCAACAAGTGGGAAAAATGTGGGGAGAAAAGAGGGATCTGGCTACACACGAAAAATCACTATCATGTTGTCAGCAGAGAACGAATTCCAATCATCCGAGTCACCCTCGACCAATGGAAAGAAGGACTATGAGAATTTTGAAAAAAGCAAAGAAGCATTGTAACTTCCGCATCCTTCAGAGGTAATTCATTTCACAGTGTTTCTATATTTTACAAAAATTAATTTTAATATCAACTAAAATATCTAAATCTAGAAATGGCATAGCAAACGGTAACTTTACATTTAATCTTCTAGTATCAGAAAATCAAAGAAGAAAGATTATCCACAAAGAAAATGGCATTAATCTTGTATGTCTTCCTCGAACAAAAATAGAAAATTACAACAATGTCTAAGAAATTCCTCACGATTATGGTCGAATGAATTTTCATCGATGCCCGTAAATCTCACAGTGTTTACAGTAGGAAATCCATAATCCACGTATCGGCATTCCAAACAGCACTGGCACTTTTTAACATCCACCAATATTCCATGTATAATCCCGCACCGAAAAACTTTATTATCTTCGCATACGTTCATTCACATAGTTGAAGAAATCACGAGGAAATGCATAAAGGAGAGGAAGAAAAGGGAGACTATACGCATGCGGAAAATTAGGAGAAATTCTTATTCTGATGATTCGAGCGTGGCTTGGCTACAGCAGGCGGCAGGTCGACGCAAATCGGATGAGAAACGGGCTTGGCGGCTATGGGGAAGAGTACAGAGCCTGCTCGAGTGAACGCGTCGTGAAGAAGTTGAAAGTGGAGGGGAGTCAGGACCTGCGCCAGGGGACCGGGGTACGGTGCTGAGGCGTACAACATGCGCGTGCCTGCACACCGGTTTTCGGCTTCCCTAGTGATGGGCCCGATCTCTCGGGACGAAGGCTGCTGTGGTATGTATTCAGTGCTTATTTCATAGATTTAATAGTTAATAATTTATAAGAGAGCACCTTACTTAACTTCGTGGCCTTACAGAGTGTCATTCTTCATAAGAATAACGGTATGCTTCATTAGCGCCTAATCACCCCTTAGGGACGAGGAACTAACTTCAGAGTCAAATGAGCTTTACTACTTTTCCATAGTAGAATTTAGGTACTTTGATTTATTTTAAGATTGTGAAAATTTATTTTAGTTTCATTGTTAATGTAAATGTGTTTATTGTGAAAGTCGATAGTGAATTAGTATATCCATGGGATGAACCATTGGTCTTTTTTTGTATGGAACACCCGTTACATGGAACTCGCATCTGGATCCAACGCACGTGCGCGTAAATCACGATGAATGCACTTATTATCAGTGGTCCACTACGAAATGCTAAAAGTAGCGAAACTGGCGTATAGAGAATAAATAGTACGTCCAGTAATACCTGATTCCAATCAATTTTCTTTTGTATACTTGTCTGTGTATTTATTTATTACCTTGATGTATAAAATTGTAAATGTAATGCTAGATTAAGTTTTAACTTTGTGTTTTTAATTATATTAGAAAATTAATCAATTGTGATGTTAGGAAGAGGTGTAGTGTCAATTTTTCATTTTGATAGGTACCTATTTTGTATTGTATTCAATGCTGTGTGCTACCTGTGAATCTGAGGGTAAATTAGAATAGGGAACACAAACGACTGATACCTGAGCCAAAGCGACACATTCCAGCTGCTTGTAAGGTGTGTCATATTCCAGTTAAATTGATGCTTTTCTTTGTGTAGGTTTTTAGCGATGGCTTTAAGTTACGAGCCGAGTTAATACAGTATTTTTATAACGGAATTGTAATTCTAAATGAATATGTATTAAATAATTAAATAGAATGTTTTTCAGATTTTAACTAAATTGTTAAGTATACAACTATTTTGAAGAATATTACATTGCATTACTATTCGAAGCATATATAGTTCTATATCTCCATCAAATATTATAATAGGTTTGAATTTTACAAATTTTAATTACTATACAGTTATTAATTGCAGTAAAATTATCAATTATGGGTGGTCACTTGAACTAAACCCTTTTGAATATCACGCTGATGCTAAAAATTTGAACAACGCCATCTAGTAGTTGGTGTCGGCGTTTGCTCTTTTAGTATTAGGTTAGCAGAAATGCGAAGAAGTGGCACAGAGGTAGTATACGTATGATAAGGACAGACACCCACCCACTTTAAAATGGCGTCACTTAAACGAAATTCTTACAAATAACAGAATATAATTAATTACTCATTTTCTACGAACAATTTGTACATTTTTAGAGTTGATTATTAAAACAGGAGATCTTGAAAATTTTCTCATGTAGCTTTCGCACTCCTTCTTTATGTAATTAATGAATTATTCATGTGTTTAGTGATGCTGCGATAGTAATTGACACAGGGTGTCACTTTTCGACAGTTTATTTATTTCTCGTAGTTAATTCATGAATCTTTATGATTGAAGAATATAGACTGATTCAGTAGCTATATTCTCGTATAACTTTCGTTAATATTTTCCCCAAGAATAAGTGCGAAAGTTATGCAGTCGCCTACTTTAATCATCCACTCTAAAAGTGCACAAATTGTTCGTGGAAAATAAGGAATTAATTATATTTTGTTATCGGTGGTGATTTAGTTCAGAAGACGCCATTTTGTATGCTACCTCTATTCCACTTCCTTGCATTCCTACTAGCCTGATACCAAAGAGCAAATGCCGATACTATCCGTTAGATGGCGTTGTTCAGATTTTTAGCCAACCGCGAAATTTGTATAGTGTTTTAAAAGTAACCTGAAACTATTGTTCAACGTGTAACAAATCAGATTTTCTAACATTGCTTTTTCCTTCCAGCTTCGACCATTTGTGCCTGAATTCTTTGAAATAACACAAGACGGAAATAAAATAATTCCAGAGAAGATGATGGAAATTTGCAAAAAAAGATTTTTTTAATGGAAAAAAGGTACAGAAGGTGAATTATAGTATGTTGTTTAAATATAAAACATAATGGTGTTTTATATTGATGCAAGAAACATATCTACCATAGGTTTAAGATTATAATAAAATGGGTCCAGATTACTTATTAAACAACTAATTACTTAAATGTCTAATATAAATAATTAAATTTAGTCTTGGTTTAATAATTGTATACCGCAGTTCACCAGAGTTCATAACTACGAAAAGACCAGTTTTCGTTCTTCGCGCTTCTCCAGTGCGCATCTTCGCCCTGATTGGCGATACTCCCAAACAAAGTGGAAAGCGATTAGCAGAGAGCTCGCTGCGTTCCCCCACCATCTTCCAACCTGCGCGTCGCAGTTATGGACTCTGGTGAACTGCGGTATATGTACTTATAAAATAACGTGTACTCCTGAAAAACTGATTTGTAATTGGTGGTGTACTATTACAAGGTTTATACACAGATTATGCATTGCAAAGTAGCTCATATGAAAAATGACTAATTATAAATTGTCTGTCCCTGCACAAATATATTACTCACCCTGTATTTTCTTTTATGACTTCTAGGTTGACTTCCAGGCAGGAGAAAATTGTCTTGAGGCACATACTGTTTTCTTCTGGATGAACTCTTCTTTAAATCATTCCTCTTTTTCTTCCTTTTCCCATGAGGAAGTAGTTTATCAAATATCTTCATTTTTCTATTATCAACTGCCTTTGGTAGTTAACTGTTGGTAGTTAACTATATAGAAATATAAATATTGATATCAGCTTTGTAATTTTAAAACATTTACAACAAGAAAAAACATCTCTATTTAACTATATTTTGTCCACTGTTCACAGTTAAGAAATCATCACTAAGAAAGCAGATTGTATTGGTATCACAAAGGAAGAAGTCTATCATCAGAAAATAATCTTAGGACAACTTACTTGGGACAATTTTAAGTGGAAGAGTATCGAGCACAAGACACACTGAACGCTAATACGGAAAAGAGTGATGAGAAATGAAGAGATACCGATTTGAAATGTGGGCGGCTTCGTAACACGGCTTATCATAGCGGGTGTTGCTGATACTGGATGAGCCGATGGAATCTCTGTAATTCTACGTTGCCTTTGGACGAACGATCGATCTGTCGACGAAATGAAGCCCCAGAATCACATACTGGCTTCATATTCTTCGAATTACGTATACGAACGTTTCTTCACCTTCCACGTTTCAATTTTACTGTATATCAAATATGAAAAGAATTCTTCAACTAGTCTTAAAGGGTTGAAAGTAATGTAGAATTTTTTTAAAAATTCTGAAGGCTCTATAACTATTCAAATTGATGTAACTAGGCAGATTGGTCTTCTATAAGTAATAAGTTTTCTTGTTATTAATAGAAAGATTGTAGTCAAATGAAATTGTGTCTATGTTGCAAGCTAGTAGCTTTAGAATTAAGAAAATAAAATATTAAATTGTGGAAATTCAGTTTTTGTACATGAAAACTTAAGGTTTATTGCTTATTAGGCACTCAAAATTTATTAAACAAACAAATAATATTTGTCAATGATACAAATTCTAATAATACAATTCAATGAATGTAAAAAATATACAGTAATAACATGCAAAACAAATCTCCTCAAATCTGGGGACCGCTATCTGATAATTATGAAAAACAACGAGAAGTAAGAAATATTTTTAAGTTATAACAATTTTAATTAAACCAAATAACTTAAACGATTTATATCTTTGTCTTCTCGTTGATCATCACAATATTTGTTAAATTATAGGATAGGGGTAAAATGATATTTAAGCTTCGTTCAGGAATTATCTTATTTTTTGCCTTAAGCGTAAACGCAGTTTCATTTTGGTTCAAGAACGTGGCGATTTAACCCACAGTCAAAGAGTAAGCCTCTTTGCCACAGTTACAGAGCGAATGAATCGAAGCTATTATATTATTAATTTTTGACTATCATTCGATCGTTCGACTCGAATAGAAATAATTACTTACATACATCTTCATCTAGTTAATTACATGATTATACTTCTGTCTAAACACTCAGATCTTTACTGCTTCAAATACAAATACAACTACGATATATACCAGATGTCTCAGAAGCTTCTTTTTATAATTATAATTAAAAAAAGTAAGAATTCAGATTAATGGTACATCGAATAAAAATAAGGGAAAAAAGTACAATGAACTTTGTTTTGTTATAATAAGACACCTGGTATAATCACAACGATACAACAACTATTTAATTATCAATATCATTTTTAATAAATATGTACTTTTTTCTCGCAGCAAGAACAGTGTTCACGTTGTGAAGTAGTAAATAATTGTCTTTAGAAAAAGTAAAGTATAGGTAAAAATTTAGTATCAAGATATTTTTTGGAAGAGATTGTCCAAAACAATAACAACACTATATCATATATTTCATGATACAATATTCGAATAAAAATAAGATTTCTAAGAAAATCATGAAATAGAAAAATAAGTACAACATTTCTGTCATAGTGTTGTCATTATGGACATTATGAATCACCAATTATTAAAGAAAATATTAACAACGTTCTGGAAGAAAGTATCATAGAAACAAATGTTTTATTTGTTGCTTCAAGTCTCTAATTAAATTGGCCACCACAACGAGGCAGTATACTTAGCTCGAGACAAAGAATATTCATGCAATTAATCGCAAAATTTGTCTTCAACATCGCTCCAATATTATTCAATTGGTCGTGAATATTTCAAATACAAAAACTCAATAGTTTAAGTACAATAAAAAGGGATTGTACAAATTATTTATCACCATCTATTGTTATATTAATTAAGAAGTACACATTCGGTATGGAATTATCTGTATAACTAAATGGTATTCAATACTGGAGCAATACAAAATTAATATTGTAAAAGAAGAACAGAATTAAACTTCATAAATACTCGTTCAACCATATTATCAAGTATACTGAGAAACTGGGTGAAAAAGAATATGGTACAATACTTTATATTCTTATATACATATATGAAATAATATTTAGAAAGGAAAGGATATAAAACAAAGTTTTAAATATACTATTTACCGAGTGTATCTTCTTTGATTCGTCCCTTGTAATATTTAATTAAATTTACCAATTGTACATTCATAAAATTGCTTGAACCATTGCTTTCCCAATTTCTCAATTATATCCTTATTCATACTTGTATAATGAAATCGCTTACAACGTAATTTAACATTAATGAAATTTAACAGATCAACTTTGACTTTTAATATGTTTTTTTTTTCTTTTGAGATCGCACAGAATTATCACCGATTAAAATATGACTGCGATGTACCGGTGTCACTTTATTAGGTGTATGAATTAATTCAGTGCTTTCTATTTATTACGATTTCAAATCCAAAAATTATCCGTCGGTGAAACAAGACTATAATATAATTTTGTAGAAATAAATCATCGATTTCTCTTTTTTTTGAAGCACCAAATTAATTTGTATACCTAATATTGAAAAGCATATTTGCAATTCATTGATATGCTAATGCGTTGACTATCACTATTAAAATAAATGTGTAATCTCCTCATATAAATTAGGAATTTATAATGTTAACTTTTAGAATATTTTTTTGTAATAATACACTTTTTTTACTTTTTTAGGTTGCTAATGGACTAAACCAAAATGAAAGTATACCGATCTTCCCCACAGTAGTCAACGTGTTAACCGGTAACAATAATATTGCAAATAAAATAGCCTCTATACAATAAGTTGAAATGGAGACAATGATGAAATGGAATAGATCGTCAACAGAATCTTAAATATTCGATAGATCTTGTTATAATGGTAGTACAGTCGCCTTTGCGATTCTCTATGAACACGTTTATATCAACACGGTAAAATATATGTGCATGTAACTACTTAAGAATTATTACAGAGCCGCTATCTTTTTATCTTGTTTACAATTACATATAGGTATATATGTAATATGTATACATATATACGTGTAAATACACACAGTGTTCTGAAAACGGCGATACAAATGAAAAATATAGAATTCCTCGCTCGGTACTGAACAGACTACAGAAAAGAGTAATCGTTTCTCACGTTCAGTTATCTCGCTAATGATTGCAGCTGTGCGTTCATGAATTAACCCGTTAAATAGGTAAATATTCTGGTAAATAATCTTTTTTTTCTTGGGGCTTTTCTTGGGTTTGAAAAGTGGCGTGGAAATATGATAACAATTACTTCAATAATTAGAGTTAATGTAACTTTTTACAAATAAATTTTCAATTAAAAGAATTAATAATAATTTGTCTTTCCAAGTTAACGGGTTAAACATTAATGTATGATGAGATGACGAAGCTGCGTTTGCATTTAATTAAGATTATAACTTATTTGAGAAAACTGAAACGTTACTCCATTTTTCTAGGTTTCTTTCTGGCGCAAAATCTTACATTTCTCGCTTGTACAGCACTATTTTCGGCACACCTGAATATATATATATATATATTTATATTTCATATATTATTTTGTAGAGTGCCCATTAATCTGTCTACCGCTTTCTTACACTCCTTCTTGATTTTATATGTGTATTCAAGGGTGGGTAACCCACTTTTTTTTCTTTTTTTCTTCATAGCTTACGCCACTTGACATTAGGCGTAAGACTTACAAGTGGTCAACAATAAGAAGCACAGTTTTAACAAGTAACGTTTTGTTGTTTCTTTTTTTTTTTGCTTGTACACATTCATTCAGTATTTCTCTTCTCTTTCACACATGTACACGCACGCTCAGGCACACATACATATATACGTGAACATTCTCCCTTTCTCTCCCTTCTTATCTTCTGCTAGCCTGCTTCTTTGTTTCCCTCGTTTGCCCGTTTTCTTGTCCCCTCTTCAATCACTAGTTGTCGTACTATGAAAATTTACTTTATCGACATTATTCAATGTCTCTTCACAGAGCTTCTATCTTCTTTTTTTCTATTTATTTTCTTGCGTTGTGTCTGAAAGCAAGCGTAAGAATAATGAGAAATAATATAAAATTAAGAATAAGACATCTACTTTAGAATACATTAGGAAATAGTATTTAACTACGCTCGTAGTATCTCTTTTATCCAAATGTAATTTAATGTATAATGTTTAGGTCAAATATTATTTTACCGAGAGCGTTAAATTAGGTGTGAAAGGGTTAGTAAGTCGGGGCTCGGAAATCAGGCATTCGCTGTTGCTGTTGCTGTTGTTGTTGCTGTCCAAATGGTGGCTCTTGATAGCCTGTATCAGTCGCGTCAGGGTAACTTGTATATCCTGTTCCACCAACTGGATCAGCTTCGTAACTGGGTGCAAAAGCAGCATCGGTTCCTTGCTTGAATCTTTGGAAGGCGAACCAGGCACAGCCAGCCTATTATAAAATTGTATCTTATATTTCACATAATTTAACTTCCATTTCCTTCTCTTCCAATGCTACTCTTTCAGCTAAGATGGTAAAGATCCTCGGAAAGATTTATGAAATAAAAATGTACCCAGGTGAAAATGGAGAAGAAGGAGAAAGCGATGGCGCTTTGGACATTGTTCACGCCATAATTGTCCTCCGGTGTTTTCGAGTTATTCCAAGCATTGGTTAAATAACAGAATCCGACGAAATAGAGGAATGCCCAGAAGCCTGAAAAGCTAAACATGAAAATTCAATATTTCATTACTACGGCCCTCCGCAACAAAGGTATTAATCACAATTTCATCCAAGGAATCTCCTTATTACATTATTTTTGTATTAAAAATAGAAGGTACCCTAAATCAAGAAGAACAAAGTGTTTCCTGGTCTTAACGGAGGACATCTGCTCGAAGAGGTATTCCCCAGCAAGGAATCCGATACTTGCAAGGAAGGCGAGAACTCCAATTCCTATTCCATAATTGCAAGCATTGTGATCCTCGTTGTAGAGGCACACCTCTTTTTCGTCTGGTCCTGTCTTGTACCCCTTGTTGCTTATGCATCCGAACACAATTATTGCGAACAGCTACAAAATTAAACAATTTTTATTTAATAATAGTATTAAACATCTTTAAAAGAAAATTCTAATTTAAAATTGACTCATTAATTAAAATAATTCCAAGACCTGAATGCCAGAAAAATCAATGATCATAAATAAGTGGTACATTATAACACTATACTCCTTTTGTCTACCTAGTATACAAAATTATCAGAATATTGAATTTTAATCTTAATCTTAATAATGATTTACGATAAAGTTATTTAAAAAGATGATTCATTTGCTGGATTGTTCTTATTGATCTGAAAATTCATATTTAGAATATTATTTCAAAGAATTTTCTTCTACCTTATTAAATATTTCTTTTTTACCTTGAGCGTTAATATTAAAACGTGGAAAGCATCTTTAAAAAAAATCAGAAATTCATTATATAAATGACATTAGATAAAGTGAAGTAGATAAATGAGTTCCACATGTAAAATCTGAATCCGTGTTAATGAAAGTATAAAATGACGATTAGTTTCCCGTAAAATTCTTCGTTTCTGGGGCAATTAAAATTTCCGGTGCTTAAATTAAGTCCCTCGAAGCAATTCTTGATAGATCTGCTTATTCTCTACGTATCTATTTAGGTAAAATCGAATTCTCTACATTAGGCTTGGTCCAGTTTCGCCGTGACATGGAAATGGGTTAGACGAAGGTCGCGGTTTGTTCTGGGAAGCAAGAAAACAATAAAAGTAAGGAGGTAACAAAATGAGATAATTAAAAAAAATACAGTTTTACAATTACTAGATTAATTAAAAGCAATAACAAATCATTCAAAATTCAAAAGAAAGAAGATTCCCAAGATTTATTATAATTTTTAGAACTATACAAAATTCCTTAATTCCTTTTGACTTAGATTTTAAATCATCTATTACCCGATCTTACGAATACATTTTTGAGACTCGCAAATATTGTAAAATAAATATTCCAAAGTAGCTGACATATTAACATGCACTTTCAGTTAATTATAATAATTATGTGATCGTTAAATACTCTGGTCACGATCAAATTACTAATACTTCTTTTATAAACGATTTCTTATATTTCGAACCTTAATGAAAATTATGCATAATTTTTCAAAATTCAAATATTGCTTCAAAATCAATTTCAGTGTCTTCCGCAACTCGTCCTCTCCAATTCGAGTTTTATAATCTAAAATGCAATAAAAGTTTGACCGACGACAATCAGAAGGTCCGCCTAAAAGAACCCACGAAATTGATGATTTAGGTTCATTTGAATGTTGAGATGAATCATGTTCGAAAAATCAATAGAAAATTTTACGGGATCCGGCATTATGGGATAAATTACAGGAATTCGCGAAAAATCAATAGAACCCCATCGTGTCGGGTTGGTGGGGGTGGTTCACCCTTTAAAATCAATGCTTGTCAGGCAAAATCGACGTATCCTTTAATTTCTGAAAACGACATTATGAAATGAATGAACAGAGGACTTGAAATGATATAACTTACCAGGCATACTACTCTTAAGATGACTTGAGGCCTTTGGACGAAGGCAATGGGATCGAAAGGGGCTCCAGCCTTTCCTCCACCGTACGCTCCACCGTCCATCTTATTGCGACTGAGCTGAAATTTGAAAGCTCGAAGCTGATGGAAGCGCGCACGCGCTACGAGATACTTTTTTCACTCCCACTACCTCCCTTTTTGGGGTGGATCCTTCCTCGAGGGCGCTTAGGGTAGATATACTGACGTAGATTTGATCAAATCGGGGATTCCTCACCACTTCTATATCATTTATTTATTAAAAATTATCTGTTGCAACTTAACATTACTTGTAATAAAACTATTCTTATCAAAATTAATGATTACTATATACTTTTATTATATTCTTTTTTGTATGCAAATCATTTATACAATATGAATAAAAGAAAAAGAAAAAAACTTACAATATAATGGAAATACATAGAAAATGATGTATTACTTGTTTAATGTTTGTATTCTGCTTACATCAAAGTAGTCAAGTCAAATAGATCTTCATCAATACAAGTGTTACCAGTCCCAATCCACTAATCAAAACACAAATACGCCGAGTATTATCGCGTTTTGATTTTACATCTGATTGCTAAAAATAATACAAATTTTAAAGTAAAATTGATTAAATTATCATGTATTTGGCAATTTGGCAAATGAGTGGCTCAATTAAGTTATCGAAACATACCCTTAGAATTAATTCCTGAAGTTGAGAAAGATTTTTTTGCGCTTCTTTCACTTCTGCTAATGTTGCACTAACAGATACAGGCAATACTTCAGAAGCACTCAAACATTTATCAGGATCAATAAAAATGTTAATTCTTTCTTTTGTGAGTCTTAATCTACAATATGCTACAAATGCCTGTATCAGAGACAATTGCTGTTCTCCGTGATTAATTATTTCAAGAAAATGTTGGAGCCTAAAACATATTTTAATTTTATTTCTTGAAATAATAAACTGTTGTATACAATGTAAAAATTGAATATGCAAATGAAACAATTTACTATATATTTGTACCTGTCTTGAACATTTGTCTGTGTAATTTTAAACTTTCTTTTTTTGACATTTAAAGTATTTTTCAGTTCTTCAGCCTTTTGAGGATCAACACCTGCATTGAAATACTTCGGATTAGACATATTATCTATCCTTTTAATAAAGCGTACGAAGGATAAAAATTTAATAATTTAGAGTGTACCTAATATTATTAGTTCTTCTGTACTAAGCTCATGTAGTACATCAGTTGATATATTTCTTTTCTTAAATTCTGGTATTAATTCACGTATACCCAGACCACGTAACAAGGTGGCTGTTTGTTTAGTGAAACTAAAGGAATCATAACACTCCATTATCTCAAGTAATATTAGAATAAAAAATTTTAATTTCTAATTTATGTTAATTGAAATTTGATAATTAGATCATGATATGTTATTTTAATATTTTATAACAATTCCTTTGTTTCTTGTTATAGAATAAATGATACTCTGAAATCTACAAAAAATTTATATTATTTATTGTTAGAAAAATGCATTATTGACTGTTAGTCTTGTTATAGCTATAAGATACATAAGTTAAAATTTGCATTTAAAGGTATAATAATAAAATTAGTATCTCATGTAATGATTGGTTAAATGTTTCATTATAAAATCATAAAACAATAATGATCTTACATTTATTAAGTAAATTATATTTGCATATATTTAGATTGATGAAAAATGTATACTTTTTTTGACTTAAAAATAAAATAATAAACTTTATAATCTATGAAATTTTCAATATAAGTATAAAAATAGTATCAAACATTTATAATTCTATTCATAATGAATCATTTAACACAAATTATTGATTTAATAGAAATATCAATATATGTAATATATACAAAATTTATACCATAAAAATGAAGAGTATTTTGAGGTTGGGTAATTAGTATAATATAAACAATACATATACAATATATCAGTATACAAATCTGTTAAGCATTCAAGTCAGTGAAAATAATAACAATTAATAGTAATACTCTGATAACTAAAGGAGAAGTATATTGTTGAAAAAAGTGATAACCAGATACTCATGAACCAATTGGATCATCTATCGTATAAATTACATATCGCAGTGAAAACTGGCGTTAACGAAATGAGAATCGAATTCAATATGAACTGGACCTTACATAAAGCCAAAATACAATTCGTGGTTTGTAAAGTGTCGAAAAATTAGCGGATATTTCTGTCGTTGAACAAGATAGTCCGAGACATGGGGAAGGTCGTGTTCGAGAGGAGGGACGGAACAAGTGTCTGTGTACAATATGGCGGCGCCCGGGGCCTTAACTGTCGTGAAAATCGCCAGGAAGTAGCCCGTAAACGGAAGCCGCGCGGTGTCGCAGCGAGCCGCGGATCCCCGCTCCGAAGGATGTGATCCGAGGAAGAAGAAGAAGAAGGCCGAGTCCAGGCCAGACGAGCCTTTTTCAACACTGCCACGAGGAATTACCGATTACCAAACTTCCTCGGGTTAGTATCGTGATCATCTTCGTGGCTACGCCGACGATGGAGCCCAGGGAACGATACCAAGAGCTCTGCAGACTTTGCGCATCCTACGACGCCGTCAAGATGGACATCTTCGGTCAAGAGGGCAAGAACAGACAGCTAGTTGACAAGATACAAGCTTGTCTACCGTTTAAGGTTCGGCTACTTTTGTGTACCAGATATACACGATTCCTTTGCGTCGCTGCTCCATTTACTACGTGTCAACTTTATTTCTTTTTCAATGAAATACTCCTTTTTCATTTATTATTGTCATCGATGGTTTCTATCAATTGTTTTGTAATCTCTATAGTTTTTTTCGTCTGTACACCATGAAATTTTCGATTGCAAAAGATTACAGCTATTTTACTTATTTTCGCTTTCTTTATCTTTTTTACTCAAGAATTTCTATCCTCTTCTATTTACTATAACATGTACTATTTTGCTACAGTTCTTTTTATTATGTTGACAATTTAGTATTTTGTCATCCATCTTGTTGTTTTTATAACATATCTTTTTTATAATATTAAACTTTCATTATGCAGTTTTATAGTTTATAGTTTTGTATTTTTTAAATTCATGTTATCGAACATTTTCTATGTACTTTTATTCTTTATAGGAATTATTTTGTTATATTTGATTTAAATTTGTGTATGTGATGTACTTTGTTTTATAATTTATAAACATTTATTTTAATTTTAATTGTCTTCTTCCAGTACATCATAATTGATATGTTAACAAAGATTTTGTAACTACAAATTGAAGAAATTCAATGTTATTTATTTTTCTATTAATTCTATATAAGGTTTTTGGAACCTAATTGTTTATGTATTTTCTATATCTTTTTAAATGTATTTGAAATTTTAATCTTATAAGTTATAATACTATTATTATTCACATCAGATTCTGTATTTCACTTATTGTATTTTTCTATTACGTAAATATTTTTTATCAGGTTTTAGAGATAAGATTTAAATTAAAATATATATTTTACTACAGTTATTATATTACTATATTGCATAAAAATATAAAGTAATGTTTGTTATTATTAGTTAATATATTATATTAAAAATATATATTATTATTGTTTAATGCACAAGTATTAGAAATTTATATAATGTTATATAATTCTCAGTTGCATCAATTACATCATTGCCAAATACATGCGAATCATTTCCACGATACAAATAATATCAGTATTCTAAATTTATTAATTTCTTTTATTATTTCTTACTACTTCATTTTCATAGATATTGCTGTATTTAACCCTTAGATATTTGAATTACAGATTGCTGAAAATGATCGATTGCCAAAATGTCTATGTTACCGGTGTATGTACAATTTGGAAAATTTCTATGACTTTAGGACAGCATGTGTCAATGCAGTGGCTCTCTTGGAAAGATGCTTACCACCTTCAGAATCGGTAAAATAATTTTGATATATTAGAAAATTCTTGTTCATTATCTTTTAACATACTAAACACTGTTATTGTATGAAGACATATTATAATTTTCATAATAATAATAAAGTAAACATCGAAACAAACTAAACATTAAATACAAAGTTATTAGGATATTTGTATCATGACTGTTTCCTGCTTTTCTTTTAGAATGGAAATGTTACAACCACCTTGATGTGTTGTAATGACTTAGAGCTGTACAAAGGAAAAGAAAGCATACCAGTTCTAATTCCAGAAGCTCCTATTGTAAATCCAAATGCTGCTTTAGGCACGCCACCCAGATTAAATTCTGATGGAGAGGCAGACCATGAACCTGAAGAAACTGTCGATAATAGTGCTACAGACGAAGGTATTTATTTTATTTTAATTTCTAAAGAATTCCTATTCTAATACCATAAACGTGAACAATATTGAACAAAAATTAAAAAAGATAAAGTATGTATTTTTGTGTAACCTTTTTTTTAAAGCAACAATGGTGGATGATGAGTTTGAAGATCATCGTTCAGAGGAGTATGAAATGGATATGGAAACAAATCCAAGTGATTTTTTAGAAATGACTTCAATGGTTACTGAAGAACCTGAAGAATCTATATTGAGATATCAGGAACTTCCTAATAATTTGCCAGAGGTATTGAAATTTAAAAAAAATTCATTTTTCCTAGATTTCCAAATTTTCAAAAATTTGTATAATTGTCTTTTTCTTAGCGTTTAAAAAGCTATATAGTGCCTCCGTATGATTAATGGTAATTGTTTATTTGCATTGTTTCAGCACACGTCTCAGCAACACGAAGTTTACGTTTGTTCCTTATGTAACAAAGCATTTAGTTCGAAAGGCCATTTATCATTGCATGCACGTATTCACGTAGGAGCCGGTGATGTTATTGGCGAAAAAGTTCTTACGGATGATCATACATCCTACAAGAGGCCATACCAATGTGATCTTTGTCATAAATCATATTCAACTGCTAAGCATCGTTGGGGCCATGTTTCTACAACTCATAGGTTTGTGTTTTCGCGTGATTAACAATGTTTCAAGCTGATAAGAAGGAAAACTTCAACGCGTTAAATGTTGTGAAGGTTTACGAGAAAAGTTTATATTGTAATAATAATGATAGTAACTGATAATGTAATAATCTTTGTGTTAGAGGTCACCCTGCAGTGACATGTGGCTATTGTTCACGGATCTACTCAACTCGAACAAATTTAGAAGAACATATAAAATCGCGTCACGCTGGTCTTCCAGCACCCGCAGGGGTTCCAGTGAGCAATTCCTATCGTCCGGAGAATAGATGCCAGTGTAATGTTTGCGGGAAAATTTGTACAGATGCCATGGAATTGAATCTTCATGGTAGAATTTGCACTGAAGTACAAAATCTACCAGGGAGAAATGATAGCAGGGATAATAAAATCGTCGATACTTCTGAAACATCCAGCATTGGTAGTGATGATGATAGCAAAGATTATAGGTACGATAATCTTTAATATTTCAAATAATTGTAGATAGTTAAACATAAAATATTTCTCATTTTTAGAACCGCAGAAGCAAAATTAGCTAATAATCCTCAATTAACTATTTTGAAACAAGCATTAACAAAAGGAGATAGCCTTAAAAGAGATTTTGAAGATAAATTTACAGCAAATTGTAAACCACAGAAGTTACCTAAGACAGGTGACTTAAATTTTAAAATTATCAAAATAAGAGTTAAATATTATATAAATTGAAAAACTAAAAGTTATCTATTCATTTTTTATTTACAGAAACCACGGATATGCAGAGTAGTAAAAAATGGTATTGTGGATGTTGTCCTCAGTCGTTTACCTCAGTTGAGGATTTAAAAGAACACGAAGGGATTCACGATGCTGACAAGCCTTTTATTTGTATTCTTTGTAACAAAGATTTCGTTCTTAAGTCTTCCTTGAGCAAACATATTCAGATGTTACACGGTGTTGATCCATATCCTTTAGTTGAAAGTGATAAGTGTCTGAAAAAAGTAGTTTCTCAAAGCTGGCATGAATCTATAGATATTGATTTATACGAGGGTAAAACTTCTTCTGAATTTCCTTTATCACCAGAGGCAAACGAAGAAGAGGACCGTGAAAGTGGGCAAGAAAACCTTATTGAAATTGAAACTGTATTCGTATGTGAAATCTGTACTCGTGATTTTAATGATCGCGCATCTCTTTGGCTTCATATTCGAGCTACTCATAAAGAGTTCGCGGCATTTGCTTGTGGTGTTTGTCTAAAAATTTGTGCAGACAATACGCAGCTTTTGAATCATGTGAATATGTATCATGGCGGTTCGAAGTTACTACTATCCGAACAAAGAAGATACAGTTGCACCATCTGTGGCAGGCAACATGATTCGAGAAAAAAATTAATTGCCCACGTATCTATACATAACGTCGATCCAAATTTCGACCCAGCAAACTTTGTACAATTAAATAGTAATTACTACGGAGAAAATATGAATGGCAATGAAACCACAGAACAAATGCTTGATTACGAAGAAGACGGGGACAAAGTGGATTGTTATATTTGCTATAAATCATTCCCTAGCGAAGATCATTTGATACGACATCAAAGAAATGCGCACAGGGTAAGAATATTTAAAAAGTAAATTTTATGATTTATAATATCGTTGATGTTTTGGAGTAAAATAAATTCTATTATTTTTCAGTCTGAGCAATTAGTGCCAACAGGAGATCCTTTAAATTCGTCCAATTTAAACGGCGGTGGAAATAGAGCTCAGTATCATCTCTTCTTTGTCTGTGAGCTCTGTGGTAGTTCGCATTCCAGCAAATGGGAACGTTGGTTACACGTTAGTTCATCTCATAGCAATGAACCAACTATAAAATGTGACCGTGAGGATTGTGGTAAAATATTTGCCACTAAGTCTCTCAGAAATGATCACATTCAACATCATGCGATTCAAGGTTCATCTCCTAACACATGTGAGATCTGTGGAAAACTTTGGGGTAGTAGAGTCGATTACTGGAAACACGTTATGGGAGTTCATTCGGACACTGTACCATTAATTTGTGGTGTCTGTCTGAAAGTGTTCCCCAATGTTCTACAATTGAGTACTCATGTAAAATCAAAGCATTGGCCGTTAACAAATGGCGACTTCAGTTGCGACATTTGCGGAAGACCGTATTCGAACAAATCAAAAATGTCTAGGCATAGAAAGATTCATGGGTTCGAAGAAATTTGTGATAATGTAACAGAGAATAGTGAAAATAAAATAGACGGACAAATCAGGGAAAGCGAATTAAGCTGTGAACTATGCGCGGACTTGAAATTCTCTAATCTAGAAAAATTATGTAATCATAGGCGAATTGTTCACGGACTTTTCCCTTGTGACCTCTGTAACAAATGTTACGGAAGAACTTCTCATTTATGGAAACACGTGAATAGAGTTCACAAGGGTCACGAAGATGTAACTTGTCCTTATTGTTTAAAAACCAGCGCTTCAAAGGATCATTTAGCTGCACATATTTCTAAAATTCATAGATACGAACCTGATTCTAGGAAAGACAGAAAAGATAATAGACAGTTTAAGACTGAAGAAGTTAGTTTGCATTATTGTGAAAAATGTAATAAAGGATTCCATAAACGATACCTTCTGCGCAGACATATGAAAGGATGTCAGAATTATAGAAAAGATCCTGGAGCTCTTTTAACTAGATGCAGAGCTTGCGAAAGAATATTTAAGGATCGTGCCAGTTTGCAGAAACATATTGAGAATCATCATAGCACGTACACGTGTCATCTATGCAACGAGACGATTACTTCGAAACTAGGAATTATGACGCATAACAGAGTGAAACACATGGATCATCCAGATTTAACTTGCAATTTTGGTTCTTGTAGGAAATTGTTCAGAACTAAGGAAGATTTGGAAGCTCATAGAAAAGATCATAGGTATCTATTAAGCAAATTATGAATTTTGTTGTAATAAAATGTTACATTATGATTAAATTCTTTCATTTTTATTTAAGGTACCATACAACGCCAAATGTTTGCGACTTTTGTGGTGACACTGTCGAGAACAAACTCAAGCTAAAAATGCACGTATTATCGCTTCATCGCAATGAAATCGGTGTATCGTGTGGAGTTTGTTTAATTCCAATGAAAGATCCAAAGGAGCTTAAAAGTCACGTAGAAGAAGTTCATTCCAGTGTTCTATCAAGACCTAACACATGTCAAGTCTGTGGAAAACAATATGCATCAAAATGGAAAGCTTTTGATCATACTAAAAAGTGTCATGGAAAAGTGTTCAGGACTTGTAAACAATGTTTGGCTGTTTTCACCGAAGATTCTGCTATAAGAGATCACTATGAAAGAGTGCATAATATTTCAAAAGACCAGTTCGCTGCATTTGAATACAGGTTGGACATTGGTTCAAAGACTGAAGAATTTGAATTAGAGTCTCCTGACGTGATAGTTAAAGAGGAACCAGAGGATTTAGAGTATGATGTTGATCCTTGTGACGAAGATTCTAACGACTCAAAAAGAAGGAGATCATTAACAGATACTTTTGATTGCGAAATGTGCCCCGAAATGTTTGTGAGCAGCGATGCTCTTTCCAAACATTATCGTAATATGCACAACACGGATCCAGAAAGAATGTTCAAGAGATTAAAACAAGATGAACAGCGAAGGATGCGTGGAAGAATGAATTTCTCTTGTAAGAATTGCAAGAGGCAATTCTGCACCAAAACATTGTATTGGAGTCACGTTGCAAATTGTAGAAGAAGTGCTATACGAAAAGAAGTAATTAATTATTGTATTATAATTTCTAAGTTAAACTTTCATTTTATACTAATTAAAAAATTTGTTCTATAGGAAGAATTATTGCCTATGCGTAATAATATGTTAAATACCATTGGTAATGGAGAAGAAATATTAAAAAATAATCATCAAATTAAAAAAGAGGAACCTACAACAAATTTGAATATTCCTGACTTTAATCTCTTCGAAGATATAAATCTTCAGTTATCGGGACAGAGACCGCTTCCAAACCTTATGCCACTTAATCAACGGTAAGCATCACAATGAAATGTAATCATTTTCTTTCGGTGTACAGTAAAATCTCTCTAGTTGTCCCTTTGTTCTCATAGTGTCTACCGATTTCGTCCTACATCTATGTATGTCTGATCTCTTCATTGGAGTCAGTCGTGCAACACCCATCGCGGCTTCTTTGATAAGAGTTCAATTAATAATAAAGAAATATAAGTTTCTTAATTTTACTTTTTTTTATCTATAAATTTGTTTAATATATTGTTGAGATTTTTTTGGTTAAAATAAGACCAAACACGATATAATTTGGGTCATATCAATTTATTTTATGTACAAAGGAACATCTCCAATGCGAATTTTTTTTTTCGTCCATATACTCCATATTATGTCATGTTTGGTCTCATTTTAATCAGAAAAATTGTATCAATATGTTAAAATAATTTGCATGCAGAAAAGTCTAAAAATAAGAAAGTTAAATTGTTGTTAATTTCTCTTTTACGACTTGTCGCCAGAGATCAAAAGTAGCCGCGAGGCTTCGAAAAATCGTGTCTACCCTGCCCTTATTGTCCACATTCGCTTCCCAGCTTACGGACAACTAGAGAGATTTTACTGTAATAACTATCATTTCAGAGCAAAGTCCACGATGAAGTGTTCAAGGAAGGATTCTAGGAAGGTTTATGATGAATCTACAAACACAGAATGTACTTGTGAAGTTTGTGGAAAACAGTGGCCAGCAAAGAAACATTTATGGCAACATTTGATTCGTTTCCATCGAGCAGAAGCTGCAGTTACTTGCGGGGTGTGTTTGAAGCTCTGTAAAGATTACGATGATCTGGCAAACCATTTAAAGGCTACTCATGAAGCAATTCTTTCATGTGAAGGAAATAATTTCACGTGTAAAACTTGTGGAAGGTATAGAATTTTGTTTTGTTAATTATATCTATATTTATTTAGAAATAAATCTACTGTTTCTTTTTTTTTGTGACAGGTATCACAACGCCCGTAGTAAATTACTACTACATACAAGCATTCATTTGGGACATACAGCCAATAGTACTTGGTGTTCAAAATGTAAAAAGAACATAACTGATGAAGCTGCTCATGCAAATGTCTGTTCTGGAAAGGTAGAGCAAGAAGAAGAACAATTAAAGAACGATGAAAAGGCAGAAGTAAGTCATGTCGGTAACAATAAATACCTAATGACAACATTTAATTTGAATAAATACATATATAACAATTATTATTTCTCTCAACAGGGAAGTCTGATGGCAGATGATACAATGATTGAAGTAGAAGAAGGAGATTTTGAATCTGAAGTTGAAGAAGCAGATACAGAAGAATCAGAAAGTGGTAGTAGTACCGAAGTTGAAGAAGAAAATGAATCGGAAGGTGAATCTAGAGCCACTGGAGAAATTACTTACAACTCGGAAAGTGAAGATTCTGAAGAATTGGATAATTTAGATATCGAGGAAAAGAATATACAGCGCTATACTTTGGAACGTCTTCAGGAAACCCAAAATACAGGTAGCTATATAATTTATACACATTTTTAACAATTAATTTAAAACAGAAAGATAATTAACAATTAAAAATTATTACAGAAACGAGAAAGAATACACGTTTATCAGACGATGATGGACCTCCAGTTCTCAGTCCCATGATGCCTTTACTTCATGAAAATATGTCCGCGGAACAATCGGCGAGCCACAAATTTGGTTCTGTATTGCCTCTAAGTGAAAAAGAAATAAAAGTACGCGATTTATCTGAAATTCAAAATGGATCTTCACCGAAATCAGTTAATTTATATGAAAAAGAGCTACCTGACAATCCAACTTTGGATTATGTTTCTAATACATTTATTAATAGAGGTGATGGAGATTTTGAAAATACGAAAGTTGAGTTTGATGAAAATTCTGCTGAAGAAAATGACGAGCAAGAAGAGAATGACGAAGAAAATGATGAGCAGGAAGAAAATGACGAGGAAAATGATGAAATTGAAGACAGTAGAGAGAATGAAGAATACGAAGAAAATGAGGAATTTGATGGAAATGAAGAAATGTACGAACACGAAGAAAACGAAGACAATGAAGAGAACGACATTGAGTTACACGATGAAAATGAAGACAATGAAAAGAACGATATTGAGTTACATGAAGAAAATGAAGACAATGAAGAGAACGATATTGAGTTACATGAAGTAACTGAAGAGAATGACGGGAACGAAGAGAGTGAAGGAAGCGAGGAAGAAAATGAAGAGCATGAAGACGATGAAGAAAGGGAGGATAATATACAGTTGGACGATTTAGAGGGTGCTGTGTTAATGGTAGCTGAAGGAGATCAAATACTGATTCAACAAGACATGTTAGAAGATGAAAATGAAAATTCAAAACAAGAATATGTCTATTCTACGCTTAGGTACAGTTCAGAAGAGGACAGTGACGATGCAAGGAAATGAGTGCCAAATCGAGATTATTATTTGAAGAAATGTAAGGTGAGACAGAGTTATTAGACATTGTTTCAAGAATTAAGAATACGTGGAAATGAAGTCAATGTGAATTGAAATCCGCATGTAAAAAATTAAGAAAAGAAACAGATAATATTAAATACTAGATATAAATTTTGTGAAGTAAGATATTTTATGATAGTAATTAGTAATAAATATTTGGATATGTTAAAAACCAAACATTTAATTACCAAATTAATTAAGTTAATTAAAATAACTCGAAACATGTCCACGTATTCCTAAAGAAAACTATTGAAAAAAGTCGAAGTTTGTATCGTTATATTCTGTATTAAATATACAGATTTATTACGTGATATGTACCTTGGAATTTACGTAAATTCATACAGATGACGCGGTAATTTGTAAATACGTTAGATTAAGTACTAAAATTAGCTTTCGCAAATTTTATGATAGGGGACTGTTTTCTCATTATATCTAATAGATGAAAAGGTATGGAATGAATAAAAAGCAGAAAGGAAAGGGTAAAGCGTTAGGTGTACAAATTAATTATGTGCCTTTAGCATTACGTTATATGATTTTTTAAAAATAAATCTTCGATTAAAAAAGAAAGGCATTAAATTAATTTCTACAACTAATAAATTAAAGATGACCAAAAAATTAATGTAATATAATAAAAGGACGGTCCCCAAACCCTTAAGCGATTTATTTAAATTTTTACTAATTTTGACTTTGTAGGCGCAAATCCGAGATGACCTCAAATTAATTTGAGGTAATTCGATCGGTATCGATATTTCAAAAATCTTTTCTTATTTCCTATAAATTTTCTCCAACAAGAAATAGTACAAAGATAGCAATATACAGAATTTATCATAATATTAGATAAATAATTAACATTATAAAATGACAAAAAACATTGAAATTGTATTTAAATTCTAAGCGCATTTTTTGATATCTAGTATTGAATATTCATTTCGAGGAATATAATAATGTATTTGTTAAACTGTTATACATATCTATGTTGATGCTCTATTCTTATTATAATAATTATTATTTTTATTATTAATTATTTCGGTATTATATTAATATCGATTCGATTGAATGTACCGTGGGAAAATTCGAAATCAAAGGATCAAGAAACAGAAGATTAGTGTATATAGTAGTCGTATAAGTGATTTTATGTACAGTTTACATTATAATTATACGAGACAAAAAACATATTTGTATGGATGTACGAAGAGAGTATGATTACTGTGTGTAAAAAAAAGGCGGCTTCTATTACTTTTTTACCATCATATATTTAAAAGCTTAAGGAGAAACTGATAATCGCTTCTATTTTCCACTGAAACTGTACAATAGTACAATACTTAACGAAAGAATTTCAATAATAAAAGAAAGGTTTTTTTTAAACGCACTGAACATCTTATTTGATTCAGTTTCTCTAAAAGAGTCGTTTCGTTATAACCTTAGAAGCCTTAGAGTACACGTATAACCTAGTGCAGTAAGTAAAACTTTCTTTCAACCACGCTAATTTTATTTGGAGTTATCCTAGTACTGTTAATAACATTTATCAAAGAAACAGGAAAACAAATCAAAATGTGATTTCCATTTATCTTTAGACTAGTTATCAATGGTACTTCTTTTAATTTTCCTTCATTTCCTTTCGTTTATTTATTGGGGCATTCGCTTCCGTTCCAAGCGTGTTAGTGCATAAGAAATGAAAATAGCGATTCGCATTTAACGTTTGTAACGATTACAATAAAAAAATTACTAAGTTGATTAATTCCTTAATTTTATTTCAATCCTACGAGGAGTAGAAACAAGTGATTCAAATAGATTTCATTTTCAATTTTAGCGCGGGAAAGTTTACCGTTAAAAAAGGTTATATCAAAAAATTCAAACGTTACGTGTCATTAGCTAAATAATATTTTATCGTACCAATGTGATATAAAGAGGATTAAAAAATATTTCGAAGAATCTAATTAATGTTTAAAATATAATTATTTTCAATATTAATCAATATTAATTAGTTCTATTTCTTGGTTTGCATTAACGTAACCTGTAATTACGCTTACGGCAAGACAACTATCATCGATAAATAAAGTAAGGTTGAAATAAAATATTCTTTTACAAAGAAACAAAAAATTATTGTAAATTATGTAAACAAATAAAACACTTGGCAGTTAGTTTATTTGTTGTGAAGGAAATTTCATTATTTTTATTAAATTTGTATGTTTTCCGTTCAGTATACGGCCGCTTCCCGCATCGGCCAGATGGTATAGTAGTTGCTCCACAGTTTTTTATTTTATAAAAGTTAGTATAATTTTATAAATGATGAATGGACAAAGAAATAGAAAGTTAAAATTTTATGTTTCCAGATATTTGCTTCATCTTCTTTAGTTCTTTTATGCATTCTTATTTTTCAACGGTAAATTACAGGATGAAGAGGCAGGCGTTAGACCGGCATCGAACCCAAGTTAATTGCTTTTCCGAAAAGTCATTGAAGCATGACCAAGACTGTAGGCTTAGTCATTCGGAACAATTGATTAAAATATTTAAACAAGAGTCTACTTCTTTATTTTGCAAGTACGTACATACATATAAAAAACATTAAAAATATATTTGAACCATCAATATTAAAAATTATTATTTATAGTCACAAATATTTTCTTTTTTTTACCGCCCATTTAGTATTATAAATACATATTTATTTGTCGTAACACATTAGGCGAGAAGTGGACCGGTCGTTGTGAGCTGCAATCCAATGAGCGGCGGTAAAGGTGTTAATTACCTATTTGTATGTATTGTTTATTTATAATATAAAATATAAATCATATAGAAACATTCCATTAATTTTAACTATATTTTTAAATTATGTTTCAGTTTGTTAGAGATGAAACAATTTCAAATGATTAAGAACATGGACAAAATGTTATTTCATTTAAGGAAAAATTGAACATTGAATTTATAATAGGCTTATGTGCAAAAATTGTTTAAATAAATCAAGGTATTTTTATTTATTTTATTTGTAATAAAAAGCTACACGTGTAACAATCATAGTTATATACATTAATTAATATCTTTAATGACAGGTTCTACAATAAACAAAATATCGCAAATACGTAGAATGGAAGGCAATAAATGTAAAATGTAGAATGGGACGGAATGGAGTTCCCTTTGGAAAGTCTTTGAAGCGTGGCTCGGAGCGAAAGAAGAAAGGTTTCAAGAAATCGGACGATTGCTTTATTAAGACGTCAGAAGATACAGGATAGGCCGGGTCTGTGGTCGTTATTGCCTCAACCGGGTTCTCGCTTGGGACAATTGCTTCGAAAAGATCAAAAAGACCATCGAGAGAAACTGACAGCAAGAAAGAGCGCCGGCAAGAGGGAGATGGAAAGAGAACAAAAACCACCGTGCTGACCCTTCCTGCGCTGCTCACAATGTTGAGATACCGGGCAGAGTTTAATCTTTGTAAAATTCTAGTAATATATTCAGTTTACATTCGATTAACACTGTATTTAATCACAGTGTTATCGTTCACGATTAGCATGAGAGATGAGTTTCAAAGGAACGATTAAAAAGAAGGTCTGAATGAAAATGTGAAAGTTACATTCTTCATTGTATTTCAAACTACACATATAATACATTAATCCTTTAAAAGAAAAACCTTTGAATACTCATTCTGCTTTTCAATTTCATGTTATTTACATTTAAGTACGTGGCATCAAATTGTATCAACATATTAAATTAATAGTTTTCATTTTCTTTTCAGATTTGCATAAGATGAGTGTTTAAAGATCGACTGTGGAGATTACATTTGATCTTCATGGAGCGTGAGTTATCGCTCAAGTATCTCTGCACGCATATCTCACGATCTAGGTATTCCATAGATCTTTCATGCTTCATCAAAATTTGCTAATCTACATCTCCCATCAAGTTTCCTGTATCACAGGAAGCTGATTTTGATTCTTATCAGTTTAAAGTTTCAATTTCCATAGTTCAAATTAAACGTAACGTGTATACATATATTTATAAGATAATTCTAAAAACAAATAGTAAGTAAGCCAGTTAACAGATTGGGACCTGTTGAGAACCGTTTTTTATTTCTTTTCAGAAGACTAAGTCGAGAACATTTATCTAGGATGTTCTAAGCAAACTGAGGCACGCGCTTTCGTCGACTCGTTAATTCGGAAACAAATAGCCCTTCTCAACCAAGGACTTGGATAAAATAGTAAACACATAGAAGTTACAGCATCTATAATCAGTAGAAGACTTTGATAAGAATTATCAATAATTTGAACTACTTCATTCTGTGTAATGAATAAATAGAAAAAGAAATGAGAGGTGTATGGGTTCACAGTTTAGTCTGTTCCTGAGCTCTCATTCTACCAGTAGAATCGATTAACCGGTTCAATTTGTACTCAAACAGCTAATCTTCTTTGCGCTGTCCTCTGCTTCACGTTCAAAGGAGTGAAGTTGAGTTGAGAGTCACAGGAGCCCGGTGAACGCTGGTGGTAGGGAATAGAAGTAGTAAGGGGGCCTGAAAGGGAGCCCGATGGAAGGTCGGCACAGGAAGAAGGAGAAACGTAAGAAAGAACGGAACGCATCTAAATGCTGGACTGTTCGACGTCGCTCTGAGAAAGGTACGAGTGAGGACGGGGGAAAAGAGGGTAGTGTTGGAACCAGGCTGGTGTCTCAATCAGCCAAGCAGGTTGGGGCACCATGGACCACTGTGGGTGGAGGATAGAGCTAGCAATGGCAGTGAAACGACCTTGCGATAGGAACAAGTTTTTCTCTGTAGTAAATCCTAGTAATATTATTAATACATTGAAGAACAAAACAGTCCTGAAATATGTATTAACATAATAATTTGTTTTCGCTTCAGAAGACTAAAAAAATATTTTTAAGTGATCTGCAGATAAATCTGAAAGTATTTTATTCTCTTTCTTTTATTTAAAAGAAAATACAGCAATAAACATACTTTATGGATACCATGGATGGATACATGCAATGCTTTTGTAATTTTTATTAATTTTATTTTGAAGAAGTCGCTTAATAAATATACCGAAGAATTCTACCCAAAAGTATTTCATACTGGTAATTTAATTTTTATATTGTTATGGTGTATAACGATGTAGATAATATAGTAGTATAAACATTAGAAATAAACAAAATTGTTAAGATTCTAGGTCTGATCAGGACTTAAGTCTATCAGTAGTCCTTTCGGTCCCGGGCCAGTGGCGAGTAGCGGGGAGGGGGAAAAAGAGCAGCGCGCGCAACTTCTCGACACAGCGGGGCAAGCCGTCACAACTCAATCTAGTGTCTCGGTAACCGTGCAAGAGGAAGGAGATTTTTTCTTTTCTCTCTTTCTGAACAGTGTGTTATAATTCTTGACACGGAATCGCAGTTTTCATTGGTGGATTAGCTTGCACCTAGAATCCTAAGCTACATCTATCTCTGCTGTTGGAACAATGTGATTGTTTGTAAGGTCAGTACTCTAAGAACTTTTCACTTTTAATCAATATTTTAAATAATTTGTTGACATATGAATATCATACACTTGCAGTTAAAACAATACGTAATATTAACAAGGTGTGTATTTTAATATAAACATAATATACATAATTTTATTTTATTTGATAAATTGTGTGATGTTATAAAAGTGAACAATTTATTAATATTAAATCTCATTCTTTAAACTGTTAATTAACACTAAACTAAAACAGTAATTCAAACTTACATGTGTTGTATTATATATTATAAAATTTATGTAGTATAACATGATCGAGTAGATTTGATATTTGATCGATATTTGAAATAATGTTATATTTCGTTATTCACATGTACATTTTATAACATTAATTATTATTAATTATTAAAACTATTTAAACATAATATAACGATAAAAACGATACAATAATTCTACATTACGTAGTGTTTCAATGCGCATGCGCGATAGATTCTTTTCAAACATGTGTTTGATTTAATTAAGTAGCACACTTCCGAGGTATTAACCCGTGTCCCATGTGAGTGTTTGTATTCCTTAACGCGTGTTTATTTAGCCATTATTTTCTCGCGGCAAACAAACCCTCTCCAGTGTCAACATCTGCTTAACGCCTTAATTGAGATTGCCCAGAGTCATGAGCATTGATTGAACCATCTCTCAATAAGCTGTTTCTAAATTAGCATACGCCGGCCGAGACGTTTCAATGTTTGCCCGCGTGTTTGTTCAAAATGAGATTTAAACCGGAGTGCAAAGTAAAGTTGATCATCACTGAGGGTCTATAGGGCTGGCCATCTGTCCCTCGTTGCCACGTCTGCGACGTCTTGGTGGTCCATTTTGGGGCTGGTGCGCAACAGCATCGGCACTAGCGCTGGCAATGAAGCGCTCTCAGGTAGAATCTGCCCTCCTCCGCCCCCTCCCCCCCCCTCACTTCTTTCTCTCACTATCGTGTGCACGCTGACGCACGTGCTCTCTTTCACCCCCTCCCTTATACGCTCGCTTCTTTTTTACTGGTATCAGTTGAAAGCAGTGGAGAGACAGTAGTAGAGCGGGAGAACGTTCAACCGTGTTATTCTGATATAAATCCTAACGGTGATACCTACACTTTTCCTGTTGATACATTACTGATTACATATCTGATTGAACTTTGCAAGAAATTTTAGATAGATACGAAATATCATATTTCACCTTTATGTGGGTATCCGGGTACCCGCTTGAATTTTAACATTCCAAATATTTTGCATAAATTTTTATTTAAAACGATGTACGAATTAAAATAGATTACGATGAATTGTAGATGTTTCGAGAAGAAATTCGTGATTTTTTACCGTGATTCGTGAAATCATCCCATTAACTCGAATGACAAACAAGTCTGATTTATTTTAAGAATATCATGGAATGTCTCTTTACAGTACACATCTGTTACAGGAATCCGCAAGCATTTCGTCGCGTGGAGTACAATGCCCGGATTAGAATTTATGTTGTAAATGAAAATGTAAATAAAATGAATAATAATAACATATTAAGTAGCTCAAAGAAACTTAGGCAGAAATTTATTCCTTTTATCTCTTTTAATAACGTTTACATTGTGTAAGATCAGATATCATCGAGTATGTAACAGCATATGAAACACTCGTTCGATAAACATGCCACTATCAAATTACTGAGAATACAAAGCTATCCTCGCAGGGTTCTGTGAATGAAAATTATGCACGCAGTAGGATAAATAAACAATTATCAGGTGAAGAAATGTTGAAAATTCTTTGCTTTAAATTTTATAAAGCGATTGTTCAATATTTTTCTAATTTTTTTTTTTTTTTTTTTATTTATATTACATCGAATGATTAATAATGATTGTTGTTATTTTGAAAATGTTCTAGAAAGATGTCACGTTGGTTCGATCTGTCGAGCATGCTCCTAATGGGTATGGTGTTGATTAGTTCAATAGTGTGGAATGCGGCTAAAAGTTCGATCATGAGATGCGAGGACGCGAAACTAAAATGTGCTTACAGAATAGGCTGTGGTACTGCTTTACAGCACTATCTTACGGGCTGTGCACCCGTTCTCCAAGGCAATGATTGTTCTGAGACCTGCCAACATGCCCTTATTGCTCTTACAAGCACCGATGAGGGCAAAGAACTTATGACAGTACATATCACCTTTTTGTTCTATTAGAAAAAGATTTTTTTTATTATAACATAGATATAGATATTCCGTTATAAAGATAGGCACACTTATGTATATTATTTATTTATTTATTTATTTCAATATATACGGGCATAGCCGTTTATAAAAAGTGTTATATAGCAGGAAATAAGCATAGTATGTCAGTTTGAACATTAGATACAAAAAAGAAAACAAAAAAAAATTATTACTTTTTAAATAACTATATTAGGATTGAATATTTTTCCGTGCTTTTGTGGATTTAATAATAAAAAGTAGAGGTGTGGGAGTACTCGTAATTTACAAGCCTAGCTGAATTCGCTTCGATTGTTCAAGCCGAGTCGACCGCTTGAATTTGCCAAGTTACTAGAAATCGACGAACTGTTTGAAATAAAAGCGAGTTACTCGAAAAAATCGAACTACTCGATTATTCGAACCGTCGTAAAACTTCGATTTACTTAAAAATGAATTTTCAGCTCGAATATTCGAGTAGTTCGATTTTTTTCGACTAGCTCGTTTTTGTTTCAAACATTTCGTCGATTTCTAGTAACTCGGCAAATTCAAGCGGTCGACTCGGCTCGACCGACCAATCATTGTTCGACTCGAAATTCGAGTACTCGAATAAATCGAGTACTCGCACACCTCTATTGAAAAGTGGCGCGAGAATATGATAAAGATAACGATAACGATAATTTTTTAGCCAATAACATTTCGTTATTGTTGCTAGTGCGAATGCGAAGACGAGTTGTGCCTCCAGTCAAAACAGAGAGTAGAAATATGCAGATCCTCGGTGACAATGGCAATGAACAGGACAAAAGTGTCCTGTAGAATAGCAACATGGATTTGTAATGCGGATGCCCTTTGTCAAACTGCACTTGCATATTATAATAGATTCTGCAAGAGCATGTTCCAAGGACGAAAATGTACCAGACGGTAAATCAAATTATTTAAATAATTTCTAAACATATAGATACTTACGCAAATCAATGTCGTATATATTGTAAAGAAACATTTATTATTAAACAGAATAATTAATATATAAAACATGAATAAAACAATAAGGAAAACACTTTAGGTGTAGGAATTCGATAAATATTTTAACAAGACAAGAAAAGGCTGCGAAATTAAATACATGCCAATGTGATGGTTTTGAGGAATATGACTGCAAGGGAATTCATCGAAATATGAATCTCCTGTGTTTTGGAAAGATCCACCATGGTTACCGAGATGTGAACGTCGATGACGATAAAAGGAATGAATTTCTACGACCAAATATGAGTCTTAGAGGAGACGGTGTTCAAACACTTATCGACAGACGGTTATTTTTACTTATTTTTATAATTTATTATATGTTTAAAATAAGACAAGGCAAGTGTATCTAATTGTATCATTAATAATTTGTAAATTTTTAGTGTACATAGCAGTAATTAATATTTTACTTATATATTTGTTTCAGACTGATGATCCAGAAAAAAAAGACAGAAAAATCTCCAAAAAGATAACAGTATTTCATGAAACCAATTACCAAAGATCTTTATCAATTTTCTTAACCATCAATTTGAACAATAATGAATTACTTGTATTTTATTAATAATTTAGAAACTTCATTGTCGTACCGAAGAGCTGAATTTTCTATTAAATTTTCCGTTTTTTTTTTGATAAAATTTTGTACAAATAACAAAATAGAAAATAGGGGAAGAATCTTGTACAGTAGAAACATTGTATAGTGTATTATAGCAAATGTAACTGAATGATTCGTTACAAGTATTTAGTTATAAATGAATTTTATTTATGAAGGCATAATCATGTAAATATCTACACACCAGAAAATGATGTTCTTGTTTCTTTCCTTGAGTACGTGGATATGTGGTCAATTCAATTTTTAATTACACATCATTAATACTTCATTAATATTTCAGATATAAAAAAGCCTAAAAGACTGTTATAATATAAAATGAAAATGGATATAAATTATTTACTATGTAATTAAATATAAATATTTGCTCAATTAGCATTCTGAATGGTAAATTCACAGAGGCTTTAAATCTGTGTTCAAATACTCGATATTATTGACAATAATGAAGATTAATGTTTATTGTGTAAATAAAGTATATAATAAGCGTATGTATAATTGTAAAATGTTATGTATTATAATGTTATAAATTACAGATTTGTTTTTCAGTATCAATAATCATAATGTTGTAGAAGCAAAAGCATAATTAACTTTGAACAAGTTAAAGAATATATTTACAAGTTATTGAAATTTACATATTCATTAATTGATTGCTTTCATAAATTGAAAATTTTAGATTTGACGATATTGAAACAAAGTTCTTACCGTGCATTTGACATGAAATACAAGAAACGAGAAAAAATGTTTCATGATAACTGATTTTATTAATTAAATGTATGGAAAAAATTAACAATTTAAGGAAATCCATCATCATCCTCTTCGGCCATTTCTTTAGCAAGTTCCAAATCTTGCTGTTCTCTTTCTCTTCTTTCTTCAGCTGATTCAAGATCCTTTCCATAAGACTTTGGAGGATATCTCATAGCTTTAACACTTTGATTGTGTAAGTCTAAACAGAAAGTAATTCTCTGATGGAACGCTAGTAACGGCTCTTTAGTGCAATAAATGTCAGTAGTTTCTTTGCTACGCATGTATCCGTTTTCTGGTTCTAGGGTGGCTTCAATTACACCATCTCTTATAGCTTTAGCAACAATAAACTCTGCATCAACGCTAGAATCTAAACCCAACTTCTTTGCAATGTCTGAGGGGGAAATTCTGGAGTATGACAGTCCAATTGATCTAATTGCAGTTTTAATGACATTGTGTCTCAATCTGAGGATCAAAGTGAACGTGTGATCCGCCCTAAATTGTGGTCCAAAGTTTTCTAAAACTTCCCCAAAACGTTGAAGATTTCCTAAACGTACGGCTTGTGTTAATTGAAAATATGGAGCTAAAGCACGACGCATAGCTGCTTGTCTGAACGTCTGACGTTCAGGGATATCTCCGAGTAGAAGTTCCACAGTTACAGCTAATTTCTGAACTGTTTGACGAAAACCTACCGCAGTGCTTTGTGGAGCCTTCCTGAGAGCCTTCAAGAGAAGAAATATAGTCAATACAGGAAACCTTAAAAGTAATAGTAAAGATATTCAAGACACTAAAAATTTCAACTTACTTGTACTAAGTATTTGTGTGCAGCAGAATATTCTAATCTTGCTGCTTTAATACGTCCCAAATAATACAAAAATCTAGCCCATTCATTATTACTCGCAGATTCTGGGAAAGTTGATTTGAGAACAAGTTTGTCCGCTTGGTCGTACAAATTATAATGCAAATAATTTCTCAGTAAACAATTAATCAATACTGCCTGTCCTTCAAAATCATTTCTCAATGTTGCTGTTCTCAATCTCAAATGTAATAATCCACGAATCTTATCCAATCTTCCAACTAGTTCGTATGCTCTTGAATAATAAAAATAACATTTTGCAGCAATCAAATCGATGGTACGCCTATTTTGAGCAATAATCTTTTGTAGCAATGTCTCAGAACACTGAACAGCTTCTTCATATTTGTTACTATCGATTAAATGCACCAGAACTAGTAAATGAATATAAGCATCAATTTCTGGTAAAGGGTTTATGACAGAGATTCTGAGCTTTTGCGTTTCTTCAGATTCGGTAGGTTCTTCCAGCCATGACAATAACGCATCACGTTCCGGGCATGGCTTTGAATAGAAGCTTAAAATTACTCCACGTAACACGTTTGAGTTTAATCTTCTACGCGTATTGGGTAATGTACGCAGAGCTCTCAGAATGAAACGTGGTTCTTTGCTTTGCACAGCTTTCTCTATCTGACGGGTATGTTCACGGATGTCGTGAATTGATTGGAGATCGGTATCCTTTTTATCAGAAATGTCTCCATCGCCATTTTGACTTTCAGGAGAAATTATTTCAACATCCATAGCATCAGGATTTTTTGCTGGTACACCCATTTTTGTTGCACTAAACAAAGTAAGTTCTTTTGTAAGATCTATAATAATTAATAATGTAATTTTTATGCTATGTAAAAAAGATCAAATATGTTCATTACTCAATTAATCAAATCACTGTATTGGGTTTTTTAACGAAATAATTTTACAAATTGCTTACTATTTATTAATTTAACACTGATCTTTGAGTAAAAATTTAAATGGACAATTTGATTATTAAATTGTTAACTTCTTTAGTGTCAATTGAAGGTTGTATTCTTTAAATAAAAATCTATTGCTTTACTATACTCAATATCAGGTTTGTAGTATATCAGCATGATAATAATAAAAAGTAACAGTAATATTTCACACTTACCTTTGTTTTAAAGTTTTGTACAAAAACTGAAAGTTTGGTGGATAAGGACAATTCTACCTTTTCATCGCACCAATTCACAGTCATGCATAACTATATAACAATAAGTAAGGAAAGTTATAATACAATATCATACAACTACCATTCTTCCTAGTATTTCTACTCCTTCAATTTTATAAGTGCCTGACATTTTTAACTTCCCACCTATAATGTAAAATATATGATATAATAACATATGTAATGAGTTATCCTAAAAGTATTAAAAATAAGAAAGCAATAATCCTTTAATTTTCTTGAAATTTATATTTAATTTTTAGTAGATGGCGCAATTTACAATTTCTTGATTTAGTACATATGTTCATCTAAGTATATAACTTCATCAGTGGTAATAAAAGTGGCCAGTAGACATGAGATAACCTCGATACTAAAATAATACAATATTTTTAGTTACGATAATGTAAATACCTGCGCCAGGGCAACATCAAGAATTTTATTTGTTCATTTTTCTGTCATACTTAAAAATGAATTTAAGTAAAAGCGAGAAATTGTTGGCTGCTAAGAAGAAGGTACTAACTTTTCAAATTACTGACAGCTACCTAGTACTTTTTTTGCAATAATTATTTTATATTAAAATATTCGCATTTATTAAAATATTACTTTATAAGTACTCTATTTGATAAAATTCAATTTTGTTTTATTAGCTCAGAGAATTTCAACTGAGCAAGATGCAAGATGGTTCTACCAAACAAAAACAACATCCAATAAATTTGTTATCTTTACAGGTAAGGTAAAGGTGTATTGTAATAATGGTTTGTTTATGATAATATTAATTCATATTTATACTCGTGTAATATAATAATTATTAATAATTTGAAAGAATCAGAATCAAAATTTTCTAACATGAATTTTATTAATTTTTAGTGCCAAAATGCAGAAGTTAATAAATCTGATTCAGAAATTGTAAATATTATGTCAATAGCAGAAGCTCCTAACAACAATGCGCATGTGGTTAATGAGGATCATCAAAGAAATGAAACAACACCTACAGCTCCAATGACAAATACACAAAATATAATCAATCATAAAGAAGTACATCATTCTGTGGAAAGAACTAGCAATCTTTTGCAAGAGACCCAAGAAATTAATTCAAAAGTGGAAGCTGAAAAGAAAATGGAGCTAAATGACTTTCCAAAAGTACAGAAGGAACATCTTTTAGAAATGGCTTCTGCAGTTGAGAATGTTTTAACCAATGATTCTGAATTGGTAGAAACAAATTTAGACTGTGATTTAGTATGTCGTAATCAATTTTTGAGTTCCTATTTAGAAGAACAGAAAAAGATTGCTACCAAATTGCATATAGAGCTTAGTTTTGCTGTAAGTATGCGTAAAAGTTTATAATAATGGAAATGTGATTTCACTATGTGCTTATAATCTAATATTTAATTTTTAATAACAATATGTTTACAATGAAATTGTTTTAAACGTATTTTAATACATTGATTAGCGTAGCAGAATTTCGGAGTTAGAAACCAAATTAGAGACAAGAGAAGCAGAATTTCAAACGCAATTGGCGCGTGAATTAAATCCTTTAAAAGAACAACTTCAAGTTCACACTCAAACAACTGGAATATTAATAGCAGAAAAGGCAGAACTATCTGCTGCGCTTAATCAAGCTCAGCAAACTGCTAGACAAAACGCAGGTTAGCTTTGTATTATTTAAACATCATTGGTTTCAAAACAATTAAGCACCTGAAATATTTTCCTTAGAAGAGGTAGAAGAGATGACGGGGAAGTTAAAAAATTCTCACGTCCGTATAATTGAATTAGAAAAAGAAGTGACTACTTTAAAAGATAGTAACGAAGAATTAAAGAAAAATGTTCGTGGGTTTCAATCTGAAATCGAGGTTTTCGATAAAAAATATTTTGAGCTGAAGAAAGAGAATGAAGATTTAGATTTAGAGGTATCAGAGTTGAAACAAAAATTCAATTTGAAGAAAACAGAATTAATTGCTGTCCAACAAGAACTCCAAGAGAAAACAGCGCTACTTTCATTAAGTGAACTTAGAATACAACAGGTATTGCATATGCATTTATTATTAATGAAAAGATATGTAACTTTTATTTTTATTTTATAACAGCTGAAGGGTACTACACCAACAGAAGAAGATAAGCATGCAATGGTTCTTTTAGAACAAGAATTAGCACAGGCTAAAGAATCTCTAAAAATTATTAGTACTGAAAAAGATGAAGCTAATAAACAGTATCAAAATTATGTTAAACGGTTAGATACGCAACAAGCTAAATTGTTAGATGAGGTATACTATATTTTGAAAAATCATTGAAGATTATAAATTTAGTTTGTTATGTTATTTTCAAATTGTATTAATTTTTTTATTTCGATCATAGATAAAAGGTCAAAATAAAACTATAGAAGACTTACAATTAAGAGAACAAAGTTATATACAGAGATTATCAGAACTTGAGCAACAAGTGCAACAAGAAAGAGAAAAAGTAGAAAACTTATTACCTTTACAAACTCAGAAGGGTCAAATTGATACTTTACTAAAAAATATAGACGAACTTACGTTGGAACAAGAACGACTTCATATTACACTTTCAGAAAAGGTAAGTTTTACCTGGTAATTTATTCAGTTTTAAAACTGTGATAAAAACTACAAATAGTAGTATAAATTTATCGACCAGTTAATTATAAACAAGAAACTTGGAAATGAATACTGTAATAGTAAACTCGGATAACAAATTCAAATACAGAAATCATGCTTTTTTGCATATTTAGGATTCACAAATAGAAATGTTAACAAAAGAACTAAATGATTTACGTGAGTTAAGCAATCAAGAAGCAGAAGTAAAAAAATTAGCTAATGCTCTTCAAAGTGAACAAGTAGGAGCATCCAGAGCAGTTCATCAAAATCGACAATTGAAGGAACAATTAACTGACATGGAAAATGCTTTCGTTTCTCTAGTAAGCGTATTTTTGTAATTGATACAATATTTAATAAATAAGAAATGAATGATATTTCAATATAATTTTTAAGAGCAATGCAAAGTTAGACTTGACTGAACAACTTCAAGGAGAGCGTTCAATAGGACGAAAATTAAATGCTCAATTAAATAAGGTAGAAAGTGAATTAGAAGAACTGAAAGAGAAACTCAAGGAAAAGGAAGCTGCTCTTGAAGAACTTGAAAAAGAAAGACTTCAAAGTGCTCAGATAGCAGATCAAATGCAACATTATCAAGCACAGTCGCATCATGTTGATACTTTTCAACGAGAGCTTCAAAATGCTTTGGTAATTATTATTTTTTCTTAAATTCAACTACATTTATTGAAATTAATAAATTTTTAACTTTCGTTTTAGATTACCATAGAAAAATTAGAAAAAGAAAAACAAGAACTTATACATAAATTACAAGAAAAGAGTCAAGATAGTACTATTAACCAAAACGATTCACATTTTGTAAACGTAAATAATACATTGAATCAAGAAACAGAAATTGATTCGGGCCGGCAACAAGAAAATAATGTTACAGCGATAGAACCTGTTAAACAACTTGAACAAAGATTTAAAGAAACGATGGAACGAGTTGCAGAACTTACGGAAGAGAAACAGAAGCTTGAACACCTTGTTCTACAACTTCAAAGTGAAACAGAAACAATAGGTAAATTCTGAATAATTAATTTTGTTTTTCTTTTCTTACACTCGGTGTATTTTTTTAGGAGAATACATAACATTATATCAGAAACAAAGAGCAGTTCTGCAAAGTAGAGCAAGAGAACGAGACCAGATGTTTAGACAATTACTTGAGCAAAGAAATCAACAGCAAGAGCAATTACATAAGTTAAAAATATTAGTCATTGATTTTCTCAGGAAGGAGTATATACATTCCAATGGAACTGAACGTCTAATTGAAACAGGTACATTTTTTATTTTACAGAGATAAATAATAAATTAAGGAAAATGTAATCAAATTTAAAATATATTTAAAATAGCTGTTTTAATAATATAGTAAAAGATTTTGCTACATATTATTTTTCAGAGACGGATTCGAGTAATGATACCGTAACTACAATGAAAAGTAAAGAAACAGTGGATAAGCAAATAGAAAACAAAAATATTTCGGAAATTCTAGATGTTTTAACAGACATAAAAGATTGTAAGGACTCTTGTTTGTTCGAACCAAATTTCCATCCATGCCCTTGGTGTTCTGGTAAACTACTAACAGTATAAAAAAATGTGTATCCTATATCTTTAATATAAGATATTAATACAGCATTTTTAATCGATAACGATCTGTAGAATATTATTGTATATAAGATAAAATTATACTAATTATAATTTGTAAATGACTGATATGAAGAGGGAATATTTTCTTTAAGAACGATCATTCTTTTTTATTAAAAAAGATACAATCTTTATTTAAGCTTAAACATGTAATACCAGTAATGTCAATATAAAAAGTATCTATCTTTTAAATATTGCTTATAATTTTAATCGTTTTGAAATTCTTATGTTGTCTTCGTTAGTGTCACTAATTGTTTCTTCCTGTTCTTCAATAATGAAAGCAGCCTTTCCTCTACGTCTTCTTTCTAAAAAGAAAACAAGAAAATTTAGGATTTGTTTTTACGGGATGGAAGTTCATATGTTATACCTGCTTTTAAAAGAAGCTTTTTGCATTGATGTAATATCGAAGCTTTAGCTTTAACCTCGTTCAAACCAAGTAAGCATGATAAATTTATTAGATCATACGGATTTCTGATTGTTCTAATATTATTACAGCCACTGGATAATATTACATTCTAAATAAAAATATTTAATTAACAATTTTCTTATCAAGTTTTATTCTTATGAATAAAATGAATATTTGTATACCTTGCTTTTCCCATAGGTATGGAAAAGATGAGAGTAATGAATAGCAAGCTTTCTAGATTGTACATTTAACAAATCTGCATATTGTATTTCAAAATGTATCCCTCTTTCAATAGCTTGTTCATATAACTTTTTATTCAGTTTCATAGTTACAAAAGATGGTCTTAGTGTAATTAAATCTGCATTTAGTTGAGTGCATGCAAACTGTAAGGCATTTTGTGATTTTGGAGCAAAGGCATATAAATCATATTTCTTTAAGGCTGGACAATGATTCAGTATATGTGTCTTTGCAGGATCAGCACACAGAAATGTGATACGATTAAAAACTTTCAGTTTTCCATCAAATTGTTTTCTTATACTTTCTATATCAACTGTTTCAGGAATAGTGTTCTGAGATGCTTCTCCTTCATCATTTTTCTTCTTCTTCTTTCTGTCTGTTACAAGAACACTTTCATCTAGGTTAGTGTTTAATGCTACTGTTCTAAATCCATATTCATATAATTTTGATAAAATGAAATGTAAATTTTGCACATTGTTTTCTTGGACATTTACACACAAATCATAAAACCCTGTACTTTGTCTGATATCCATTTTAAAAAAGTATTAAATCTATGTACAAGTAAGATTTTCTATACTTACTTGAAAATTGAAATCAATTTAAACTAATTTATTTATAATTTTGTTGGTTCTTAATAATTAAAAAATACATCCTAACCTATAAATTTTGAAGATAGCAAGTGCTCAGATGAGCTATAAATACATATATGTATACAGTGATATACAGGTTGTTTCTAATAACCAGATTCAGTTATACTAATATTTCGAGTATCAGTTCCAAAACTTCGCAGTTCTATGTCTTTCATATTTTGCAAACTTGATTTAAATAAGTTTGTTATATTTTATTACTATAAAAAATTATTCTTTACAAAATTGAGAGCTATTGTTCTAAGATGAGGATAGGAATATTTTATTAAATAATTGTAGGTGTAATTATTAATTACAATATTTATAAATTTTAATTGTCATTTATTTAAATAGATATCAAATTAACTTAAATCGAAAATTATATTACCTCGGTTTAAAATATAAAGAATCAAACTATTAAATATTCATATCTTATAATTTAAAAAGTATGAAATTTAGAATATATTTGAATATTTTCAAAAATATTAATGATACGTATATACAGAAAAACTTCAGCTGTAACTTCCGAATTTTAAGAAATTAATCAATCACTATCTGCAGATTCTGCATCACTTGAAGGTGGTGTGCTTTCAATAGCTTCTTCGTCACTTCCTTCATCAGACTCTTCTTTCTTTTTCTTCTTCGCCTTCTTATCATCGTCTTCCTATAAAATAATTAGTAGGATTGAATCAAGTACCAAAAAATATTATTTACAGGAAGTTACTTCCGACTAATATAAGGAAATTGTATTATTTACCGTAGGACGTTTATCTCCTTTTTTCTTTCCTTTATCGGCTTCAACGTCATCGTCTGAATGCTTCTTCTCAGATTTCTACACACACATTTAATATAAATAATGTATTAGATGAATATCGAATTATTATTTTACCTTAGTATCTTCATCACTACTGCTTTCATCTTCACTAATATACTCTTTGCTCTTATAATTAGGTGCGGCTATAGGTTTAACAACCTCTTTTTTACTATCAGGCTTTTTCTTGTCTGCCTTTTCTAACTTTTCTGCCTTCTCAACCTTTTCTTTCTTTTCTTTTTGTCCACCTCCACTAGCTTCATATTCTTTCATTGAAACAGCATATTCTTTCTTTGCTTTTGCCGCTTTCTGTTCCCATTCCTAAAAAATGTTCACAAACACCATTAAAATAAAACGAAATCTAAATGTCAGTATATCTAATGTAGTTATGAAGGCTTACAGATTTATCTTTAAGTTCTCTCCACATTTCTCCTCCTTTCTTCGCTATTTCTGTAACTGCGATTCCAGGATTATCTGCTTTAATTTTTTCTCGAGCACTGTTTAACCAGATCATAAACGCAGTTGGCGGTCGTTTGGGTCTGTTTGCATCTTTTTCTTTCTTTTGCTTTCTCGGTTTTCTGGGTTTCTCCGACTGAGAAAATAATACATATTACAAAATTTCAAATTAGAAATTAATATTCAAATAACATCAAATTGTAATACTTACTACTGTTTTGGCAGATTTTGGTTTCTTCTCCTTCTTCTCTTTCTTTTCTTTCTTCTCACTTTTTCCAGAAGCATCTGAATCATTTTCACTTTCTGAACTATTAGGATTACTATCGTATTCTTCTGCTACATCACTCTCATCCTACACAAAAAGTATATAGCCACCATTTAGTTTGCAAAATTATAACAAGGTTTAATACAAAATTTTAATTGTAATAGAACTTTACTTGATTGGGATTGAAATCTTCATCCGTGGATTCATCTTCAGAATCTTGATTATCTTCTGCATCTCTTTCTTGTGCCTCTGCTTTAACTCTTGCTAAGTAAGCATCTGGTTCATCTTCCTGATCACTATCTCCAAAATCATTGTCATAATTCAATTTATCCTATTACGAAGAAAAAGACATAAGAATTTAATTGATATTATAGGATATTTATAAATGGATACTTACACTCTTGCCTCTATTTTTAACGCGTAGCTTCTTCGAGGTAATAAAATCGAAAAGCTTTCCATATTCTTCTTTTTCAATACTGCTAAATGTGTGAACAACCCCACTAGTCAATTCAATTTCAAAATCAAAAGATCTGGTGGAACCTCCACCACGTGCAAAATTAACTGATGCTATTTCTTCAAATCGTATGTGAATTGGAGGCTTATGAACATAGATGAAACCTCTTTCTAGAGGATACAGGTATCCTGCAGCTGCTTTGAAGGAACAGCTAATTGCTAGAGTACCAGAATGACTGAAAATTATAATAAAACGAATATGTAGGTAAGTTCTATATAGTATATGATAACTTTAATATCTTATATATAAATTTACCTGACGAAATTTCCAGGACCAGTGAGCTTTCGGTTAATTATCACCTTCATCACTTTACCCATCACTTCATAAGTTGGTCCTGATAACTCTTTCGGTAATTTATCTTCATACTTTTCTTTTAGTTCTTTCCTATAAGACAGCATATGATTTTAATGAAATCATGTATTTCATTGTCATTAAAATTTCATGAAGGCATTTAATATACAGGGTAACAATTAATCTTTACATACTCGGAGAAAGGTAATTCAATTGAGGTTTCTTCTTCTTGATTAAACAATAATACTAAATAGTGATAACGAGTTTGACCCTGCTTAATTGGTGGATCCAAACTGACCTGAAAAAATATTACTATTAATAAACTGGTTAAAATATAAGAAGTAACAGCAATTATATAGAAAACTTACCACAAAATACATTTGCCTGTTATCTTTATGAGGTAAAAGAAACAACCTTAAAACAGTTGACATTGGAATCTTATAATCAAATGTTTTACCGTGTAATTGGAAAAATGATTGGAATATCTTTATATCGTAACGACCACTGAAATGAGAAAATTAGTAAGTTAAATTACTTTAGATTAGTGCTACTATTTATTATTATAAACACATACCGTGGTGTGAGACATTGAATTTCCCTAAATATAGCAATAGCATCTCCACTAACACTAATAACAGATGCTTTCTCCATAACTTGTTGATGAAACGCTTCTACAGGATCTTGATCTGCACTATCACTAACTGGAATGTGGAACCTCATTTCCATTAAACTTACTGGAGCATCATCATTCTAAAAAAAAATATTATTAAAATACTGATATGAAGAATTAAACTAAATTCTTATTATTAATAAAGGTATATAAATCTCAACAATTTCAAACATAGCACTGTAATATTCTGTTAATTAACCTGATGAAATTCTAGGGTAACTTCATTCTTCCCAGTGTTACACTGAGAAACATCATAAAGTGGAATTTCAAAAGCAGTATGATGACCAACATCAAAACTCAGAACAGAGCCATTAAATCTAGCAGTGCCCCAGTTCCAACCTTTCAGGCTAAGTTCTTTTTCTAACATGTCTTTTTTATAATTCTGGGTAAAGAATTTTGCAATCTTTTCCTGGTCCTAAAGAAAATATATTTCATTAAAAATACAATAATTAGAACATTGATAAACTTTATACGAGAGTTATGTACTCACTCCTTCCTTGAAGCCACGAAATCTATGCAAAGTCCCATTCTTAAGAAATATTCTAAGACCCCAAGTACCAATGAATTTCTGATAATTTACCATTTCCATATCGGATGCAGAAATTTGTTCTACTTTACCAGTTTTTTGATTTTTGAAAATCAAATGTTGGTCTGTTAGTTTTAATCTTCCAGGAGTCTGCATAAAAGAAATACAAAATATAATAACAACAAGAAATAATAGAATAATTAAACTATAACTGAATTCAAATTTACAACTTTACATAAGCAATAATTTAAAAATAAAATCAGAAATAGGTATGATACATTATAATTATGAAACAATGTAATATGTTATTTACCATAGCTCCTTTTACTTCTGCAAGTACATCTGTATATTCTAAAAAATCCATCTTTAAATATGATCAAAAAGGATTGCTTATTTATTAACCACCAGCCAAACGCATAACCTTACACTTTAAACGTTGATGGTTAGCCGCTTTTTCTTTCTCTGAAACAACAAAGAATGAAACTCAAAACATGAATTTCTTGTGTAATGCGCGCCACTTTATTCCCTCCAGTCTTCTTGTGAAGGTATAATATAATTGGTCAACATCATAATTAAAAAGCTAGGGAATTATACAATGTTATATTGTTTTTTAAATTTTCACTACTATTTCATACTTAATTACATTTAATAATTCAATTTGTATATGTAACTTCAAATTTCAAGCATGAAAATTAATGAAATCTTAATGTTAAAACTGCATAACTGCAATATTTAACAAATTTGATTGGTGAACTTAGTCATAGAAGATAGAGTTTCAGATAGAAAAATCTTTGCTTTAGGATGCACCGTGTATTGAAAATGCAATTCATACTGAAATGAACAGATAAGTTAGGAAATTGAATTTTGATTGTTTACCTGTTTTTATTATATATTAAAATTACTACACTATAACAAAAAATATAAAAAGCCTGAATACTACAATTATAAACCGTTTCACAAGTTTAGTGTTACAGATTTTTATAATTGTTACATTGTAAGTAGACAGTGATAAATAATTGAAAGTATGAAATGATCTTGCAATCTTTATAATAATTATATAAGTTTATAGATTACTTGTTTTAGAATTTGTGTTTCTAAAATCATTGCATTGTTGCATAACTTAATAATGATCATTTGTTTTGTAATGTATATGTTTAAGTACCATTTCTTTTCAGACACTAGCAATGGTTCAAGAAGAATTTCCATCATTAAAAAATGATTTGATTCTGAAAGCTGCACGTGGGGAACCAGTAGAACATATTCCAGTGTGGATAATGCGTCAAGCTGGAAGATATCTTCCAGAATTTCAGGAAGTCAGATCAAAGCATGACTTCTTTTCTGTTTGTCAAACACCAGCTTTGGCTTGTGAAGTTACTTTACAACCTATAAAGCGATTTGACTTAGATTCTAGCATTATTTTCTCTGATATCCTTGTTATTCCACAAGCAATGGGTTTGACTGTTGAAATGGTTCCTGGAACGGTATGTTTAATAATTTGTAAAATAGTATAAAAGCAGCAACAGATGATTCAGCATTACTTATTCTTCATTATTATGCAGTAAATGAATTCACTTATATTACAGGGGCCTGTTTTACCTAATCCTCTAAATGAGCCATCAGATTTAAGTAGATTGATTAAACCTGATGTGGCAAAAGATTTAAAATATGTTGGAGAGGCTATAACTTTAACAAGACATAAACTAGAAGGAAAAGTGCCATTAATTGGTTTCACTGGTGCACCAGTGAGTAGAATACCTTTTTTTAAATTTTACAAATCACATAGTTGTAAAACTTGAATTATGAAACAGATATTTTTGGTAGTATTCATATTTATGAATTGTTAGTGGACACTAATGAGCTACATGATCCAAGGTGGAGGTAGTTCAACAATGACAAAAGCCAGAAGATGGTTGTATAAGTATCCAGAAGATTCTCACACACTTCTACAACTGATTACAAATGTCATAGTGGACTATCTTGTGATGCAAGTTGAAGCTGGAGCACAGGTATAATAAATAAATAAAAATAAAAGACATTAATTTGATTATAAATTGTAACTTTTCTTTTTTGTTTATAGTTGTTGCAGGTATTTGAAAGTCATAGTGACTTTTTAAACGACGAACTATTTCAGAATTATTCATTTAAATATTTGAAACAGATCAGTGAAAAAGTGAGACAAAAACTGAAGGAAAAAAATATTTCTGAAGTACCAATGGTAAATGAAGTCAATATTGTAATACATTGACGTTAGTTTATTCTTTACTTTGTATAGTGCTAAATTATTGGATAATTTTCAGATTGCTTTTCCTAAAGGTGCAACAATGAATTCTTTAGAAATGTTAGCAAAATCAAAAGCTTATGAAGTATTAGGCATAGATTGGACTGTAGATCCTATAGAAGCAAGGAAAAAATTGGGTTCTGATATTACTTTACAAGGAAATTTAGATCCATGTGCATTATATGCTTCTGAGGTTGATATATTATTTAAATTTATTAAATGTTATTGTAAAATTTTTATTTCTTTTTTCTTTATACAGGAAGAAATAATGAATCGAGCTCGAGATTTGGCAATGAAATTTGGTAAAACCAGATACATTGCTAATTTGGGACATGGCATTCTACCAGACACACCAATTACATCTGTTGCTTCATTTATTAAAGGTGTTCATTCAGTATAATTTATTAGATATATTTTTAATTAAATACATTTCTCTTTTTACAGTATACCTGTATAATAAATTGTTTTGTTAATGGATTTTATATGAATTAATTAGTATATGACCAACTTCTATTATAAATACAATACAGAATAAGTAATTATGAAAAAATGTTAATCTTATGAAAGCTTATTTAATATTAATCAATTGCTAGAAGTCCTGATTGTAAAATTAAGAAATCTATAATTTAAATAATAATTTTACATTCTTGACGATTAAGGAAAGAGATTTTTAAAACTATATTTTTTTTATTATTTGTGTATGTAACATGTATACATATACATATATCCTGTTTGATACATACATTTAATACAATAATAAAACGAGCACGAGAATAAATTTTATTTTGTTATAGTACAATAGAAACATTAATGATTTAGTACATATCAATAAAGTACCAAATTTAACTAAACATCAGTTAAATAGCGCCTGCGTATTATGCCTAACTTCCAACTGGCATAAAATTTCACATCAACTTTACCCCCACATGACAGACTTTTAGCCGGAATCCGTGGATCTATTCGGGTGGCCCCCTGTCGCCGATTAGCGGTACGCGCAAGCGCAGCCAGCTCTTCTGGTTAGAGTGTCCATTTTGATCACATGTGAGTATCTCCAATCTGTTCTCCTTTTTTCACGGTGAGTTTAACCGATCCATTTGTGATTACTCGAACAAGTTTGTAAAACGTGTGTTAAAAAAGTCTCGAGAATAAGGAACGAAATTATTAGAGGGCAGTTCGGTATTCGTAATTTTTTCCACTCACCTCGAGAGTCGGCAACTTCGACGACGAACCGCACGCAATTCTTTTCGCGCCATCTTCTTGAGGAAAACGATCAAAAATCCGCAGTAAACTCGTCCTCGAAGGTAATTCGACTTTCGTTAGACTTTCCACTTGATTTTCTATTGAAAGGATTTAATAATCGGTCAACTGTCAGCCGGGTTGAATCTTTGGTTAGATCGTACTTCTACAACGTGTTCGTTTTCTCTCCAATCATCATTTCAAAGCTTTTTCAAGCTTTTTGCGTTTTAAGCTTTTCTTGTAAACGTTTTATAAAATTCTTCTATCCAATTATAGCTAAACCTTTCTTTTTTCCTTATTTGTAATATCAGAAGAATAAACAACTTTTTTGAAATTTTGAATAGTCCTTACTACATTCTATCAAAGGTGTTCTTTACTGTTATATTTAATTTTTATGTAATCAAGTGCAACATTTTTTATTATTGCCTCAAAATTTTAATTAAAAATATCAATGGACTTTCTATGTATAAAGAGATGGTTATTAAAATGTTCATAGTGTTACGTTTCAAAACATATTGTGAAAAATTGAACAGTTCTATGTTTTATGTTTATCTTTCATTCTAGTATAATAATTTTTATATTAATTGCTTTAAAATTTTGATTAAAGCATGACTTTGATTCTCATTTAATTATTTGCCTGAAATACTAATATTAACATCATTTTCATAAATTTTGTTATAATCCATTGTTCATGACAGATTATATTTCATATGGTAATCGATAAAAATAATTCTGCAATTCTTTCCAAATTTCTTAATTATTAAAGAAAATTATGAAGTATATTTGGGAAACTGTATCAGTTATATACTTATACAACCTTTTATTACATTTTATTATTACATTATATTGCAAGTTGTTTGGTTGATAAAACTTGTTTTATTAATTGATTATTATTATTGTTCAATTCATCTTAAAATGAGTTCATGATACTTTGTTTCCTGTAATACTTCATATTATGCTTTTTAGTATTCATGTTGCATAACAATTGTAAAAGATGTAAAATTTAAATATTTTCAATTTAATATTTAGTATATTACTTTATAAAAATATTTGATATGTTAATCACAACTAAATTTATATAGATTGTATAATAGTTTGATACAGAACATTTAAAATTATGAAAGGTGTTTCCATATTTGCTTATAATACTTTAAAATCATGAATTCCTTCCATTTTTAATATATTTTCAAGTAAAAATGAAGTTATGAATGTTTTTAATTATATAATCAATCTGTTTTGTTTGCAATTGAAGTTTCATTATTAATCTATGATTATTAATTATGATTTCAGAATAAATAAAAAACAACAAGGATGGCAGACATTGAGGATACTCACTTTGAAACCGGAGACTCTGGTGCTTCTGTAACATACCCTATGCAGTGTTCTGCACTGCGTAAAAATGGGTTTGTAATGCTCAAATCACGACCATGTAAAATTGTAGAAATGTCAACATCAAAAACTGGAAAACATGGCCATGCCAAAGTACATCTTGTAGGCATTGACATTTTTACTTCAAAAAAGTATGAAGATATTTGTCCTTCTACGCACAACATGGACGTGCCATTTGTTAAGCGAGAAGATTACCAGGTATTTAAAAATTTACTGCACTGGAAAGGATTTACATTAAGTCAATGATTTGTATGGAAAATATTGAATAAACCATTTTTTTTTTAATCATATTATTTTTTTAGTGTTCTTAATGTATATTTGAAATATAGATTTTTGTATTAATTTTCCTTATTATATTACAGCTAGCAGACATATCTGACGATGGCTACTTGTGCCTGATGGCTGATAATGGTGAACTTCGTGAAGATTTAAAAATTCCTGATGGTGAATTAGGTGCTCAGTTACGTGCCGATCACGAGGCTGGAAAGGAGCTTCTGGTAAGTGTCATTGTTACAGAAAATAATCTTTTGTATTCTTATTATAATAATAAAATATCTTTTTCCTCAAAAGTAGTATTATATATACCATGGCAACATGCAAATGCGCATATTATGAACTGATATTTAAAAATGTTGTACATGTTAATAATATTCTGTGAACTAAATAAAATAAAATTTAGTATAGGTCATCTTACAGTACAGATATTGGCAAATAATTATAATTATCTGTTGATTTTTCCTCATAATTAATGAATCCAAAAAGTGTTATTGCAAAAAATATAGTTCTATTTTTTAAATATTTGTATTGTATTTCAGTGAATTAATACGTGTAGGGATTCTGTATGTGTATTTTTTGTATACAAGTTTTAATATAAGTTAATGAGAACGGTAATGAATCTAAAAAGTGTTATTGCAAAAAATAAAGTTCTATTTTTTAAATATTTGTATTCTATTTCAGTGAATGAATACATGTAGGGATTCTGTATGTGTATTTTTTGTATAAAAATTTTAATATAAGTTAATGAGAACGGTAATCTGTTGTTTCAGTGCACTGTACTGAAGGCCTGTGGTGAGGAGGTCGTGATCGCCATCAAAACTAACACTGCCATCGATAAATAATTGTGTTCAGTCCAGACTCCACCATCACATTAAAGAAAAAAACAAAACACACACAGCTAATATATTATTAAGAGAAACCTAAGATACAATACAAGATGATCAATGGTTAACATAAGAACTATTACCAACAACAAATAGAGAGGAAAAGAGTGGGGGGCACTTGAAAAGAATAAAATGAAGGGAAAGGAAGTAAAAATAAGGAAAAGGAAAGAGACAAACAATTATATAATTATAAAAAATGAAAGGAAGGGAAAACAAATGTGCGCGAGCGTGTAAGTGTGAAGGAGGAGAGGATTACAAATAATTGCAAAAAAAAGAAAAAAAACAAATAAAAAGAGAATAAACCAAGAAACAGTATCAGCTTAGACCTTAAAAAAACAAAGAATGTTTTTGGCGGCTTAATGGGTTGAGATTAAAAATGCAATTTTGACAATGGGATATTTTGAAAAAGAACTCTTTTGTCTTGATTTGTGGTTTCTAAAATTTTCATATGATTAGAGTTCTATTTCTATTGGAATTTCAATTACCCTTGCAATAATGATTATATGCAATTCTAACTGATGTTATAATATTATTGAAATTCTAGTACATTTAGAATTTTAATTACCTATAAGTTTAGGTTCCTTATACCAACCCTTTATTACATTATATTTTTCATTGAAATTTCAATTCTTTTGCACTTTGATGTTTGATATCTTCTATTCTACTGAAATAAGTAAAATTCTAATTTCATTAGAATCTTAATTCCTCTAACATTTCCAGTTTTGTTGGAATTCTGGTTTTTTCCACATTTGAGATTGATCTTTTTCCTTTTATTGAAGTACTACGTCATAGTGTAACTGTCCCGATTTAGAATTCCTATCCTATTTTAATTTTGAATTTTTTGTATACAATTATATTCTAATTCTATCCAATCATTAGTAGAATTCTATATTTAAGTTACGTTAAACAAAATTCATGTTTTTATTACAGACTCTCTTGAATTTTGTATCTATCCAAAGTCCTTTTGTCTTATTAAGTACTTGTTTTTATAATTTGCATTTTACTAAAACAGGAATGCTTGAAATTTTTGATCTCTTTAAAAATTTATATTATTTTCGATTTGATAAAAATTACTACTATTTTTTGTTTGATTCTTCCAATTTACATGAACAATTCAGGTTCATAACTTTCACTCAAAATTAAATTCTGTGCTCGTAATTCTACATATAAGAATATTAAAGTTTTAATTTTAAACATAGATCTGAGAAATTTTTATTACTTCTCTGTGAATTTCAGAAATTTCATTTGAAGCTCACATTTCTGATGTTGTTTTGTGTCGAATGATTCCCAAAGCAACATTTTGACATTCAGAATTGAAACTTCAAATTCAACAAATGTAAAACTGAAATTTAACATGAAATTTTGGAATTCAATTTGAATTACGGATTCTGTATAATCAAGTTTCGAAAATAAAAAGCAATGTCAAATTTGAATTCTGAAATTTTAAGTTCATTAGTTAATTTGGTTTCTGACTTGAAATTTTTCATTGCAATGTAAGAACTGATCTTACATTTAACACTTGATTTCAAATCAGACCATACCATCTACGAAAAAAGTAAGAAAATGCAAAAAAATATATATATAAAAAATGAATGATAACAAACAACTAAGCTACTATAATCTAAGCAGACTAATTTAAGATTAAGGCGACCTAGATAAATGAATTTAATCGATAAAAAAGCTGAAAAAACGAATCAATAGGCCTCACGGTCGTACTTCAACCACGAGAGGTGGAAATCATTTTCTTTCTGCTTCTCTAAATACTTTGATTATACACCACTGCTGGTCATTCTTTTAATTTACTTTTTATTAATTGATCAATATTTTAATGATATTCCGAGAGTATTATTTTTGTCTTAGTTTCCAATTAATAATAAATATTAATAGAATCCAACTTATCAGTATAATAGCTCATTTTTCCACCACAGATGCATTGACACACACAGTTTGAAAATATTCTTATAATATTATTTAATACTATGTATACGCATAAAATCAATGTATAAAACATGTTTTACGAATATAATATATATATATATATATACATATACATTTGAAAAAATTTAACCAGCATTGGCGTATATAAGGAAGTAAAGATACGTATGCATACACACACACACACACACACACATACACATATATGCGGTGGTAAAGTATATGAAAATACACACAAGTATATACAAAAGTACATGATTATGAAATTAAAACCAGGAAACACAGGCGTAAAATATATAACTAAAAATGATTACCAACGAGCATTTGTTTATACGGCAGAAGTCAATGGAGGATAAATAAATGAGATAAAAAGCAGTCGATGCTTTCGTGTCACCTTTTATATATTTTGTAGCTTGTAGTTTTATTGTGGTATATTTTTTTTTTAAATTGAGCTTTTATAATTCTTTTTCATCGTTAACATTTTTTTTTTATTAGACAGTCCTATTAGTATTTTGATTAGCAATAATTAATAAAGTTTGTAGTTAACATTCTATATTTAAATTTTGAATTCAATTAAAAGTCAATCAAATAGTATTCGATAGTAATTTACGAGAATTTATAAAAATTAGAAATGACTGAAATTTTCGTTTAGTTAAGTTCTAGTATTATTAAACATATTTGGGTGGGTACTCAATAATTTATTAGAAGTTTATTCGCAAATATTCTCTTTAATATTCCTACATTTTCAAACATTAATACTCTTATATCTCGTATTATTATTAATTATTAATGATTAAAAAAACATTACGAGTGCCATTATGTATATTTGTGCTAGTAAGCACAAGCATACGCTTTTATCCCTTATACACATACACGCACACACATACACACAATATACAAAGAACATGACAAAAGATATGTAACACAAAGATGTATATTAAATGCGATTATGACTGCTTTTTTTCATTTATTGTAAAACTTAGATACGTTTATAAAAGTATAAAATATTAAAGTTTTATAATTTATGCCTATGTGTATTAAACATTATAGGCATACTGGATGATTAAAAAAGCACTATTATGAAAGTTTTGTACATTTTCATAGATAAAATTCTTGGATATAACGAGAAATATAGCAATCTATAAAAATAATAGTAAACAATATGCAATTCTATGAAAGTGTACAAAAACTTCCCAATAATGCTTCATAAATTAATACTTAATTTAAGTATATTTAAAATAAGTAACCACGCAAAAACATAAAACTTAAACATGTTTATTGTACCTATATTTAAAAACATTTTTAACGTAAATATGCATTCCATGAAAATATGATAAATTAATTGGTTTGAAGTGTAAATAGTGATTTTAGGTGTTACATACCTTTAGGCACATCCTATATATATATATATATATACATAAAACCCAGACACTCGTAATGTTTCTTAATATTATATTCAAAATCTCGACATAATTAATAATTGATATTCAATTATTCATTCTTTAATACTTCAGGAAAAATTCATCTTTACCGCTGCACCCTGCATATCACAGGAAACTGTTCAAAATTCTCGTCAATAATGACAGCAACAATTCGATTTTTAATTTTATCATTTACGATATTTTTCTTATCTTTTTTTATTGACATTCTTCTAGATCGAAGAAAAGTTGATCCTCTTCGCAGGATCAATTATTGGCGTTTCTCCTTTGAAGTGCGGCCGCTAGATCCTGTCTAAGAGCAGCCTGTTGTCTTTGATCGGCTAAAGATTGCACAGACCTTAATCCATTTACAATGTCTTTCGTTTTTCCAAAATATATTTCATTTAAAGTATTTCGAATTTTATTTTCCATGTCCTCGACCATGCGACCAATGTTTGCAATATGAGGAGAACTTTCGCTTATTTGAGCATCTTGTTCCACCTGAAAGGTAAAACATTAATTAAATGGATATACAAAATTTAGACGAAGATTAATAAACAAACCTGTCTAGTAAGACTTCCTCCTAAATTCATTGTTCCAGATCCATGTTTATTAGTCTGCAACCAAAGCATGGCAGTGGAAGTTAATTTGTAGTGCGCAGTTCGTCCAGTGGACTTCTCTTGAACTTCTACTACATGAATGGAATCCCAACAGCCTTTGATTTTCTTTGAACCATCCCCTGCTTTTTTAATTAGAATCACTGCTGCAAAACCATGATCCAAGTCCCATAAATAGACAGAAGAGACTCCACCCTCGAAATAAAGTTCTCTGTACTGATCAAATGCATGATTTGCATCTATTTCTAACTTTCTGAGTCTCTCAGAAGGCATTGAACCATCTTCTAATGGTGGATCATAAGTATTACTCCAAGGTGATCTAGAGGAAGGTGATATTTTAAAAAGGAATAAATGAGAATAATATGTTTAATTACCTATAAGAATCTCCATCTCTATTATAATCACATAGTAGATAATCTTTTCCAGATTCTTTGTCTTTTGCAATTTTTAGAGGTTGATCAACTGAAGATAAAAGATCTTCGCAGAGAGATGGCACTAGATCTATTAAATCACTTAAGTTTTTTTCAATCTGTTGAGGAGGTAGTCTTCTCATCAAATCCAATGCACAATCCATCTGCTGCTCCGTCTTTAAATTAACACACAAAAGTAAGTTCAATTTAATTTTTAATATAATGTAATTGGGTAAATTATTTTATATGCTTATAACGAAGCTATAGTACGATACAGAAACAAATAAATTTAATTTTGTCAGCCATCGATAAAACTTTTTAATCTTAAAAAAGTATAATTAATTCTATAATTTTTTAAAAATAATCGCAATTTCACTGTATGAAACCAATGGCGCCATTTTGACGTTTATTTCATTTGAGGTTAAGTAAAAAATTTGCTTTTTAAAACATTTACCAAAGGATAAAAATTCGTACAGTAAATGTTCTCCAAATTTTGGATATCAGTAACTGATTTTACACATTCAAATTTTATTATAACTAAGAGGGTTTACTAAGACTTTAATCTATAATTTCAGAGAACGTCATCGATAAAGAAAGATACTGTTGTTATCGTTTGACAATATTACACTCACCATTGTAAATAATTTTAAAGTTTTATCAATGTCAATCAGATCATCAATCAATCAAAACTACAAAATCAGTGAAAAATTTTATTGAAACTGTTTATCCGTCGACTCGCATTCAGTCACCGAAAACGAATATTCAAGGGGCGTGTCAAGATTCGTGTTGATTGGTCAATCACTAAACAATGTCACCAATCTGATACAACAAAAACTACTAATTACAAATTGACAGTGAAATAACAACTGTTGCGGGAACTGTTGGAACTGTAGATCTTCTAGTGATCTTTCTCAGTAAAGGTTGTGGGTTGCTACCCGTGGAATGCTGAATTGCTCTGCTCGTGATGGTCCGATGCGATTTAATTTGTAAAGAAAAATAAACTAGTTAAACTTTGAACGGGTTACTTATTATACAGCTCTATTAGTATAATTAAAACATCGCCAAGTAATTAAACGCTCGATTAAAGAGAATTGAAATTCAATTAGAGAACCAATTAGGTTGATTGATAATTAATCTTAAAAATAAATTAAAAACATTATTTACATTAATTATTTACTTAGTAATCAAGAGCTATATATATGTACCAGTAGTCCTTGCAAAATCAGTTGTTCTTTGTGCTACGTTTTGAAGAAGCACAGTCTCTGAAAAATATTTCAAATTCAGTTTTATTTGTTCAAGTTATTAATTGTTTAATTAAAAGTTTTTTCAAGGTTGAATAGTTTATTTAAAAAGTTTTCTTTCACTTACATTTCAAATAATCACACATAACGTAAGCAGAGTCAGCAGAGTGCTTAGCGCTCCACGGGTACCCAATCCACGGCCCATAGATTCAAAATCCCTACAATTCACGCGAGTTCTCGCAATAATAGTAAATAGTTTAGTAATAATTTAGATTTTGACACTATATTTTTCTAAGCGCCAGTCATTCGCATTTACATTCTTACATAATTTCCTTAATTAAAATACCTATTTGTTTGATCGGAATCAATACAAAGGACTAATATCCTCTGACTAGTCAATTTTCATTGACTTTTCTTTAAGCTCACATAAGATTATCATTTTCTTGGCGACCTTATTCTTGTTAGTTACTATCTCTCAACACTTCAGATTGTAAGAGTTGGTTGTTCCGAAATTATAGAAATGATTTGAGTCGGTAAGTCAAATTAAAATAGTTTATAAATTATTTTAATTTGTTTATATAAAATCAAAAATATTTCCTAAATTTTCGCTTTATTCTTTCTGTAAATTATAATGACTGTTACATAAATTCTTTAATTCTTTAATGTTTCATTTATGATTCCTTATATTAATAAATATTTATAATGAAGTGATAAACGGTTTATTTGCATGCATTGTAAATTTAAATTAATTCTTTTTTAGAATTCACTTTGCCTTGGAAAACTAATGTTTTCTACAGTATTTTTATATTTTCTTTTCTTTAAAGATAAATATCTTGAGTTTAAAAGTAGGTTATATATTGTCCTTAGATGATTTGTAAATAATGAAACATTATTTAATGATTATTAATAACATTGAAGTTATTATTAACTAATTTGCTTAAGTGTATTATCAGAAAGAGATTAGATAATTTTTTATATGTATCATATTGGTATTATACTATTTTTATTTAAATATTATTCATAAAATTTTGAAACTTTTTGTTTGTTTCAAGGTACTTGTAATAATAATGGTTGCTTAGATAACAGTTTTTGTCAATTATTAAATTTTCTCTTAATTTTTCAAATAAAGTTAAATAAATAATAAAAATGAAAATAATTTTCTATATACATAGTTTTAATTATAAGTTCATATCTTATTTTAGATTTGTTTATTTCAGGTGTAAAAATTCAAGGTTTCCAAGAGATATATATATATGTATGATTTTTGTTATTAAACGCACATATAAAAAATCTTAAGAGATGGGGCTAATGGCAACATTAAAGCAGTCCACTGTGATTCATCTAATGTTTGCTACAACATTTTTTACATCGGGTTTGATAATCAATTTCTTCCAGTGCTTTTTGTACTTTGGCCTTAGACCTTTTTCCAGATATTTTTACCGGAAAATTAACTATTATCTCTGTTATTCTTTTTATAGCCGTAAGTCACTATACCATTTTAAATGTAGCATTTCTATCTACCTTTTTCTGTGTGTTTAATTCTATTTATATAATTCTGTACATTGTTTTATATTGTTGTTTTGAAATTGAATTTTTAACAATACCTTTTTAAATCTAATAAAAGAAAAAAAATAGACGATGGATTTTTATTTTTCTAAATTTCGAATTTTATTTTCAGAGTTAGTATTTGTGGCAGAATGGTGGTCTGGATCGGATGCAGTTATATACATAGATAAAGAAGAGTTTGATAAATATTATGGAAAAGAACATGCTTATTTATTAATGAACCACAGCTATGAAATAGATTGGCTGTTTGGCTGGGTTTTCTGTGAGCGTGTTGGAGTACTTGGTGTAAGTATTTAGTTACATGTACATACAGAATCGAGTATGGTCGGCTGCTCGATGGAAAATGACGACGTAGGGGAAACGTTACCAAATATATAAAAGTCCGTGGCTCTATTAATTTAAAATATGTATTTCAGAATTGTAAAGCATATGCAAAGAAATCATTACAATATATTCCAACATTAGGTTGGGCATGGAAATTTGCTGAATGTATATTCTTAGAAAGAAACTGGAATAAAGATAAACAAATAATCGCTTCTCAGATTAAAGAACTTGCTGAATATCCTGACAGTATATGGGTAATGAAAATGTTTGCTATTTATATTTAATTCTTATCATTTGATTTTTAAGTGCACTAAACTCTTGCTATATTGTTGGCTGCGCGAGTTCCGCCACAATATCAAAGGTCCCGTAAACGGCGGTATAGTGAGAATTTACTGTAGCACAATTATTTATGAATTCATTTTTCAAATAAATTTTTTATTTTATTTTAAATTATCTTTGCAGCTACTTTTGTATCCTGAAGGAACACGTTTCACGCCACAAAAGTTAGTGGCCAGTCAGAAGTTTGCCCAAGAAAAGGGTCTTCCAGTATTGAAGTACCATTTAACCCCCCGCATAAAAGGCTTCACGGCTAGTATACCATACATGCGTGGTAAAAATACCGCGATATATGATATACAAATACATTTTAAACCGGACGACCCAGTAAAACCAACAATTACGAATTTGTTACTGGGAAAACGAGTCGAGGCACATCTGCATATGCGAAGAATTGCATTGGAGGAGGTACCAGAAGACGAGGAGGCTGCAGCAGAATGGTTATATAAGCTATATCAGAGAAAAGTATGATTTAGAACAATTTATTCGAAACGCTAGATTAAAAGACATTACTTTAAAAAGAATTTTAATATAATTATTGTTTTTTAGGATCGTTTGGCAGAGAGTTTTATGCAAACGGGTGATCTTTTCGCAACCAGTGGTGTACCTAGACCAGATCAGTTCAGACTGAAAAGAAGGTATTATACGTTAATCAATACGATTGGTTGGGCAGTGGTAGTTTTAGTACCAGTGCTTTATTATTTGGTTAATCTATTCTTATCTGGATCAACCATTTATTTCTCCATTGGCGTGGGCATTATTTTTGTGTGTAAGTATTCTAATTTTACACAATGTTATTGATTAAATATTATTTGGTATTGCCTTGAAATTAATATTTATATTTCTTTTTCAGTTTATTTATTAATGCAGAAAACAATAGGAATGTCTGAAATAAGTAAGAGTTCGTCTTATGGAACCGATGATAAAAAATCAAAATAAGAAAATAAAGAGAATATATTGGTAAATCTTTAGAGGCTATTGTCACACAAATATATAATTATCTTCTCCTCGTGATTTTTTCTTCGTGAAAGTCACTGCGTGGAACATATTTCCAGAGATTTGAGAAAGTATTTGTTTTAATTCTGTTGGATAATGTATTAAAATCAGACAGCTGTATTATAGTATCAGTATGACTATAATTTATATTATATTTACAAGTCAATTTTGGAGAAGGAATATTTTTGGTTTGGTAAATTGGATATTTTAGGAAATCATAGGTTTTTGTTATAACGATGGTGGTTGTATTAAATGAATTATTTCTATTTTTTAATGATGATGTTTCAATGAAATTTCTGGCGATTTATTAAAGTTTCATTTAATAAAAAAAAAATAAATAAAGTTTACATTTTTGGAATGTAAAAGTAGCAGTTTTAAAGAAATGCAAACATTTTAGATGAAATGAAAATATTTTCAAACTATTTAGTTAGTTTACAATCATGTACATTTTATAAAAGTGATTCTTCAATAGTGCACAAATATTAATTAAAGGTTGTTATAAATAGTTTTCTAAAATATGCATTTTAATTTAATATTTTTATTCAAGTAGCTTTGGAGGTGGTTGTATTTTAAGTATAATATTATGTGTACATATTATGTGGAATAGGTCTTTCTTTACAGTTTTGTTATTACCAATGTATTTACTATTTACTTAGTGTCATTGGTGAAACTAGGCAGGGATGGGTCTGGCCTCTCAAAAATGTGGACTGGGACCTTCACTTGTATAAGGTTCAGAGATTCTAAGATCATAAAATTCTGAGTTTGTTAATAAAGCTGACGAACTAAGGGATTTGACCCGCCTCAGAAAAAAATCCTAGTTACACCAATTTGTATCAATATTTTTATTTTCGTATATAGATGTTGTTACTGTTAAATAAATATTTTAACCCAGTTTTTCTTTTTTAAAAGTACATAATTTCTGAATCCTGTGATTAGAAATTCAAAGATTGCATGAAAAGTGTAGTATCTGTTTTCATTTGATTAAGTTCGATTTTCCTTTTAACTTATTAGCTTTCTTATATTACTTTCATGGTGTATTTCCGTATACCCCCCAAAGGGTTTAGCAATGTATCGAATCGTTCTTAATTTACCCCTTGCATCGTAATAACCATATTGTCCTTTTATTGTACCATCCCGATGTCTTTCTTCCAGCCTATACTGTCTACTTTTTCTGAAACAAATACAAATAGGTTGAAAATGTTACACATCCATATAATACAAAATTCGGATTTAAAGTCTGTAATAAATAAATCTAACTTTTATAAACGATAATTAAGAAACTTATTCAATAATAATTACATATTATTTGTAGTAATTGATTTATTTGTTATATGTACAAATTTATTCGGCGCTTTTAGCATTAGATTTACCCGTATCCAGTATCGAATCCAAAAATGTAAGTTTGTGGTCCTTCATGACCCTGTATATGAAAATGCAGTCTATCACTTTCTTTGGATAAATTCCAAGGTAATATAGTTTCTTCTTCTTGTTTCTTCATATGATGATCAATTACCGGTTTATCTCGTCTTAACTTGTGTAGTTTATTGTTCCCTTTCATTATATGCTTTGAATTGTTTTTACTATGTAATATTTGTTGTGGATTATCCGCGTATAATTGATGATGATGATTGGACCACAAGGCATTGTTCGCGAATACGAAAACTGCATTGGTAAAAAACTAGAAGAGAAAATGTTATGAATTTTAAATATTTTCAATTGAAGGAGTACGCTGAAAAATAGAAAATTTTTAGTTATTTTATTATTTCTATAAGCTGATCGATCCAAATACTAGAGATTGCTGATTTGTTTCGCTTTCACGCTTTTTAGTGGCTCAGTGTTTTTTGAGGATTGATTGTAATCGCAATTCACTGTTCTAGTTGTACATTCTGTAATTCGAATTGTGAATAAAAATAGAAAACAACAATCGCAATATTTTGAAACAAATTAAAAATTAGAAATTTAGAAATTTCAATGGTATTAAACATATTGAAATTTCAGTTGATGTTCCTTCAGTACATAAAGGAATATTCAATTTTAAATCACTTTAGATAAAATAATAATTACAGCATTATATTGAAAATTTACGAATAAAATGTTAACTTACAATAACGGAAATTGAATAATTCTTTTCTACATTATATAGTTAATTAATTGAATTGAGATTTGAGGAACAATTTAGTTTTATATAAAAGTAAACACTTACGAGAAACTTTACGTGCATTATTCACGTTAGTGACAAATTGAATGAGAAAAGAGATTGACAATTTTCATTCTAATCTGCGCTCAACTTTCATATTTCCTCTCCCTTTTATCCCCTCCTCGAAGCACTCGCAATGACTACAGATCGAAGACGGAACATTCCTTCTACTATATTCTAGTATAAATATGTGTAAAAAACTCTTTGCATTGCAATAACCTTAACCCCCTTTGATTCTATTTCTAAGAAATCGGTCAAAATCAGTAGAAGATTGAAAAATTGTTAAAATAATTGTTTGACAAATTTGTATCTTAAAAAGACCGCTAGAAATAAAAACTTTTAAAAACTGACCCTTGCGCTATCTATACAAAAACGGCGGAAACTACTCAACAATTTATCGATTAAGTTTGTCGCTCTATGGAGGCAAGAGCTCTTCTTTATCGGCATCGACGACAGCCACCATATGTTTCAGAAAATCAGTCGGTAAGTTGTTGAGTAGTTTGAACCACTTTTGTGTAGATGGTACAACCATCGAAAAAGATGTGGAGTGATGGTAATGCAGGTTTGGTGGTAGGTACGAATCCCACTGAATATACACGGTTTCCCGCCTTCGGTAAAGGCGTACTCCTTTTACCTTCACCACACTACTATTTTAATCTTTTTTTGATCTTGTATACTGATTTTGACTAACAAGGGAACATTGGGGACTGGTACACTCCGATTTTGATGAAACTTTGCATAAATATTTATTAGACCTGTTTATGAAGATAACTGTAATTCGTTGGTACCCGTTTTTCACTTTGAGGGAGATATCAATCCTTTTATCCGAACCGTCCTTTCTATATACGTGCTTATAAATCGTAAACAACAAAAGATATAAAAAAATAGTTAAAATAAAAGTTATACCGTTTCTTGAGGTCTATAAAGCTACGTGTAAGTTTTTTTTTTAAATCATCCTTTTTGCAAAATTGAATTCCCCCTCTCCCTCCGTTTTGAAAAACTTCACGCAGTTTTATAGACCTCAAGAAACGGTATAACTTTTATTTCAACTATTTTTTGATATCTTTTGTTGTTTACGATTTATAAGCACGTATATAGAAAGGGCCATTCGGATAAAAGGGTTGATATCTCCCTCAAAGTGAAAAACGGGCACCAACGAATTACAGTTATCTTCATAAACAGGTCCAATAAATATTTATGCAAAATTTCATCAAAATCGGAGTGTATCAGTCCCCGATGTTCCCTTGTAAGGAAGACATAATAAAACATTAATTTTTTTCGTATAAAAATATGAAATATTCTCTTTTCAAAGAGACAATGAAAATTCTAGCGCTCGTTTCAATTCAAATTCTAGCGCTCAGGATTGCATAACTCATGTGCAACAGGAAATAAATAATTCAGGATACATCATGTCACCGAAACGATCACTGAATTTGAATCCTTTTCAGAGATGGAATGATACACAATCAATGTCATCATCTTTTTGTGTTAATTTCCTTTATATATTCGAGCAAAAAGGAGCATACGTTCATTAATCGTAAGTTAACTCTACAAAACGTTAGCAGCATGAAACTTTTCGGACCGCTAATTTTAACATACATTGTTCTACTTTTCTTTGACGAAGGAATAGTAAGTTGTTTTACTATAATTTTAATAAAAAATTATAAATTGAAAGGGAAATTTAGAAGCACATATGATTTTTTAGTCTTTGAAGTGTCGTTCTGGGAATCAACAAGTGGACGCACGATATCAAAAAGTGTTGATGATTTGTAAAAAGAGATACACTGATTCGAATACAGACAATTCGGAAGATTCTGCTTCGGAGAATAACAGTTCAGAAAGCGGCTCAAATTCTAACGAGAATGTTTATGATAAAAATTATTTTGATACAAAGGACGGCAGGTCTTACAATCAGTCCACAAATACTCAAAGATATAGGTGCGATCTTTATATAAAGTAGAGACTGTATTAAATTTGTATATTTTAATTATTAATAAATTTTTCTTTGATACAGAAATTCTAATAGAAACAGCGATATGAATACTTCTGATCGTTCAGTAAATGGAAATATCAGACATTTTCAAAACATGAAAAATATTCGTAAATCAAATAATCAAAATTCATGGAATTCCAGAGATTCACAAAATAAAAATAACTATCGTAATGGAGAAATGAATAACGGAGACATGAAGTTTGATAATAATACCGGTCAAGATCAAGCTGTAAGAATTATAAATTATTTTTTATCAATATCTTTGTTTCTTGCACAGTATAATTAAATAAGTAACTTTAATCCGTTACAGTGTATCATGCAGTGCTTCTTCAATGAATTGAATGTTGTAAGTAAAATTTCATATAATTCGTTTACCTTCAAGACTGAAATAATTTATAAAATCATCAGGTGGATCAGAAAGGATTTCCAGAAAGGGATATGGTAATTCCATTAATGAGCCAGAATATTCAAGATCCAGAATTGAAAGACTTTGTTGAAGAATCAATCACAGAATGCTTTCATTACCTACAATCAAACAAGAGAGAGAAGTGTGAATTTTCGCAGAACCTTTTAACATGTCTGGCTGAAAAAGGGCAACAAGTATATCTTTTAATATCTAAAAAATCAGTAGTAACTTTCATTACAATTATTTTTTTTATTAATTGGTTTAAATGTAAATATTATAACATTAATTATAAAACTAGGCACTAGATTACAATTAAAATAAGCAACAATTTTATTTTTAGAAATGTGAAGATTGGGAAAATTAAAAGAATGTCTTCATTATGATTTTTTCAACCACATAAGAAGATAAAAGATTATATAGAACACATGTGTAATAAAAAAAGTTATAAACAGCCATCCGAGTAAATTTATGTGAGCATATAATAGCTTTAGTAAAATTGCAAATACTTTATAGCATAATGTTTTGTTAACACTTTTTCGCTTAAACTGTTTATACAGCATTATTAAAAAAAATTGCCAATATCACAATATTTAACATATTTGTTATTAATGTAATATCTAGGTTCCTAAAACCCAGCATATTTTATAGTAATAAAACTATATAACATTTTTCATTTTCATTACCTACAGTTTTTGTATTGCAAGATACATATTATACCCAGTATACGTTTACAAGCCTAAAAAGCTATTTTCTTTTCTTTAAATCTTCAAATCGTTTCATTAAATCATCGAAATCAATATCTTCGCTGGTAGATGGATTGTTTGGTGGTAAATCAGTCTCGGTCGGCACAGCTGGTAGATCTGGAAGCTGAAAATCATTCATCGGCATTTTTGATCGTGGTTGTGGTTTCGGTTTCTGCTCAGACTGTAATAGAAAATCATAAATAATTGTTTTACATAAACGTATAATAAAACTTTAAACAAAATGTAACATTAGCAAATAAACAAAAAATAAATTTATACTATTTAACTCAACATAATATATTATAGAAATAATTATAACACATTAATTACATTACCTGTTTGTTTAAGTCAGGTGGAAATGATCCATAGGGTGGAGGCAAATCATTTTCCTACGCAAACAAAAATCTAGTAATTATTTGTAAGATATATATCATAATATAAATAAAATAATACTTACAGGTTTATTGCTGTTAGAGTTATCCCAAGGAATATTATAAGAAACATTAGTTGGATTATAAGGAACATTTTGATCTTTATTTTCTATAGGTACTGATGGAGATACAAATCCTATAGGTCCTTTTTCTGAATTCTAAAGAAACAAATTAAATTAAAATGGTATTCATCCTGTAATAGTATATCCAATTTAGCAATTATTTACAATTAAGTTTGATGTAGGATTAGGTAGCAGTGGAGGTTGGGGAAATCCAATAAACCCAACTGGTTGTGGCATACCACCGCCAGAAGCTGTATCTAAATTATTTCTAGTTTCACCTCCAACATCAATCAGAAGAGCATCTTGGCCTTCTGACATTACCTAAAACATTATTCATTGCTGTTACTTGTAATTCATTGTTTGATATTAGTTTTACTTCATAGCTTTTACCTGTGGATCTGGCTCATATTCAACATTATAATTCTTTGCAATCTCTATAAGATACTTCTCTACGAGAACTTTAGATGGTGATTGTACACTCATTTTGTGCTTCAATTTTTCAGAAACAGTTTGTACCGCTTCCTCTCTACAAGCATCTGTGTATTGCTTACCATACTTAGATGTTAAGATATCAGCAATTACTTTAATTTCTTGAACATCGGTCTGAATTCTGGGAGCAGCCCAGATTATTGTAGAAATAGCTTCTGCTAATCCTTCATCTAAATTTCTAAAACAATCATGTAAATGATATAAAGTAAGCATAAGAGATGAAATGAATTATGGAAATCCTTACTTCATTTGTTGAATGAGTCCGAAACGCGCCAACAAGAGATCGCAATACATTTCGAGCAATTCCATAGCCTCGACCATGTAATCTTCTCTAATGATGTGTTCAACTCGTATCTTTGCTCTCTCAATTTTTCCAGCGGCGATATAATCAGCTATTTCTTTCCTTGCTTTCTGAGCAAGTTCAGTTTTCTTTTTCTCGAGTAATTTTAACCGATTTATCGCAAGACGCAAATGCGTCTTTAGTTTAGTATAATTCGGCCCACTCGAAAACATTTTTGTCGTTCTTGTTACAATTAAAGAAAACTAATATGATCTCTCATACCATACGTGGGAGAATAATAGATGTTATTCGGCAACTGACGGATCAGAGTGATCAACTATGACTCAAGTTAACTATATATATAGGTTACTGCAACGCCAAGTATGATGATTTATTTACAACCAATTTGTATTCAAGAAATGTATGATGACAAATGTAAAAATGAATTTTGATATGTAAATAAAATAATGTATGACATATAATTATTGAACAATACAAAGAACAATTAATACAAAAAGATTATGGAATCTATATTGTATGTTGGTGGTATTATTCACTGATAACGTGAACGTAGTCAGAAATAAGTTAGCATGACTTTTCTTAACATGTGTTCATGTGTGAAACACGTGAAGCATATATGTGGATGTGTCCAGCCCGAACTTCGAATTCCGCGTCGGCAAAACAGTCAACGTTTCATCGAAAATTAGGCCGAACAGAAACTGATTTAAGCGCCACCTCAATTATCGCATGTTATCAACTATCGGCATGCTATACTACGTCACCTTTCGCATACACCTAAATGACACGATAGCTGTATGTATAATTACATAATTTTCTTAGCTTATTGAATAAACTCAATAGGAGCATGAACGTGTTGATTACATTTGTGTGCCTCGCCTATTATTTTATTCTTTTATTTATTATTTTATTCCTATTTTCGGGTCTCGCGTGGACCACCCTCCCAAGTCATTTATTATTTTATCCCTCTTTATGGGCCTCGGCTCAACCTTCCCAGCTATTTATAATTTTTTTGTCTTTAAGGGCCTCACGAGGTCCAACCCTTTATCACTGCATCCCTTACATGTCTGCATCCTTAACATCCCTGTATTTCTTATATCACTACATTCCCTGCATCTCGTATATGCTGGCATTTCTTATAGCTCGGTATCCCTCACATTTTTGCATCCCTTACATCTCCGTATCCCTTGCACTCCTGAATTCTTCCTGCATCTCTTCTATCCTTTCAACCCTTATAATAAATATATCATAAATAAAATACTTATGGCCACTGGTTCGAGTAAAGGTAAGTAAAGGTAAGTAAAGGTAAGTAAAGTCTCGTGAAAAATAATTTTAAATTTAAATTTTTGCAAAGTTTTGTTCCCTTTTTGCCGCCAGAGGGCGCTGATTCGACGTCGACATTTTAGTTCGCATTTTTCCTGCTAGAGGGCAAAAATCTCGACATGCTTTAGTTCCCCTTTTAGAAATCAGATGGCGCTGATTCGACGTCGAGATTTTAGTTCACATTTTTTCCGCCAGAGGGCCAAAATCTCGGCAAGCTTTAGTTCCCTTTTTTGAAACCAGATGGCGCTGATTCGAAGTCGAGATTTTAGTTCGCATTTTTCCCGCCAGAGGGCCAAAATATCGACATGCTTTAGTTCCTTTTTTTAAAATCAGATGGCGCGGATTCAACGTCGAGATTTTAGTTCACATTTTTCCCGCTAGAGGGCCAAAATTTCGGCAAACTTTAGTTCCTTTTTTTACCGCCAGGAGGCGCTATAATGGAATGCTTACAAAAGAGATGCAAGGATGTAAGGGATGCAAGGGATGCAGGGTTGTAAGGGTTGCAGGAATGTAAGGGATGCAGGGATGTAAGGAATGCAAGGATGTAAGGGTTGTAAGGATGTAAGGAGTGCAGGGATGTAAGGGATGTAAGGGATGCAAGGGACGCAGGGATGTAAGGGTTGCAGGAATGTAAGGGATGCAGGGATGTAAGGAATGCAAGGATGTAAGGGTTGCAGGGATGTAAGGGATGCAGGGATGTAAGGAATGCAGGGATGTAAGGGATGCAGGGATGTAAGAAATGCAGGGATGTAAGAAATCCAGGGATGTAAGAAATGCAGGGATGTAAGGAATGCAGAGATGTAATGAATGCAGAGATGTAAAGGATGCACACAGGTGTAATAAAGTCAACACGTTCTTCCTCAGCATGAGTTTATTCAATAAGCAAACACGATATATACAACAAATTAAATGAACGCAGAAAGTAAAATAAGGGTTGTATTACATATATGTATGTTTAGCAGGTAGATCTGCACGCCTCGGCGGTCGCTATAAGACTGATTCCTACTGACTAAAACCCCACGGCGAATAACTGGGGCCTGGTAAAACAGGCAGAATTGTTATATCGCCTGTACATACTGTGTATTTGTAGCTTAACTAACGTGGGGGTGCTTGGAACCCACGAAATCATGACCTCTCGAGAACAGTGACATGTCCAGTCTTCTTTGATTTGTAGTCACTGTTTTTGACATCAAACGCATCTCCGAATTATCGCACGTTATTTACATATGTTTGGAGTACGGACTCGTAAATTGAATCGTATGAGTACGGGTTGACTGATAGTGGGGAATCAGATGATCTAATAGTGAAGCTTGTATAACTGCCGGTGAAGAAATTCCTGGTCATGCCTACTGTAGACTATTTAAAAATGGTATAGCTCGTATTGTTTATCGTTAATTATACTACGTAAGAATCACAGAGGTTTGAATTAAATCTATTAATCTGTTTGCAGCGCTGAAAAAATGCTAACGTCAAAACGATCGGGATCAGTCAGTCCCGAGGAGGTTGACAATGGATCTGATACAAGGGTTTCTGCCGCCGACGGAAATGGTTCAGTAACGTCAAACGCGTGTCGAAACGATTCTTTACCAGAGGAATTTTTGTCAAGCAGAAGAATTGGACGAAGAAATGCTTTAACTTATGCCGAAAGTGGAATGGTAGATCTACCAGACCGCTTCGAGGAGCTTTCTGTGGAAACAGGTTAGTTTTGCCTGTGAAAAATAAACTGTGTATATATATGTCATCATGTTAGAAATTAGGTGTATGTACCTTCATAAGAAATATAAGAAATGAAACTACACAAAATTTATAGAAGCTAAAATTAGATAATTTAATGAGGGTTAATCCTTAATAATAAGATGTTCTTATAAATCAAATAGATTATTTGATACTTTATATTTGCCAGTGGATATCAATCAGATGTGGTATTTGGTGTGAATGTTAAGAAATATTATTGCAGGGATTAACAAGTAACTGTTTGTTAATGATTATTGCAATTATAACTAAATAATTATATATGTCTTGATATCATGATCTTTCTTTTGTATTTGATTTTCTCCCCTTTTATTTCTTAAACATTTTTAATTAATAATTCCTATATGTTCCTATTCCGACATACCTTATATCCCTTCTCATTTCACTTTTTAATATTTAGCTTATTATTTATCCAAGCTAGATGAATTAATATTATTTATTTTTCCCAAGTTCAAGTCTCACAACCAGAACGGGGATGATTCTACATAAACATACAGTAAGTGGAATGTGTAGAATGATATTTCTTCGTTTCTAGATAAGATAATGTTCAAAATTTATCGAAATTATTATATTTGAAAAAAAATCGCTATGTTGGTCCTACTGTTGAAAAAGCGCCCCTTAACGTTGGGGAAGAGAACTATAAATCGAAGTATTTTTTGCGCTCTCTATCGGCAAAATCCAAAAACTCATTTTAGCACCATATAATAGATGGCGTCATATGTTTTCCCACAGCGGTCTTTTTAAAACATAGAAAGTACCATGATCTTTGAGGGTGATTAAATCAGGACTGAAACTTTGTATAATAAAATATCACTCTACATTTTCGGCTTATGTTTTCATTTAGATTTACCTCCCTATCGCCTATCTTACGCGTTCTGTTTTAAAACTGTAAATTTATTGTGCGGTTATTCATTTATTTGATTTAAAGCAAGAGTCGATTAAATGGATTTCAGTATGTACAGTTATTTGTGTTTGTGAAAGATATCATGATTTGTAGCAATTTTATATTTTGTTTACTATCTTTCGAACTACGGTTAACTATTTATTTGAACGATAGATATCTATGAAACGATTTCTACAGCATGAAACAGTAATTTTGTACACGCAAACGTGTTCTTGAAATGTGCATCAACCAACGAAACATTTTCAACGATTTGTAACGTAAGAAACAACGTAATTACAGATGAGCCTAGTACTGAGGGACGAAATTCAAGCACACCGGGTACATCGAAACAGCAACATTGATCTAATTTGAGGATTCTTTAGAAAATTCCTTTATCTCAACATCGACAATGCACGATGTAGTAGGGAAAAGACCAGGGAAAAGACAGTATTACTTTAAGATCGTACTGAATGCCTCAGTAAGAGTTGTTAACATGTCATTCTGTCACTTGAGATTATACTTTCACGCCTAATTATTTAAGTAATTATATGTTAATATATATACAATCTCATTATATTTTAAAGGTTAGGTACATATGAGGGGGTTAAAGTCATCCAACTCTGATTTTAAGAAACAAGAATCTATTAATTACATTTCGCAGCAATGTTCTCCCTCAACTGCGCGGACGCGTCTGCGCGCAGGTACTCCCCCGCCACAGAATCTATATACTCGTCATTCAAAATTGCGTGGATGCGCATGCGTGGAAGGGTTCCTGCGCATACAGAATTTATATGCGCGTCATTCAAAATTGCGTGGACGCGCATGCGTGGAAGTGTTCCTGCGCATACAGAATTTATATGCGCGTCATTCAAAATTGCGTGGACGCGCATACGTGGAAGTGTTCCTGCGCATACAGAATTTATATGCGCGTTATTCAAAATTCTGCGCTTAATTTCGGCTTGTGACATTTTTTTTTTAAACAGAATTTGTCCCAGATTTTTGGAGCATCCTCTATACTTCTATGTTAACTAACTGTTTAAACATGCATAAGTAATACTACAATGGTACAAATAAAACGGGCTATTTAATATTAAACATTTTCCTACCAGATAATAAAATACATTTATCTGTGTTCCTGCAAATCCAAGAACCGTTAAGGATGTCAGAAAATTGTGAAAAGAACTTAATAATTTGTTTTTGTTTTTGTTCTTCTTTTTTTAACTGCTCTTAACATAAAGCAAGATAAAGACAAAAATTAAAATACGTATATAGCTTTCATATTATTCAAAATACGAGAACGTTGTTTGTGTGAAAGATAAATGGACTTCTAAATCGGTTGTGAAATCTTGCACACATTTATATGAACAATATTCTCGTATTTTTTGTATTTTGAAAAATCGTTGTGGGTATAATGTCAATCTAATGTATATGTACAATTATGGCGAATGTATTAGTTAAAATTATACAGGACCATTATTATTAAGCTAAATATATTGCAATTATGGTGTGATAGTCCTACACTGTGATTCAAAATAATTTTAGTTAACTATATTATGTACAAAAATGATACGTAATTAGATTTAAAAACCTATGTTACTTTTAGAAGATTTTTTTATTATATTTAATTTGTTTTTGCTACTCTAGCAAGAATGTGATAATCTTTATAGAGATGATGATAATAAATTATTCATTATTTTATAAATTTTAAAAGAGAAGAATGTAGTAAAATAATAATCAGTGACTTTTAAGAAAAATGAACTGCGTTTGTCAGGGTAAAATGCAATACGTTCAAAAGAACTAATAAATAATTTATAATACTAAAAAGAAAAATATACAACGTTTTGTCATCCTTAACAACTGATATTAAATAATAATCAATTATAATATATTTAAAGACATATTATATAGGATGAGTTATTAGGAATGATTATTTTAAGTTATTCTATAAAATTTTTGTTTAATTTTATATTTAGTGTTTAGTTAATTATGCGCAAAACAAATGTTGACTCTTTCTTTTTATAGTAAGAATTTGTATAAATGAAACTAAAAACACTACACTGTAATTGTTAAAATGTAAATACATACATGTAATTAAATTTAATATTTTGCACGTAATAAGGTTGAATGACTGACAATGATGTTGTATAAGAAAACAAATGTTATTTTGTTGCGCAATGTATAATGATATTAGTTCAATGTATTCGATTTTTGAAACGGTAACAATTCGTGTTACTAAATGAATAATACAAGTAAACAGCAATGAGCTCCGAACAGTATTTATGTAATTGTAATTAATATAACAGTAATATGTAATCATTAAGTAAATCAAATTCATGGGTTTAATTAAGTGTATTTAAATATTTCATGCGTTCAAAATTTATATATATTTAACATATTTTGTATATGTATAGTGCAATTTTGTCATAAATAACGACGAACATAAATTTTATTTATTCATAGTTTATTTATGTCTAAGGAGGTAGATCTACATGGTAAGGGCCTACGTCTCACAGAGTGTAATTCTACGGCCTTCAATTGTAAGGGGTTAAAGTATTTAAGGTTATAGATAAAAACCCAGCTAAAGATGTCGGCCTATATATGCTCGTAAACAGCAAATGTTAAAAAATATTTACCGAATTGCATATACAGTAACGGTTCTCGCGATTGAATTAATTATTTAAGTTTGCTGTGTTTAGAAAATAAATACGATCGTAACGATGTATATCATACATGTGTGAGACTAGTACACAAATATACTTCGTACATACGAAAGATAGTATAACCTTTTTCCATTCCCTGTATTGCTTTGCTGATAGCCATCTTAAATTCACCAGTTAAACGCGCCACGAAGTAAACAAACCTGCTGATATATAAAAAGTGGTTAAACTAACCATAATATCGTAGTGTATCACGCGGTGAATGAATATTTAATAAGAATATGACTGCTAATTACTTGAAGATATGATCTGCTATGATTCATTACTCTCTAATGATGTACAGTTACTATCATAAATCTTCGTATGCGTTCCTCATACATACAGGGTGTTCGACAACAGGTGGGCAATATTTTAAGAGGTGATTCTAGGGATGAAAATAAGACGAAAATCAAGAATAACGAAATAGCGTTTACGGTTTTGTTTTCCAGTTATTAACGTTTAAAAATTCGAGTAAAAAGCGCCAGAAACCTGCAATCCGCTCAGCACCGACGACCGAACGTCACGTCGGCAGGGGTCGGTACAGTCATAACCAAGAATCGAAACCGAATACTGCAGTACCGAGAAACAGAATAGCACGAGGTAAGTTTCTACTATTCAACGATTCTTGGTTATGACTATACCGACCCCTGCTGACGTGACGTTCGGTCGTCGGTGCTGAGCGGATTGCAGGTTTCTGGCGCTTTTTACTCGAATTTTTAAACGTTAATAACTGGAAAGCAAAGCCGTAAATGCTATTTCGTTATTCTTGATTTTCGTCTTATCTTGATCCCTAAAATCACCCCTTAAAATATTGCCCACCTGTTGTCGAACACCCTGTATGTACCTCTGATTGCGCATGCGCGGTAGTAGAATAAATGTGCGCACACAATTAATATCCACAATATTATATTCAGTACGTGATTATATATAATTTAATATTCAATTCTTTAATTATATACATAGTTTATCTTTTGTTAAGAGACCGCAACTTTCGGGAATCGTGAAGCTATTATATTTTCTCCTGTAAAAGTTTTTAGAATATGTATTTGCGCGCAATGTTGCGCAGGTCAATGAGTCAATGCGCATGCGCAATTGGACAAGGATATAAGAGACAATGCGTTAACTTCTGAAACATCCTGTATATAATAAAGGATCTATTATCGTTATCATGACATAACCGGATGGTTTCGTTGAACGATATAATATCTGATATGAAGGACATATCGGTTTCCACGGTTACAAAGGGAAGTGGGTCGGAATTATGAAACAAGATCCACATATGCACCCCCTTTTCATCGGAACAAATGCAAACGGTGTGACAATGGAAAAATTCTGTTTGCATAGTCTGTCAGGTTGTCGTTTGTCAACGTATATGAAACGGTACTGGCTACGAAAGAGACTGAAGTGTCGAGGTTACATATCACAATGAATAAACATCATTAAACACTGGACAAAACTATCATTGACTCTGATTCTTATTATTTTTATATAATCTGCATTTTTTTTTAGTTTTTGAAGAAATGAATTCCAATATCTGATATTTATTACTTGCTGCTATTTCTAAATATTATCTCAAATATTGCAATAATTATTTTAATAATTTCTTAGAAAATTCATGGGATGCGGTGTTTATCGTTTCTCTGAAGTAGCCTGTAATATGCGATAAACACTATTTTTACAAACCCTTATAAATCAAGTGACAGTGTGAAATATAGCAAGTGTCAGAACTGTTAGATAGTACGATAGCACATATACACGCTATTATATTACGGATGAAATATGGAAATCCAAGAAAGTTGAAGCTTCGTAGCATTGATTTTCCACATCAAGCTTATAACAAATTAACGACTATAATTGTTATATTAATTGGTACAGAGTTTGTAAAATAATAAATCCAATAGCAATTTCTTGAATATCTAACTAGAACTAAATTATCTTCCAATAAAAAGGGTTTCCTTGTTCCATGAGAATTGATCGACATTCTCTTATTTGTACATCAATCACATCACCCTCCATTTAACTTCTAATCCTTTTTTCATGAAAAACGTTAAAATAGATATTATCTCCATTAGAAATGAACAGAAGAAACGCTAAACATTATACTTGAGACATTGAATAAAAAAAATCCTACAGTTGAGTACCTTCGTTCATTGAGCACCATTTGCGTCAAGTATGTCAAATGTTCGCTCGTGTGTAAATCTATACACAGTAGTGCATATCTGTTATTTCGCCGTCATTAGTTTATATACGCGCTATATAAACAATAGAATATATATCTTGTGCAGGCACGTCGTATATCTTTCAGTTCGTTTCCTGACGCGTTTTCCAACGGAGAAAACTGTACTTCCCGCGTAATTTTTCGCCCCATATTATCGCAATAATTTTTTTAAAAATTAAAATTCAATTAATATGAAATTAACACTTTCGCTGCCGCAAGATTCAATATGGTCAGTTGTTTGAAGTCTGATCACGCGGTATCGCGTGCTTGAGGGTCGATGATAAAACTTCGATCACGCGATATCGCGGGTTGGATCAATGAAATTTGTACATTGCGGCACGCAGCGACTGACTTCTTGGGCTTGGCAGCGAGCGTGTTAATACATATTAAGAGAGGAATTAGAATGGTGGGAATAAAATGTCGGATTACGATAGTATAGCAGAAGCATTAACCAGAATGCGGCCTTTAAATTTGTCGGAGGTGAAAAGTCCGAAGATATTATCAATCAATGTCGGGTATGTACTCAACAAAATTTCATTTTGAACAAAACCAATTTTGTATACACTTGTTTTTGTGCCTGTAATCTATTAATTAATAAAATATACATAAGGTAGCAGGCCCAGTGGAATTAGTAGAATATATACTAATTTAAGATTTAATTGAAGATTTGGATAATTTTATAATGGTAATTTTTTGAAAGAAATTAAATCTACAACTAAAAATCTCAAACATATACTATTATTAACTAATCGATTTTCCTACTATTAAAAAGCAATAAAAAATGATCTTCCACTATGAATTTTTACACCTGTTAAATAGTAATATATCTAACAGGACGAGTAGTCCTCCAGTGGTAGTTCAAGTGAACATTTATTGAGTTTCCGCTGTCTATAAAGTATCCTCCACCCTTTTTCCTCGACGCAGAATAAAACTCTGACGTAATGAGTTTATCTTCCGTTCGCCATGCGGTCTTGTGCCGTGCACACTGTTGATCACGACACTCCACGGGTAAAATTTATCATTTATATTCACCATGGAATCATTAAAATTCATTTCACAGTTTACGCGTTCGTTTCTTAATAAAAATGAACGAATCGCGAATACATGAAAGCGGCCATTATAGTGATGAGTGTTAATTATGGTGGTTTTGATTAATAATATAATTTTCAGATCGTCCGGAAGTAACTTGGAGTTCAGTACATTGGACAGTTTGAAACCGAAAATTGCCAAAAGTAAGTTGTTAGGGGTGATGTAAAGTGTCAATTATTTTAGAGTGTATATTATAAAATTTTAGTGTCCGGACCAGCAGTACCTCCTACCAGTACTTTCAATCCAGAAACTGACAGTTTGCATGCATCCATGAGGCCTATAATTATGTTGGCCCAGTGCTTTTCCTTGTTTCCGGTGACTGGCGTTAATTCTCCTAATGCATCACATCTCAGGTAAATTTAATAAAATAATGATATAGCGTAACGGAAACTTAGGCACTTTGGTAGAAACGCAGGCAATGATCAACTATGAAGGGGTTAAGAGAACCCGACACCCCCCTAAAATGGGATCGGCCCTACTCCCACATCATTCTAATATTCCAAGATTCAAAAATTCTGGAATTTTTGAATTCTAAAATTCCAGATTTTAAAAATTTCAAAAACAATTAATTTTTGTTTATTTAGGTTCACTTGGCGTAGTCCGAAATTCATATACTGTGCAATTTCATTTCTTGGTTCGTCGATGATGACAATTTTCAATGTTCTGAGGATAACAGGAATAAGTTCAACAGGAATACTTTCAACAAAAATGAGTAAGATACATACAAAAAAAAATGTCACACTTTAACAATTGATTTGTAAAAATCACTTTAAAATTGTTCAAGAGTTGCCTTTCTTAATACTATTTCATACAAATAATAATATGATATTATTTTTTGTTCGCAAGCTAACTTAGTTTTCAATGGAACCAACTTGATTGCGACCTTTCTTTTTTTAAAACTTGCCATGCAATGGCCTTCTTTAATGATAACTTGGGATAAACTTGAAAAGGAACTGTCAACAAGACATAGGAAACTTTCCAATACAACTTTGTCCGCGAAATTCAAAATCATAACTATAGTCGTGATGATAGTTGCCTTAGGTGAGTATCATCCACAATTAATATTGTATCGATAATAATTAACAAATTACTCTGTTGCAGTGGAGCATAGTTTCTCAATCCTGCATGGTTACATAAGGGCCAAAGAATGCGCTCAATTTCGTGGAGATCCAGATATTATTGGCGTTTATTTCCAGTCTCAATTCCCTCAAGTGAGCTTGATGCCTCCACTTTTAATTAGTCTCTAACTAAAGAACATTTTTATTTTTGCACAGATATTTTCACGAATTTCATATAGCTTATGGAAAGGTATACTGATTGATATAATTAACATTTTGAGTACATTCTCATGGAACTTCGTCGATTTGTTTCTAATTCTCATCAGTATAGCTTTAGCAGATCAATTTCGTCAATTAAATAGTCGGTTATATTCCATAAGAGGAAAGGTAAGGATATTTTTTGATGACAATGTATTAACTTGTTATCGCTAATTTTAATTGAAAATATTGGTCGTTAGTGTCATTTCATTGTTAAGGCGATGCCGGAATGGTGGTGGGCTGAAGCAAGAAGTGATTATAACCGCTTGGCAAACTTGACGAGACAATTGGATTCCCATATCTCGATGATGGTTCTTTTATCTTTCGCCACCGATCTTTATTTCATTTGTATACAGCTGCTTTTCTCTTTCAAGTATGTACAATTATTTTATAAATTTATATATCATACCTTTTAAATAAATATTTAATGTTCACACAGTCCTATGCGAGGTATCATTGAGAAAATTTACTTTGGCTTCTCTTTTGGATTCCTATTGGCGAGGACGATGGTGGTTTCATTGTGTGCCGCGTCAATTCACGACGAATCCTTGCTTCCGGCTCCAATTTTATACAGCGTTTCCGGTAGCAGCTTCTCGACAGAAGTAATTTTCCTCAGTTTCATTCAATTTTAGACCTCCTGGTAAAAAATATTCCAATTTTTATCATTGTTAATTATAACTGATATATCTATGCATTTTGTGATTCATAACTGACGAAAAACAAAAGAAAAAGAATGCATCTGTATGTATGTACATACATACACGTCGACATCGTTATTCATACTGCTGCAATACACATGTGTTCGTCTGGTTGCCTTTCTTCGGGGTTCTCTTCGGGGAACTTCGTGAAACTTCGTGAAACTTCGTGGACTCTCGAAAAATAGGCGGGAACCGGTCTATTATTCTACATACTTGACTACTCTTCTGCCAGGCTATGCATTAAAATTGAGATTATTAACAATAAAAATAATGTAAATAATTTCCGTAGGTGATGAGATTCCTTTCCCAAGTGACAACAGACAGCATTTGTTTGACTGGGATGAAGTTCTTCTCAGTGACCAGAAGTCTAGTGTTAACTGTACGTATAAAATATTAAGTATAAAATATATTATAGACTTTGCACTTAATTGTGTTCCAGGTCGCAGGAACTATAGTTACCTACGAATTAGTTCTTGTCCAGTTCAATTCCGTCCAGCAAAATGACACAATGAACAGCACGAAAGTGTGTGAGGTGAAGTAGTCGCTTGTTCTAACATTTCTCGAAAAGCTTGTAAGAATTTCTCCTCCAGTTTATTAATTTTGTAGAAATTTTTCATCTGCTTCTATATCGTTGTACTTATTGTACATAACAACAACAAATTATTAGTGCTTTCTGTCTAAGCTGCTGTACATAAAGTGCTATCTGATTCATTCCATTGCCTCTAGTATAGCTCGCTGTACATTAATGTGAAATGTAAGTTTCGTTTGAAAATAAATTACAGTGATACTTGTAACAATATGTACATTTTATAATACATCATTTATTGTGTATCAAGAATTCTGCAAATTTCTCTAGTTGAAAGAGGAAGAAGTTGCAAAGGGCTCCGTAAGTAGAAGAAGAGAGGGAGATAGTAAGCATTGTACATACCTGTAATTAAGTCTTACTGCATGTTTGTTTTTTGTATAAATAGTAATCTTTTTAATGTATCGCCTGTAATCACGTGATACTCTATATAAAACCCCTGAATACTACCTGTACCACTCTTTGCAAAGGTGTAAGGCGGGTTACCATACTGACAGGGGTAAGGAAATTTCATTTCGGCGATTATCAATTTTTTACACAAAAAGAAACCATATAAAACCGACACTTCGTATAAATGGGGTCGGTACAACGTTTTCTTTACTTTTTTCCACGTATTATTCTTCCAAGCACAGAATTATAAATAATACTCAATAAAATTCTATATGGGCGGGAATACTCACACGCATGCGCATCTACATGTTCGCGCGTGCGCACAGCTTAGAGAGAATGTTAAACCAGTTTACAAAAATGATTGTTTGTAAAACTTGTTGTTGATTATATACAATAATACAATCTTTCGTTGTTAATAAGACCTCTTTATGTAATCGTTACATATATTTATTGATAAGAAATGTAAGCGTTGTTATTTCACTTATCAATCTGTCTTTTTGTTATAGTCCTACTCGCTGGATACTTTACGATAATTTTGGCCATTAATTAACTCCTTCACGAAGAAGCACTTATAACTACTCTTCTTCTCTTTCTACCAATGTCAAGTGTAAATTCCAGACATGGAAATTTAGTTACAAAATAAAATAAAAGGATAACTAAAATAGTTGCATACTTTGTTAGCTTTGTATTTTTTTATCAAATATAAAGAGTAGACTTTGTTTAGTAAATCAAATACATGTAACCGTTTGATGCTTATTAAAATTGGTGTTCTGAAATATGTGAAATTGTGACAGAAACATTGTCATTTGTAGTGAAAATAAAAAATGACAATTAGTAAAACATTTCATATTATAATTATAAATAGAACAAATGTACAAAGCATTTTGTCAAAGAGGTCATCAGTTATATTATAACAACTATTAAATACGTAGTTAAAAACATATTAAAATTACCTATTTAACTTTGCCCATAAACTGGAGAAGTACAACTTCGTAAGTGGTAATTGCACCAACTATCTACAAATACATGTTTTTTGTTAAGCAAATCATATGAAACATATGTTTCATGTAATCAATATGATATGGATATGAATTTACTGCAAGCATGAAGTTCCTTGTAATTGAGAAGAAACGTAATCCTGTCAGAGTTACATCGTCTGTGGCGAGTTGATATTGCAGTCTCTGAGTCTGTAAAAATATTTTTCACATTATTCGAAAATAAAAAAAGAAACCTCATTCCATCAACAATTCAATAATTATGTAAATATTTAAAATCACCTCGATGTTGTAAGTTGACGCTGAACAACTATACAAGAAAGGTAATGCCTTCCTGCTTTGGTCGTGTATTCTAGCAGTAAGTAAAGTAACAGCACATGCACGACCAATAAGAAATGCAAAGGAACCAAAAAAGTAAATTGTACCGAGAATGTTGTCATCGTTTGCTCTGGTATTAAAAACACAAGATTGATCGTGATTCTTACATTAATAAGTAATATTATGTAAAAAAAAAAAGTAAATAATACATACGATATACCGTACAGTAGTTGCAGACAAATAAAATAAAGATTATTCGCAAAAGATAAAAGAATAATAGGTGAAACATGTTGATCCACTTTCTTTACAACAGAACTCAATGCTGCATAATCTTCGCGAAGTTCATGCCAGTCGAATCTAGTTCGACATTTCGTCACTGTAATTGCCAGTCTTTTATTCAATGATTTGTATCTTTCGGCTAAACCAGTGGCAACCTAAAATAAAATTATGCAGTATCAGTAATATTTTCCTCTGCTTATAATACCATTATTTTATTACCAGTATAATAAAGAGATCTGTAAAATTCCATACAAAAGTTGCTGTCTTGCTGACAACGAAGATAAATAAGCCAAGGGTAAAATTGTACTCCACTGAAAACAGAAAAATGATGTCACAAAATGTGAATACAGTACAAAAATTAATAACTAATCAATATTACGTGTGTCAAAAATAAACGAATGCGATCGTAAGCTGTACAGTTCCAAGAAGTTACGAAATGTCGAATTCGAACTGCCCCATTCGTACTCTGCGACATTGTTCACAACACTTAGAACATGTTCGATGAGAGCTAACAGTATAATCGCGGAACTTATCAAGACGAATTTCCATCGAAGATGTGGGATTTCCGTCGAATTACTGTGAATAAAAAGCAAATCAAAATTATATCTAATTGAATTTAATGGAATTAATATTATAATATTTAGTATGTAATTGGAAAGCATGAATGACTAAGTAAATATCAAATTCAAACTTTCCGCCGTAAGTGTGCGGCGGAGGGAAGCCTCAGACATATACATATACAGGGTGTTCGACAACAGGTGGACAATATTTTAAAGGGTGATTCTAGGGATCAAAATATGACGAAAATCAAGAATAACGAAATAGCGTTTACGGCTTTGTTTTCCAGTTATTAACTGGAAATAAATTAAATATTCGAGTAAAAAGCGCCAGAAACCTGCAATCCGCTCAGCACCGACGATCGAACGTCACGTCGACAGGGGTCGGTACAGTCAGAACCAAGAATCGAAACCGAATACTGCAGTACCGAGAAACAGAATAGCACGAGGTAAGTATCTACTATTCAACGATTCTTGGTTATGACTGTACCGACCCCTGCTGACGTGACGTTCGGTAGTCGGTGCTGAGCGGATTGCAGGTTTCTGGCGCTTTTTACTCGAATTTTTAAACGTTAATAACTGGAAAACAAAGCCATAAACGCTATTTCGTTATTCTTGATTTTCGTCTTATTTTGATCCCTAGAATCACCCCTTAAAATATTGCCCACCTGTTGTCGAACAACCCCCTGTATACAGTATATGTGCGCTGGATAGGTGCAAGAGAGATTGGGACCCAACATTCCATGTATCCAGCCGAGGCGAGGTTTCGATTCTATGTGTTGCAACCTTAATTGATCTTTTTCATTATCCTTTTATTATTATTTTAATAAGAGCAAAAGTGTTTTTGTACTTTGTGTAAATATAATTCAAACTATGTCGCGTTTGGTCTCATTTTAATCAGAAATAATCTCACAAATGCGTTAGTAAAAGTTTCATTAAGAAAAAGTCAAAAATAAAAAAGTTTCATTAAGAAAAAGTCAAAAATAAAAAAGTTTCATCATTGAATTGATTATTAGTCACACCGATATTGCAGTTCGGATTATATTACACGGCTTCCTCGTTGAGCGTCTCGGATCACCAAGAGGGATCCCCGGACGTGGAAAGAATAGTCACCTTGCATTTATCCAACCAATCTTTTCTTGCACTTATCCAGCTTTTATTGTATATGGGACCACCTCTCCCGCATTGTCACTTTTCTCGGGACCGCGGCCGGGGATGAACAGGAATCCTGGAAAGGGAAATCCTCGGAAGAGGACTGGGGACTCGGGTAGCCGGGTACCGGCGAAGGGGAGGCCTACGGCGAAAGCCAGTAACTCTGAACCCCGGAATCCGTGAAAACCCACAGGAAAAAGGGAGGGCATCCGTATTTCCCCTAGGGAATTCTACCGTGCTCGATGTTGTACAATTATTTCATCGAAGATGATCGTAATCTGTGGCGTTTACACATCAAAATAAATTATTGTAATTATTCTGACATTTGAGTGCAACGACGATTAGTAAGTATTTAAGTTTGCGTGCATACTGATGAAGCGCAAATAGCGCAATTAGCAAGGCATGAATCTAGGAACAATTGTGATATCGACCTGTCTATATATTTTTCCATAGCCCTCCATTCGCATTGGAGAGATCTCCAATGGAATGAGAGCCAGAAAAATAAAATCGTGCCCAGCAGACTGTTCCCATAGAATACTGCACCAATTGTTGCTGCTGCTATCCCACCTGAAACATAATCTTGTCATTCGCTTTATCTTGTCATTCTTTATCGTAGGCTACACGAGCAAATAAAATATGTTAACTATGAGGGGGCCAGGATATCATCACTTTCTCTCTATATAGGGCATCTTATGCAAGCGGGTCAAGTTATAACTTTAAAATTAGATATATATTTACATCAATAAAAATTGTTCATAATGTAATTTCTTACCGTCTCTCTGAAACGATTCAGAATTTATCATTTTAATCATATGGATCACCGATATGATCACTGCGAAAAATATCATTATACCGACGAAAGTTGCATAGATGACTAAAAACGAAAATGGCTTAAATTTCAGTTTCGAAGGTGATGACGATCGAATTCCGGATACCGGAAATACACCGAATATTTGAGCGATACGTAAAACAGGTCCAATTGCACAGTGGAAACTTTCTGTGATCTGAAAGAAAAGTTAAGAACGTTAATATGATTGAATGATTACTAAAAAAAATATATTTATTTTTTTTACAAAAATATATAATTCTTACGTTAATATTTTTAGAATAATTTCGTTCACGTCGAAGTCTTCCAGAAGATAAGTTGATCATAATTTTCGGTCGTAATTCTTCAGGGCGGTAATCATTATTTTCATAAATAAAAGTAGGCCAAATTCTTTTACTTAGAATCCTATTAATAGCTTCGTTCGAGACACTTTTCGATTTTAACATTATGAATTGGTCTTTTCAATTCTGACTAATACTGATACATGTTGTACATCTGTAAGAGCAATTTTTCTTAATTTAAGGGGCCCATCGTTGGACATGTGCATACGTGTTTGACGGGTTCTAGTAATTAGGCGCTCCTGACCAATCAAGGGCAAGAAAAGTATCTAGTAACTGGGTCAGTTATCTTATTTAAAATTGATTCAAATTTATTTAATCTAACACTTCATATTTCATTGCCACGCGAAGGAGACAGATTTTCCGTGCTAAAAGTCATTTACCATCTCGCATTCGAAATCACAGGGCTTTCGTTGTGTTACAGTAATGTCACCTGAACACGCAACAAATGAATTTTGACTATATAAAAGTCACACCGTTTATCCAGCTTATATTGAGCAATTACTTATGAAGCATTATAGGTGACGCGCGTTTAAGACAACCGATATTAATAGTGTATTATGTTCTCAGGAAAAAGGGGTGGCGTTTGTTTATCCAGAACATGAATCAATCTGCTTCCATTAAAAAGTCTTATTAATTTGCGACGTCTATAATGTATATAATTTAGTACAACGTTTGTTGTTATTAAATAAATAAAAAGAATTGCAAATTGTGTAAAAGCAATCGGCGTTATTTAAAAATAATAAATAATACCCTTTCATAATATTGAAAAAAATAGCAGGATAATTAAATAAAATTTAACACGAAAATTAAATATCAAATAATAATTCTTATCATTCTTTCTAAACAGTATAAAATATCGTTTTAAAAAACAAATTCTTATTGTAATTCGAAACAGGGGTACATATAAAATTAAGCAATCATAATTTTCATACCTTGGATATTTCCCCCTGCAAATTAAAATAACTAATGCAACAGGTTCAAATTGAAACAACAATAAAGAAGTATTCACTACGTGAGTATACGAATGTCTACTAACTCGTAAAAAGTTTCTTGATCCAGTAGAGCTGAAGTGTTTATTCGGACTTGCGCCATGTACGCCTGTCGTACTACTACATAAACTGACGGCAAGTATAAATATAGGTGTATGTACAATTTCAGAGTAATCAAAGCAATAAAGCTATAATTGTACATAAATAGTTGATATTGATTTTGAATGTAAATGCAATGTTATTTCCAACTTCATTTGAAAGTTGATGAAAAACAGTAAGGGATAATAGGCTTAGGATAATGTCAAGAAAATTATATATATATATAAGTAAAATATCTTGACTATTTATTTAAAATTTTGGTTTATTACATGCACAATGTCCAGTTGTTTTGAAAAGTTATCAAACATTTTACCACATTGCGCGCTGTACACCAGCCAACTTATTATAATCAGCTAAATGACGGAACACAATTCTTGACAATCTCCAATTCTTAACAACACCACGTGGACGTGAAGTTACTGCACAACGTGGTGTTAATTGTCTTAATGCAGTTTGGCGGGGAATTGTCTCATCTATTTGTTTGTTAACAAGTTCCTGTAACAAAGAATTACTGTCATTATCAACTAATTAACCTCTTCATACATTCATGTATTAAAGACAAAGAAAATACCTTTATTTCAGGTGGTAAGATATTATTTCTTTTCATTGCCACCAATCGCAATCTTTCAGGTGCATAATCTCTCGCTAATCTTCTACGTTTAACATCACGGGTCATCCACCGACCAATCCAAAGATCACGTACTTGCTGAAACTAAACGAAGTAACGTTATAACCTCAAAAACTATACTTTGATATTACTTGATATATAAACAAACTTCATATTTAGATCATTAATAAATACATTTATACCTACATTACATGTTGTTAAAGTGTTTTTTGAAAGGAAATTGGAGAATGCCGACAAACCGTTTCTTACAGTAGCAGCCATATTTGATTCAACAGCTGATTTTTATTCGCGTACGGTTAACATGACATCCACTATGTAATGCATGTAACACGCGGTAAATTTGAAACGACATATTTTGCTGGAAATTAAATTTAATAAACATTATTTAAGCTTTCATTCACTATTTAATTAATAGGGCGGGCATAAAACTGTAGGACGTAAAAAATTACAAAAATTAATAGAATGTCAAAGGAGTAACTAAGTTTTTATAAAATTACTGATGATACATTTTTACAATATAAGAAGGGAGTAATGAAGAACACAACCAAATTGTTGTTCCGTATTCCTTTATTCACTTTTATTTGATACTGTTATTTATATGTATGTACAGAATACCGTTGTTAACCGATCTCAACTATAGAAAAATCGCGGGCTAAAAGTGCTGAACCCGTTGCAGAAAGCAATCGTATTCAGCACGTGTTTTTCATCCAATGTAGAACATGTAAAAATGCAAGGTAAATCTTTGTAAAGAAATATATCCTAGAAAAATGTATTGTGTGTATATATTTTCAGCAGTTCAATTCCTTACCCATTCAGGTAATTGGAAAGTAATAATAAAAAACAGGTCCCACCTTCTCAACTAAATTTGTACTGAAACTAGTACTTATTCTTTTTCCTTAATAGATATTATTTAAACTGTTATATATATATTTATATATATATCCCATTCATGATAAACGATAAAAATAACGTTTCCTTGAATAATAGAAAGCAGCTTTCTAGAAAATGATGTCAGAAGTATAAAGCACTTTATACGATAAGAGGATGGCGATGATTAATCGATAATTAGTTATAAAATGACGGCAAAAAATAATAATGAATGTTTTTTCGAATATCGCAGATATAGGATTTATTTCCGTATAATAATTAGAAAATATAATTAAGCCGAGCTAAATTATGATGTTTTTTTTTGTTGATGTTCTTGTGAAATCAGATGTTTATAAGTAGCTTACGTAGTTTACATTCTTTTTTCACGGAACTCTAGCAAGCGAGGAGCAGGATGTATGCATATTCGCCATCGTTGGCCCTTTACCTTTCCTACGAAATTCCTTGCGATGAGAAAAGTGACGGAGCAACCATTTGGACAAATGGAATATACGAATATCAAAAAAATATGGCGATCGTGCTACTTCGTGCACATAAAATGCCAGTCGTCGCGATTCTTTATCGTTTCTATTACTCTTAACCATTGGTCGCGATTTCGTAGAAAACATCGTGGTCCGCGATGGGAATAACGTGTCGCTGTTTTCGCGCGAGGAACGTGAAGAAAGGAGGTAAACTACTTCAGCTATTATACGCCGAAGCCCATCTGGCGATACACATGTACGGAAACTAGTTATTTCTTTTTCTGGGCTTTTTCGGCAGCCTTGGTTGTCTTGCCAACGTTGTCCTTGAAAGTAACGGCCTTGATAACACCAACGGCTACCGTTTGACGCATGTCACGAACAGCGAAACGTCCCAGAGGAGGGAATTCTTGGAAAGCCTCGACGCACATGGGCTTGCTTGGTACCAGCGTGACAATGGCAGCGTCTCCGGATTTGATAGCCTTTGGATTCTGTTCGGTGGTCTTGCCAGTACGGCGATCGCACTTCTCCTTGATCTCAGCGAATTTACACGCGATGTGAGCAGTGTGGCAATCCAACACTGGCGTGTATCCGTTGCTAATTTGACCCGGATGGTTCAACACGATAACCTATTACAGAAAAAGAAATCAATTTTATTTTAACCATTTAGCGAACAAATCCCATGACATAATTATTAAATTTCTTAAGCACTCAGTCGTCTTCGACCATCACCAGACCTTACGACCCTCCGGTGGAAACCGCGAATGAAGTTTACATAGTTTCTATCATTGTGCTAATGGTTACAATTAATGTACATTGATTTTAAATACAGACCTGTGCGGTGAAATCAGCAGCACCCTTGGGTGGGTTGTTCTTTGAGTCTCCAGCAACGTAACCACGACGCAATTCCTTAACGGACACGCTTTTGACGTTGAAACCAACGTTGTCACCGGGGACAGCCTCTTGCAGAGCTTCGTGGTGCATTTCAACAGATTTTACTTCAGTGGTCAGACCAGCGGGGGCGAATGTGACAACCATACCGGGTTTCAGCACACCAGTTTCTACACGACCAACTGGTACCGTTCCAATACCACCAATTTTGTAGACATCCTGTAATTGTATTTAATATTAGAAGATACATATTCTTATAAACTGATGATTTTTTAAAAAATTAATTTTAATCAGACATCTCTAGCCATCAACGGATAAAAAAATCCTCCGGTGGAAACCGCGAATGAGTTAATAGTATTATCATCATGAGATAGAAATGTTAAGTTTATTTTATTTAATTCGAAACTCACTTGCAGGGGAAGACGGAGAGCTTTGTCTGTGGGTCTAGTCGGTGGAAGAATAGCATCGAGGGCCTCGATAAGGCATTTTCCTTCTACTTTGCCTTCCTTGCGCTCAACGGTCCATCCCTTGAACCAGGGCATTTTGGAGGATACTTCCAACATGTTGTCCCCATGCCAACCAGAGATCGGCACGAATGCAACAGCGGCGGGATTGTAACCAATCTTCTTGATGTAGGACGACACTTCCTTCTTAATTTCTTCGAATCGTGTTTCAGAGTAGGGTGGCTCAGTAGAGTCCATTTTGTTAACACCAACGATCAGCTGCTTTACACCGAGTGTGAAAGCGAGCAGAGCATGCTCACGAGTTTGTCCGTTCTTTGAAATACCGGCTTCGAATTCACCTGTACCAGCGGCAACAATTAATACAGCACAGTCAGCCTGTGATGTACCAGTAATCATGTTCTTGATGAAATCTCTATGTCCGGGAGCGTCAATAATAGTAACATAGTACTTGGAGGTTTCGAATTTCCACAGAGCAATATCAATAGTGATACCACGTTCACGTTCTGCCTTCAGTTTGTCCAATACCCAGGCATATTTGAAGGAACCTTTACCCATCTAAAAATGAAATCATATTTATTATTCAAATGGTTATTAAATATTGCAATTGTAAATGTAATTGCAAGTAATCCTCACTGTACCAAGTGAAACTAAACTAACAGTGAAATTGTTAATTTTTAAAAAATAATTTCAATTGTTTTAATTACCTCCTGGGCTTCCTTCTCGAATTTCTCAATGGTACGTTTGTCGATACCACCACATTTGTAAATTAAATGACCAGTAGTGGTAGATTTACCAGAGTCGACGTGTCCAATGACGACAATGTTAATATGAATCTTCTCTTTACCCATGGTGAAGCTTTGTTTATACTTTCTTAGTTAACTGTATAAAAACATAAAAAAAAAAACATTATATAATTTTAAGTTCAAATATATTGTGAAATATTTAATTGCATTTAGTACTGAATGAACGCGAAGGAAAAATTACTTAAAGCAATTATATATCCAGGTTACATGTCGCGAATAATACTTCATGTACTTGAAACTTTGAACCGACAATAATTATTTTAATATTTACAGAATCACGTGGGAAGATATTAATTATTATAAAAAATATTTTAACCTAACAATTATTGATATTACTTAAAAGAGTAGCAGGTGTCTTTGTTCTAGCGTCCACGTGGCGGTATCTGAATATTCCAGAACGGAACTGACCGCCATTTTGTAGATGGCCAGAACATTGCAATGTTGCCACGACTTTCTTGACGCTTCATATTACATGATGCCATTTGGTACAATTTTCGGATAAAAAGGGCTGTAATTACTTTTTCTACAAACATTTTATTAAAAAAAGTTTAAAAAAAAATTAACAATTCTATGCAACCTCAGTATTTTAAATTTTCATATTAAAAAAATTTTTGAAACAACCAATTAAAAATTACATTAAATTGCCACAAAATGTGTAAAGAAATTTATAAATTAAGAATTTATTTACAAATAAATACTGCGAAGACTTTATATTATGTAATTAATGCATTAAATTTGTAAATTAACATAAATACCACTTGATTGCCGATTTTCTCCTTTTTCAAGCGATACCATTTCCACTTACCCCTTTAAAACAATGATAATATTCAAATAATAAAAAAAATAGATTCAATGATTTGACACACTGGAAATCAGCAAGCAAACTCCATTGTCGGCGAAAAGTCGTCTCACAAGGTCGTTGTTGCACACGATTTCCAGTAGGCTTCTAATGCATATCTTGATGCTTTAATTATAAGAGATCAACCAATTACAGCCCTTTTTTCGTTATATCAATACGATTATTTTTATTAACATATTTTTGGTATCACGAAAGGCACAGTTAGAAAATTTACATTGCGAATATTCTCAGGATTGCAGGAACTCGTGACTGAAACTTTAACTCTGACAAGCAATCGACCGCCATACTGCATCCGGTTATTTGCATTTTTCTAACTTTATTCATTTGGAAATCACGTTCTGTCAATTATTCGTTGAATCACATAGATTTTTTGTACGATCAACGATTAATTGCAAGATTCAATATGTTAAAAGGGATGACAAATGAGTTTTACGAAGATCAGCATGTGGACCGCGTTCGAACAGCCGGCAACTATAGCCATAAGCCATGCGTCTGTTTTCCAACGTTGTATTTCACCGAAAAAAACAATTTTTCCGCAAAACTGTTGTCACAACACAATTCTCTGGTATTTCGTTCGTTGTTTTATTCCGTACCTGACGTTCGATGCTACCTTTCCGGTATGAAAATTGTCGGATTATAGTCCTATGCGAAAATCACGAACAACCACTCACCTCCAGATGCCACGACAGAAAGAGATCGTCCAAATCAAGTGACATGCGCATACGGCTTTCCGACCCTAGCCTCGAACCCAGGTCTCCCTGTATATTGATCATTTGTAAAATATTAAGCCACTTCCTCCAATATCATATATTATTTCAATCGTATCACTGGTATTCTCATAAATGAAGAAGTAGATTTTTCCGAATTATTTTAACAATATCGTTGAAAATTATTGACTTTACCATTCAAAGTGGTCTACAAAGAAGGAAGCGCTGGCTTTGAGATTACGGTTACGCAGCAACACCAGGCGTGCCGCGATTCATATGTATAGATAGTCCTAGGATGCGCGCATGTATGGGAGAACATGAAATCAGAAGAAGACAGATATATTAAAACGAGAGAACGTTAGGTCGTTGTGTTCGGGGATGCACTCGGATCGTAATATTAGGTTCAATGGCATGACCCCAAATTTATCGAAATTCAAGATATTTGCAGACAATCTGAAACAGAAATTTGATTTCTATCTGCCCGTGTCAATTATTTATTAGAGTTTCATCAATACAATATCGATTAATCGAATGCATTTATCGAAGCAATATGGCCGAATTACGACCCTACCGTTTTTATAATCTTTTTTAAATCATATAACAAAACGGCTGCACACAACTGCATGTTTTATTGCTACATACAGTATTTGTATTTGAGCATTAGAATACTTTATTTTTTAACTGATTGTGAAATTAGAGAATTATAGATTGAAAGGGACACAAAAAAGTAATTTATTGAGAGCATATTTATTGCAAGTTGTACCCATTTGTTAGAGTGAGAGAAGAAATACACATCGTTGGCCTGGATAGGTTGATAGTTAGTACAGTCGGCTGGTACCAGAACCAGAAGATCTGGGGTTCAAATCTCCAGCAAAATCGATCGGTTAAATGTTTTTCTTGTAATATATAAAAGTGTTTATATATATTATATATTATACTATGGAGAAATGATTTTGAATAGTCAAGTGTTCTCTACAATTAAATAAATAATCATTTCTTTATTTCATGTATGTATATTTATTATCTTAGTTAGATTGCCTAAATATATGCAACCACGCTCGCTTGAGCGCATCTATCTTACAATTAGTGGCACTAATGTTATACAACCATATATTTTACAAAGGAATGAATGATTCATTGAAAATAGCAAACGAAACGTTATGCATCATTCTCTTGGTACGCAAGAGAAAGACGTCATAGGATGTTAATATATTACATTCGTAAAATGTTTAATGGCCTACAAAGAAGAATATCTAAAATTGTATATTTATTATTCAAAATGATACTCATCAAATTTTTAAGTTCTATTGTTTAGTTTAGCGATATATAAAAACGCGGGATGATATTTAGATTTGAAATCATAATTGACGTATCGTATTTAAATATTTAGAATTTAACATAAAATAACAATATTAACCACACGACACGTGCAACAATAAAACATAAAAAGATCAATTCCAAATAAAGACATGGTTGCAAGGTATTTAAAAAGAAACTTCCTCCTAATTTCAATCGTCTATTTATATTTTTGTATTCTTACTGATATATCGGATCGTACATTTACACTTACATATGGGAGCAGCGCAGCTAAGTTTCGAAAATTCCAAAATAACTTCTATGATTAAGAAGAGAACGTATATTCGGATAGAAATGGACAAAAACGACGTGTGTTCGCTCATAGGCAGATGTTCGAGTACATAATCGATGATTTATGAAATGCACGATCATTAAGGGTGTAATTGATAATTACAATCGTATTTTGCTGTGATACTTTTCTCCTTACATTATGTTTATTTATGATTCCCGTTTGATGGCTCCCTTTTAACACTCGCAATGTTGCACTATTATCTTAATGCCAATATTTTGGTCAATTCTTTATAACTGGAAGTAAACTTTCACACTCACTACCTCCCTTTTTCTTTTTCTCGTAGATACATTCATACAACAAAGTTGTACAAAATAATATCATTCCGGTGTTTGATTGAATAAACGCTAGTAGAAAAAAAAAAAAATTAAACACCTTCGTTGCCATTCACGCGATATCGCATGAGTCCTGGTCAATGTCCGATCACGCGGTACCGCGTGCAATCTCTATAGTGTTTAAACATTCGGGCATACGGCGACCAACTCATTTGACAAGTAAAAGTGTTAAATAAACTTAAAACAATAAATTTTTATGCACTTTCTATCCTCTATTATATTCATTGGCATGCAGAATTTTCTATTTTCTCATTTTATATTGTTTATTGTTATTAAGAAATAATACCCCTTTCAAATTCGGCACCTTTCGCACAACTCCTCGTACAGTTTCTACACATACTCATACTATTTATTATCACTATAAGTATTTATATTCATATTTACAAAAAATTATTCGTTAAATGTTAATTAATATTTAACATCGCAACCATATTAAGTTGTAATTTTATTCCTGAGTGACTATTCATCGAGAAACTTGCCTCTTGTTTCATTTACTTTATTGGATAGTTTGTTTAACGCTGTTACGCTAGAATGTAGAAAAAATTACAATTAATTGTTGTGGTCAAACATAATCAGCTCAACAATAATCATTTGAAATAAACAATTTTTTTTTAATTCACATCTTATAAAAAATAACTGAAAATTAATAGCCAATTGGTACAATTGGAAAATTATTATTAGAAGCTTGCGAATTTCAATTGTAATAATAATTAATTATGAAATTAGTTATGAGCTGAATATGTTTAACCAGAAAATTAATTTAGTCTAAATAAACTAATAATAATTTTAATACAAATGCTTTGTATTATTTGATACAATTCATGAATTCATATGAACTGACCTAATATTATTATAGCATTAATTGAAATGTAAATTGAGAATTTTCTGAACCATATTGTGGAACGTAATGGTAATCAGTATTCAACTTTAGCAAACATACATTATATCAATATAACCGTATGGAGAAACAGATTTACTTAGAATTTCAACTAGTAATTAGTTTTCCTTATCTAAAACATACATAAACTTTGTATAACATTGGCACTTATTTATAAATCATTTAGAAGGATGGTACAACAGTAATAGAATTAAATTGTGCATGGTTTTAATTCAATAATGTGATATTCAATGTACATAACTTTATATAACAAATTTATATTAATATCTATAATAGATGATAAAAAATATATAATAAGAGGAAAATTGTGGAAACTGGCGCTACCCCTGCTACCCTTCTTTCCCTGTGGGCATTCCCGCGGAGGGAGACTATGTAAGGAAGGGGCCATCTACATATATAGAAGTCTGGCCCTACCACTTGCGAGTAAGCATACGCGGGAAAATTGAAATTCATATTTCTCAGTTATATATTAAATTCGTGTTATAAAATTTTGTCAGAATTTAATTTTATCTGCAATAGCCTAATAAATAAACAATCATTTTCAATATGAAAAATGTATGGAAGACGATGACGAATCTTGGCACAAATATTAAATGATAACCCACAAAATGATCAGAGAAATTCTCGTAAAAATGATTTAAGTAGGTACAATATGGCTTAATGAAAAATGTTCGGGCATTGCATTCGAACATCGCATCTCGTGATTAATTATAATAGGCAATCAGGAGATTCTCATGCACAAGATATAGTTGAATAGTTATAATAACAATCGACCAATCGACTGAATAATATCGCACATTTGATTATTAACAACCTTTCACAAACCGTCATTTTCTAACCTGACACATCTATGACGATATATAATACTTTATCTTCTTTTCAACACCAATAAACATCTGAATAAAATCAATATCATTTAAACAGTTGTGAATGGATTTAATATCGCAAATATATCCGATTAATTTTGTAAATTCGACTTTCTTAAAATTTAATTCATTTATTTCATAATGCCATCTGAAGAGATTTAGAGACACTATGTATATTTTATTAACGTAAAATTGAGATTATATTTTAATTTTTAATTTAATGAAAAAACAATATGTACTGTATCGTACTCTTTCTCGTTTAAATTTTACTAAAAATTCTCTCCATTTTATAACAAATGTAAAGTCATATTTAAGTATGCAATACACTCTTCATAAATTTCCACATTCCTAGCCATTTTTCTTTTGTCACTTTCAAACACTACACATTTTATTATATAAATCAGATTCTCATTTGGTTAAGCGATACATGTGCTTACAAAGTAGAAATCGAACGTTAAAAAAATGCGTTTAACTATTAAAGTCTATCTGATAATTTATAAACACTAAAAAATTCACTATACTTATTACAAATCGCTTCGTATTTGTTTTTTTAGTTCGGAAGATGTATTCTGCTTTCGTCTTCGCTTTCACTTACATATTATATGAACGGGTGACTTTAGATTTAATATACCTCCCCTACAATAAATTAGAAAAAATTCTTACAATTAAAGAAGAGCTTTAGATGAATCATTCTAACATAAACAATAGGGGTAGTAAATAATGAAAGACATATATAAATCTTTGGAAAAGAGGGGGAGGCGTTCATGATCCCGTTTCAATTTTTATTTTTGGAATGTAGAGATTTTCGGTCCCGTTAAGGTTCTCGAGGAAAATTATTTCCTGCTACGAGGGTAAGGAGTCCACATTTAATAATACAATTCACACCTGCAGTTTTTATGTACTTGGTTGCTGGTATTTTGAAACGAAAAATATATTAAAAAAGAGAATACTTTCTATATCGTGTAAATTGATTTGTAAAAACTGGACAGTCTCAGTGTTTCTTTTACAGTAACCTGTTCCTTTTCAAATAATATAGTATTGAAACATTCATAAATAAAATATGCCAATAAAAATGATCTACATTTGTATTACATCTTACATTTGAAATAATACAAGTAACAATCGAAAATGAAAGCAGAAGTTAGAAGCAATGATGTACAAGGTGGTAGTTTTAGTTGGTCCCGAACATGAGTTAGCACGGGTTTGTGTACAAATCTTCATTATTGGAAATATAAAACATCTAAACTGTATAAATTTGTAATTTCTTTGTTTGAATTAGTTTGTTACTTTATGTTGTAAATTGACTGATTGTATGCATATAAAATTTCAAATTTGTTGAATGTAGTTGTGTAAGAAATTATGAAGAAAAAGAACATAAAAACATAAACATGATTTCTGCACAAACCCATTCTAAAAGTTGCGCATGGTATAACGTGACAATCGTTGCATTAAGGATCTTAGCTCACAGCAACACTGCGCGTGTCGAATGTTAATAAATGTAACTTTTTTTTCCCTTTCTCTCCTCCCTCATTCTTTCAGTCTCCCTTTTCTCTCACTCTCACCATATTAAATTATTACGAGTTACCTATTATCCTATACAAATTCTACGGATATACGGATGAATGTTTCTGGCAGTTTATTTACATGCGAGTTGAGCTACGGCGCCGAAAAATATCATACGGCAACAGATTTCGATGTCGATCAATCTATGAGGTACGGAACATTTTGAGAAGTTGATGAAATCTTTTTTTTTTTCATCAGACTTTTGAAAATGTTTCGTCTCGAATGGAGAGTATCGTTGTTGCGTGTCTATAAAGTTTTTGTTATAAATTTAATAAAGTAGCTCTTATGAATAGATTGAGTAAAAGAGAGCATGATACTACCAAAGTGGTATAATTTTATAGAATATAAAATATTATAATAGTATACTATTGGTATTACAAGTACAAATAGTATAATAGTATAACAATGAATAACAAGTACAATATACCATGAAATTTTTCAAGAATTTTAGTATTAAAGCATTACAAAGATGTTTGCAATTATTATTCCTTCAAATGCTAATATCAACAAGACAATATTCTCCATGTACCAACAGTATCCGTAGCTCAACCACAATTACCTTAACCATGTTTATTTACAGAAATAATACGATCATATAATTGAGATATCTTGCACTGCTAGTTCCATTAATTTTTGTACCCCCGTTTTCCTCGTCATTCTCACTGGCAGTGTCTCCCTTTGCCTCGACAATAGTATCTAATCGTTCCATTGTACTTCTTTGATGATGATGATTATTAGATAAGTCACTTTCAGACGTTTCATCCGAGTCTACAGAGACCATATGATCATTAACTTGAATTTTTACCACAGCATCTACCGGGTACTTTCCATTGTTCAATCTCTTTTCCAGTATTCTTTTATTTTTCTCACAATGAGGACAATTCTGACCATTTGATGATCCTTCCTCGCTTTGGCATTGAAAACATATTAGATCGCCGTCGCTGGAAAAGTCACAGTGTTCGCATTGAACAATCTGACCGTTTCCATGACAAATCTCACAGGTAGGACTATTGTCATCCTGCTCTAAATCTTCACAGTCTTTTTGGTCATGTTCCAGTTCACATTTTCGTGACCAGCTTCTTCGTACCTGATAATCCTGACACACCGATCTAGGTGAAGACGACTGACCACTGTAATCTTGATCAGGGTGCAAAGACCAGGGAGAGGACCCGCGAACTGGACTTTTATAGATGCGAGAAGTTCCCTGTCTATCTTCAATACGTTCCTCGATGTATCTACTACAACAGGAACCAGGTGTTTGTGGTCTGTAAGTACAGGTACGAGTTTGCTGGTCACATTCGCTGCATAATAATAAATTTGACTTGCTACCAGGCTGAGAAACGTAACCATTACAGGTGCCATAATATTTCTCATCCTCATCACTTTCAAAGAAGTGTTGGCTAAGGCTACCAATTGATTTCGTGTCACTGGATCTCCCAGATATTTTGGTTTCTTCAAAATCTTCTTGATCTTCTGCAGCATATCTGTAAGAATTATAAAATAATGTCAGTTATTTAATTGTATTTTTGGAGTAATCTTGAGGCAACTACAGATGAGATATAAGATAGACCTATTTATGCCCAGAAACAATTATGTATAGTCAATATTTTGAGGGAGATAACTTTTTATTTTCAGAATTTAAGAAGAACAAGTTGTCTTTCATTCTATTTTGAGAAACCCAGACAAGCTAAGAAAATGACGGATTTTAAATGTTTGAAAAGGAAGTGCCTTTGGATGTTTAGGGAGAGGTTGCAGTGTTCTTTCATTTACATAATCATCAACCATTGGGATTCATGGATCATTTACCCTAAAGTAGTTCCTGAAATCATCATTCTAAATCATAGAGCGCGCGACAGAAGAGCGTCGACGTTTCAGATCGTTGGTCTACCTTATCGGTGGGGTGAAATTCAATTTGAGAGCTTACCTACTGTCAGTACCATCAACAAGGTAATGTCGTATTCGCTTGATTTTAGTTTTGCCGCGCTCTCGCGGCCTTGTTTCTTGTTAAATGATACTTTCTCGATTTCTCTCGTTGTTGTCCTCTAGACTGGAAGTCGAGCTGGCACCACAGATGTGCATCTCGATTTCAGCTAACCGGTTCTCCACTTCCCATTGCTGTTGATTCAATTTCGCGCTCATCGCAGCGTTTTCAGATTCTAAGCAAATTAAACGTTCTCGAAGGCGTTTAATTTCTGCTAATAATGCTTCGTGGGTGCCTAGAAGTGGTGTGGCGCCTTCACTGACTAACTGTGACATGCTGTTAGTCATGCCTGAAAGTATACATTTCATATTTGAATTTAATTGATGTTTTAACACTTTCAGCATTACGTAGCCCATTGATGGGCTTCAAATTTTATAGAAGGCACGATTTTAATTAAGAAATGAATTAATATTTAAGTTATTATATTTGCCTGAGTGTGTAGATTGTCTTCCAGTAGATGGTTGAGTGGCAGCAGACTGTGGAGCCCTAGTAGTTTGATCCTCGCTACTGTGACCGCTACTGGTTGCGCTTATTGGGCTATCCATGCTTCTTCTAACATTCGCGTTCGCGTTGTGCTCGGAGCTCGCTAAACCGCGTGATGCTACTGGACTTGGGCTAGGTGAGAACAACGAACGACCGGTTGAGTAGGTATGAGTAGATTTTGCGTCAGTAGGTGAAATCCACATTTCTTCCAGTGGTATACGACCTTTCGATTCCACTAATCCTGGCGTACTCTGACATCGTCCCATTGCAGCTGAAAATTAATAACACGTATAAAGAAGAAAGAAAGTAGGGGATTCATCGTATCAGGTTCAAATGATTTTTATTTCTTTTCAAGCCCTTCGTTTAAAAAAACTACTTGCGTGTCTGTACTTTGAAAACCGTGTCCTATCTCTTATTTTCAGTACGGTAACCTTCTTTAATTAAGCAATCGTCTTTCTCATTGTGCAGCCACTGCAGCCACTCCGTATACCAGCATGTAATTACGCGGCGCAACTTGACCCCAGAGTACATACGAAGCGATTCGTTGCTTCGAAAGTTCGTAACACCGCGAACTTTCTTTCATCAGGAGAACAGAAGGCAATGGTAGAAGACGAGTTACATTTGTTTTTGATGAACTTTCGAATTAAACAGCTCTTTCAAAGGAACTTCGATCCAGGAGTGTTCATTTTACAGAGCAAGAAAATTGAATTAGGATATGATTATTACTGAAAGCCTTTCACGATAATATAAAATTTCGAAATTTTGAAATTTCAGGACTTCAAAACTGCAATATTGCAAAATTTCAGAATTCCAGCCCATTCCCAAAAGATCCTAGCCACCCTAATATTTGAAATTAGATAATATTTATAAATCCTGACCTTTTTCAAGGGGAGCCCTCTTGTATTTCTCCAGCCTCTTCACGGCGATGGCTTCCAGTCGGATTCTGGCTGCAGGATATTCCTTCAACACGTCCCACATGTCCTTTTTACTAAGGACGAAGAGATCCGAGTAACCCACGGAGCGTACGCTGGCTGTTCGTCGGTTACCTGTAGCGATGTAGCCATTTATTGGTTATCGGGATATATCAAGCTTTCTTTTGTATCCGATCCGAAATTGATTAGTTTCTTCATTCTACAGACTCATATCAGTAGTATGAGTATAGATTTTTTATATATTCTTGCTTCGACATCAAAACATAACTTTGCCTTCTTTATGGTAAAAAATCATGCTCGACAAATTACCATTATCAATGGAAAACTACGTGAAATGTTTACTCGTGTGAGTGTGTTTAAAAAGGGATAAATACGCTTCAATAGGAACTTTATAAAGGTAACACATAGTTGGTGATAACAGATTTTATAACTGGAATGTATTAAAAATGTTCACACGCATTACATAGGTTCACCAGGAAAAATTAATTTAACCAAAGTTTATTTAACTCTTTTTAGGAATTAAAGGATTAGGTATCGTATTTAAAAGAATTAACTTGGATTTGAAATTTGCTCTACAACTTCGTATGTAAAAAAAATTGTTTAACTCAAAAAATGTTCCTCTTCATACTAGACAATTTTTAGATTAATAGTTTTTTTATATCTTCAATGATCTGCAAGATATTTGTGTGCTAATATTTTTATCTTTGTTTCAGATGTCTATTGTTAGTGTTTCGATAAAAAACATACATTTTCAATGTGCATTTTCAAACCATATACTTACTTTTTCAGTACAATTAATAGTATATTATTTGAAATAAAAAAATGTTAAGTTATTCTTTTACGTGTGTTTATATAAAATTTATTATAGATCATCTAACGTGATAGATAAGAAACTAACTACAATAATTAATATATGAGCGTATAGAATAAGTTAAATTCGAATGCAGATTAATTACATCCGTAAAGTGAGCAAGTACCATTACATTAGAAAATCAAAATAATGAATTACAGTAAAATGAAGGATATTGAAAAACTACGTTTAGATATGGCGACGAAAATCGTGATAAGTATAAAACATGAAAAGTGCAGATAGAAAAGTATAAAAATAAATTGAAATGAAGGAAATATTTGCTATATTTTATTTTTCTCAGTTAACAGCAATTTGGCCCACCTACAGGCCCACCTAAATAAGCATTTACGTGGGAAAGTTTGAATTGATGCAAATTGTATTATTCTCGAAAGGTTGAAAAGAGACACAGTAGTAGTTACTCGATAATTCTCTGAGCCTGAATAAATTAATATTAATATTTTGCAAATATTTCCTTCGATCAAACATAAATACAAAATTAAACAAGACTATAAGTAACAGCATATCATAGAAGCCAAATCGCTTATAAAATAAATCAGAAGATAGATTTAAAAATGCTGGTAGAATATACGGGTTTTAGGTACTCAGTTCTAAACTAATGTTACTACCAAAGCGAGGTGATAAAAAGATGATTAAAAGTATGTTTGTCTTTATTTGTTGGATGATAAACCAACACGACCTATGATTAATTTAAAGAAAATAATTAAGGGAACGCTAACAGAGGATATATTACAAAATCTCATTTATTGAAAATAAATGATATTGTGGCTTATGGTTCTAAAATCCTCTTTTGAATAAATAAATAAATAAATAAATAGGTGATGCTGGTTTATCGGCTGAAAAATAATAATTGAAATAGAGGGGCAAAGGCTAAAGGGCAATACGTGTCACGGGCCTTGTTCACAACGTGTCGACAATCTCACATCGACTTTAATGCAATTACTATTAATTAAATAATAAAAACTGTATATCTCTGACAGATGGAAGAAACATAGGAAGGGGGTGTAGAAATGGTAGATCTACTGATGTTATTTTATTTCCATGAAATAATTTATCCCTATTATAATACATTCCGAATTTAATTAAAACAGCATTTCATTTTTATATTATGCAATTATTTGAAAAACAAATTAACGCGAAAACAAAGACTATTGAAACCTACATAATTGGAAAGGCAAAAATCAATCTAAATTAATCGTATAGAAAATGTAATTAAAAAGTTCCTTTCAAGTTTAGAAGTATAGGAAAAAGTATTGTTATATTTTATAAAAATAATTCTAGTACATAGTTTAAAAACAGTAATTAAATTTGATTCGTTGCGTGAACGTCGATCACGTGTGGCAAGTGGAGATTGACAGTAGGAATATCAGTGACAGAAAGATTACACAAGTATAAAAAAAAAAAAAAGAGTTACTAGGAAGATTGATTTTACATCGGCTCATACCGGCTCGACGGCTTGCCCTCTCACAGAGTGGTAAGAACGTGAAACGTGAAAACGTGAATCGTGAAATATGAGGGGGACAGCTCACGGGCCCCTGGTCCGCTTGGAATATTTACCGCACTCTTTACCTGCAGTCCCCATATTGAGAATGCTGATCTCGCCGAAGTAGGAACCCGCCTTAAGAGTAGCGAGGACTGTTTTTCCGTTGTCAGCTACCACTTGCAATCGTCCTCTGTTGACTATATACATCTCCTTGCCTACCTCACCTATAACAAATTTCAAAAAATAGAAAATTAATATCTTCTGAATAAACAAAAAATAAAATGCATTAAATGCTAAAAATCTATATTAAAAAATATTGACCGACAATGAGTGTAATAATGATATCATTAAAAATAGTAGGTAGAAACAATTTGTAAGGTTGTTTTAATTTTTTAATTATTGAATTCAATAAACGTGTTTCTGCAAAAGTGTAGGTAAAGCAATAACGGTGAGTGATGTTGGAGTAAACTCGGTTAGCTTTAATTCCGTAGCAGTGATGCAGGTCCAAGTAGGGTCAGCCATAAAACGGAAGCGCGAGAAAGGGAACGATTGCCGCATTCCAGTAGTCATGCGGCAGTCGTTTCCACGACGATGAAGAGATTAGAGAAGGAAAGGCGCTACTTTCTTTCTTTATTCATCCCCTTCCTATACGTTCCTTCACCTCTGACCTCTTTCTAAAGACATACTGACCAATATTGATATACAAATATTCAAATTTTTATTGCAAAATGGCACTTATGATACATCGATTGGAAGCTTAAAGTATACCGAGAATGACTATATAAACGTTTCATCTGTATCCCTAGTTACAGTATGATTGGTTTCAGCCACTTCGTATTTACCCTCGGACGGCGGACCATGGAGAGAGGCACAATTTTAATTAACGGTGCATTTATATGATAATTTTCAATAAATTGTAAGCATAAGTACCATTTCGCAGTACTTTTATGCTATCAAACTGGCGTCAGTCTTTTGATGTTTTGAAATCAGCCAATTCATATGCAGATGCTTCCATACGACTAATTTCCCGTCTGCGCCAAATGATCTTGGCCGGTTATCTTTCCAAACGAAATATTTCGTTTGTAAGTACACGTTCCGGGTAGGCTATTGGCAATGAGGCCACGTAGAAACGGTAAGCAATCACTTTTCAACCCTATATCAGGCTAGTCCGTCTCTTGGCACGATTCCAGCCACTCATTTTAAAACCGAGCCGCATCGTATCCAGGAAAGATGTCGTAATACGAAAGAAAGAAAGAAACAGGGAGGCGAGGTCTTACCTTTGCGACAAATGTAGTCACCAGGTGAGAAGAGAACGGGCCGAAGTCTCAACACTAGCTCGCAGAGAAAGCCAGCTTCCGTATTCTGAAAAATCTCCACCCTCCTCAACGTGTCCAGGTGCACATTTATCGCGATTTCAGCCTTCAATTTGTCTGCAACATTTCAACCGTAAAATTATGAACACCGAAACCTTTCCAACTTTATATCTTTTCATGGTCATAAAATATTCATTCCTGAAATGGAACGGAAAAATTCGAACTACCAGAGTGGAAATTACAATCGTTTTTAGAGATTCAGACCGTGTCTTTCATTGATGGTCGTGATTATAATTTATTATAAACTTTTGAAATAACGTACTTAGAAAAACATTAGCAAAATTTAATATTGCATATCATTTTTGTAGGATAAAAATTAAGAAAGAAGATTTCTATGAATGACGCCTTAATACGAGACGAAACAAGATTGCTATGACGACGAATCAGGTAAATCTGCTGGAACGAACCTTAATTTGCATTTGTGAATAAAGAAAAAATTATTCAAGATAAAAGGTGAAGGATGTTAAAAATTTTGGAAAAAGTTATAAAAACTGCTCGATGTCTGATTTGAATCAGAAACATACCAGGAAGGCAGCTAACAGCTTTCTCCTCGTCTGAGCACTTTTGCGTTAACCAAAGGTAGTCGAACCATTTAATCACCTTCACTTGAAGGTGTTTTGGCACTCTTCTCATTCTCATGTAGGTTTTCACCCCATCCAACTTCGCTGCAACCAGAACAATGAAATTTCGTTAAATTTTATCGAGGAACATATTTGACAACTCATCGTCGCTCTGAAATTTTTGCCATTTTTCCCTCGGAAAATTAAGCGGTGTCGAATGGATATCGCGTGACACACGCGTCGGCATCGGAAGTGGAGGCGTTTCGAAATTCAATAATGATATTGGGTTTAATAAGCAAATAAAATATTCTACGGGGGTTATGGAATTGGTGAGAATAATAACGTAATACGTATTGTGGTGACATTTCATTTAAACGGCTCCGCGAGATGTGCTCAACAGTTCATTATTTATGCAAATTAAATAGCGTGACAGCGAAGTATGTATTATCATATTTTTGCACTTAATTTCAGTGGATTCGTTTCAAACAAAAATATGGATCAAAAGTGTCAAAATTTAAGGAATTATTATAAAATTCTGAATAATATTAATTTAACTGAAAATTTAAATAAAAACATTTTTAATCGTCGTTTAAAAATGCCTTTTTTACTGCAAGTACGTCTAATTACTCCTTTGCTTTTGTTTCTTTGTTAAACATTTAATAGTATCGGTATTTCTCTCTTTTTACACGCATTTTAATCGCCATCGTTTTGCATGGTCGTTATTTAAACGATGGTACCGGAAATAAAACCCCGCGAGGCGCATTGTACATTAGAAATTCGCAGTAGAGATAACAAACGGTAATTTTGCAACTAGGTATGTATTGTATGCTTGGGTTCGTGTTTGTAGAAATAGGTTGCGTCAAATTCAAAGAGTATCGAGCGTGTAAAAAGAGACATTAAACCAGCTTGAAAACGCTTTAACCGGAACTACCCATTCGCGCGCGATATCACGTTCCACTACTTTCAACGATCGGGTTGCTAACCTTTTAATTGTCTTTGTTTTAATAACGATGGATGGATGGCTGGCTATGATGGTCGGTTTAATTGGAAATTGTTATTGGTAGATATACAGACCTCTTTGACGCGTTGCATCACGATATTCGTTGAAAATATAAAATAAAAGTTAATATAAAATTTGGTGTAACTTAATATGAGAGTACCATTATAGATTATAAAGGTACAACGTATCTTATTATTTGTGAAAATAAACACATGGTTTTTTGGGATATTCAAATATTCAATAATATACGATATTCTCCAACACCCTGCGCGAATAAAATTACTGGAGTTATAAATATAAGAGTTTTATTAAAATGTACAAAGCTCGCGCCCTCCTTTGTGGCTTTCTTTATGGCGTACGTAGCTGTTTGCATAGCCAGGGAAGTTTTGTTCAATCCACTCAGCTAAGTGGAAGGAAATTGGGTAGACAACTGCACGTCTGCTTGAAAGTTAAAACTAAGTCACTCGAAACAGTCGTTTAAAACGGGTCGACAATCAAAGACTGTTTTTAACGTAATTGCCAGTTTTCGAATATTCAATCGAGATAGACATATTATGCGTATGGTATTGTATTCATTAAAAGTTTTAATGAATTGTTCGAATAATTACGGATATCTGATAGGCAATAAATGTATCTATTACAATATTTTTTTAAAAAGATAGAGGTTACTTTCGAGCTCTTGTCGAGTGGAAGACAATTGGGTGGGATCGGATAGGATCGGGTAGGATCGGATGAGCTCGAAAACACATGGCCGCCTTTCGCGATTGCGAAGCTTTCCGACTTTATCCGAAGTCTTCCGACGTAACCCGAAATTATCCGCCATATTGTCTATTCGCGTGTTGTGACAGTTCTACAGTGATAGTGTGTTTTATTATGGTACATATTCAATTCTAATTAAATATTAGTTACATAAAGTTTTAAATTCGCTAACTAACAATAAGTCTTCTTAAATAGGTGTATCAATCTATTGAGGTTTGAAGCAAACATCGGTTTGAAAAGAAGAATCAGCCCGGTAAGTGGTGAATAAGACAACTTCCTCTACTGCATGATAAATATAGTAAGTACGTAGTTACGGCATGGTATTATAAGCGCACCCCGTGGTCCTTGAAAGTACCTCACGTCAAGTACAGTTGATAAAACTAACTTTTCATACTGGACGGTAGAACTGGTCCAAACATTTGCGAGTATTTATGGTGAATCTGCCGGACAACGGCAATTGGTCCAAACTTTGAGACAGACATCTGTCTGCGACATAACGTTCCGAACTGAGTACGTGACCGCCATATTCTCCAGACATTTTCTTATACTTTCGTTCTTTCTCGACGCAATGCTGATGTGTTACGTTATCGCTCCCTATAGTATTAAAATTTTGCTAATTCTTGAAGAATATTCAAATGGTAATCTTGGAAGAAGGATTTCATGAAAGTTGTAAAGAACCCGTTACAAAATGGCGTCTCTCTCAAAACACCTACGATAGTCATCGCATTTCATTAAAAATTAAATTTTTTTTATATTATAAAATTTACTGTAATTTGGAAACTTAGATCACGTTTTTCTATTTTTTATAAACAAGGAAATAGTAAAACCCCAACATGGTGTGCACTACTTAAGTAACCAGACGGAATAAATAACTAGGCAGAATGAATAACTAGACGGAATAAATAATCAGACAGAATAAATAATCAACTGCATTATATAATTAGATGGAACAAGTACCTAAACGTGTTGAATTACTAGACAGAATAAATAATCGAGGAAAATAAGTGTGTTCTTAACTAGAATCCCTTTTCCATCTTTCCGTAAAACCTGTGATTATTCTCTGACAATGAGACGAAAGAATTGTCAACTCGTGAAAAGGGAAAAGGTTAAATTTTCCCTGCCTATCACTCGTGTGTCGTTTATTCGATGGCTTGGAAGACCATTTCCGATTGAAATCAACCCCATCGACGCCAGTCGAAACTTTCTGGAACGCTCTTTTCGACAGAATCAGTTCATCTTCCAAAGTCCGCAATTTCCTTACGTAGACAACATCCGTACCCATGGAATTGCTGTAAATTTTTTATTTTAAAAATTGGGTGTGAGAAATATCAAATTTTCAGATTTCCAAACGTTGAAGTTTTCAAATTTCCCAATTTTTCAAATTTCTAATTTTCCATATTCTTAAATTCTCAAATCTGAAAAGTTAAAAACTTACACGACGATCTAGCACACGATATCGCGTGAACCTCTAGTAATTGACCCAATCGAATTATGTAGTAGCAAAAGTTTTAAGGAACTTAATTTTTCGTCGCGCTGGTTAACAATGCCGGATAATCCATGACGAATAGCTGCAGCGAATTTTGGTTCTGGCCAATTCCGTATCCAGCCAGATAAGAGGTATAACGTACAGATTAAGGGCTCAGCGTTAAACTAGCCCGAAACGGAGCAATGCCAAACAGACCGTTTGTCCAAATAGTCTAATCCTAGCCGACCAATGTATGAACGTGGATGCTCGCATACGTAATTAGGTATTAGGGCATCGACATGGAGCAAGGGTACTAGAAGCTTCTTCGTAGGATGAATAGCGTGGTATTCTTCGTCCCTCTCGTCGCTTGTCGATCGGAAACCATAAATGGATCACGACTGATACGATAACGTCACGTACTTGCTATTTCGAACCAATTTCTCGATGCCTTCTTATTCGATGTCAGCAAAAGCATCAGAATAAATTGTTGATGTTCGATGATAAAAATATGTTATTCTGGGAGAAATATGAGGCAGGGATGTGTGTGGGCTAGAGCTATTGTTGATACAGGGGGATTGAATATATAAAAAAATTGCGGTACAATGTTGGAAAAGTTTTTTAAAATAAATCTTTAAAAGCTACTATTTTCAAGTATGGAATATAAAAAATTTGTTTAGAATCTGATTAGATAAATTATTGCGGTAAAGGAGGAAAAAATTATTTCATTAAAAAAGGAAACTCAATTTTAATTTTAGATTAGCATCTTTGAATCTTTCGCTAGATAAATCATAATCTTCCTAGTACATTTTTCAAATCAATATTATCACCTGCCCATCGGATAATGATACGAAAGTTACGTTAACTATTCAACTTTGAGGATTAATTGATCCACGTGACATGGATGGAAAATTAATTAAGCCGGAGTAGAACAAACCAGTTCATTGTTGGTAGAAAAAGAGGAAACTTTTCCTTCCTGTAATTTCATCAACCTCAGCTGTTTATGAAAAGAAGTATGATTATTAATGAGTCAGCTTTATGTAAAGAAAAGAGAAGAAATCCTTATTTGAAGTTTATTGATTGGTTAAAAGATCATAAGTTAAGTTATTAGGTAAAGCTTCTCAGAATCATGTCTATGATAACGATTTGCATATTTACCAAGAATTCTTTCATTTACCTAATTAGAAATTATTTAAAATGAAAGAAATCCAAAATGTTAGGTATTTGAAATTTTGGACAATAAAAATAGAGAAAAATTGTAAAAATAATAGGAAGGATTTGTTAAAAATAGAAAGATACCATTTAATGAAAATTTCAATAACTCCGAGCTTGGTAATTAAGATGGTAAGAAGTGCTTATATTCGATCCAAGATGGTCGGTGGGGTGCTTAGACTATACACTATGTAAATGTAGGCAGTCAAAACCGCTGCGAATGCGCCCAATGTGAATACAGCTGTTTTAAATCCTACAAAGGAGAAAATATAAATAAATTTTTTACAATTTTTTGGATACTTTCAGTGTTACAACTATTATGCTCTAAGACATGGGCCACTGAGAAAATGCCTTCAAGCTATTATTCCAACCCGATATATCGATTTGCCGAATGTTCTGATGAACAATATGTAAATCATTTTCGAGGGAAATAAAAAAAAAATTTCAATGTTAGAATACTGAAATATAGCAGCAGATGCAGTATTGTAGGTTCAACTTAAAGTGATGCATTTAGTAGATGCACCTTGTGAAGGCTCAATTCCCACTTACTTATGATATTTGACAAAGCCGATTACAACGGGTGAATTTGAAATTCCATTTGATTTTTCGTCTCGGCATTTCGTCGGCAGCAGAGCTTTCTCAGGGATTTCAGTTTAAGCTTAAAACCCTGAA